AAACGCAGACACCGAACTTTTCCTCCCACATCTCACCCCCCCCCCAACAAACACCGCCACCTCCCAACACAACACACACCACCTTTCCCCTCCCCCCCAACACAGCAAACACCCCCCCCGTCAACACAACACTCACCGCCACCATCCCCCCCACCGACACAACACAATATTATAATATTAACATTTATTTAATCCTAATAATTTTAAACTTACCTCTGTCGCTCCGTCAGATGAGTTGCTGGTGATTCGCTGCCAGGTCAGCACTCTCCGGGAGGCGCATCTAGTGTCAGGAAATTGACACTGGACGCCTCTCGTCAGCAGTTACGACGGGTAGTTAGTAGTGTGATTTAGTCCTAGAGTCTTTGTACCAGTATAAGTCCACTATTACCAACTAAAGGACGGAGGTCACTGTTATGGGGGACGTGAATACTGACTCACAAGGGTTGAATAGGTGACTCACATCACCTACTAAACGTCTATCGATCAACGAATTAGAGGACTGTCCTCAGAGAGGCAACGTGAAACGGACTCTCTACGTCTCTAGTTAACTTGTCCTCTCACTTAATTCACTACAATTTTTATGTCATCGATTCCAGCCCAATTTACGCTTCCAGGGAATGACGACACTTGGCCACGCGAGGATACACTTAGCAGCACTTGGCAACGGCTGCACTATGACACTTACACTAAGGAAACAACAGCGCCACTGCCGTCATTCTCGTCACACCAGCAACAAGTCAAAGCCAAGGGGCCAACTGATCGTTAATTGAGCCGCCAACCCCTCTATTTATAAATGAAAACACTTTACACACGACTCACAACTGATGACGTTCGAACTTATCTCGGCCTTTGTTCAATCTTTTCCTATATTCTCTTTTGGTTACACAAATCTTAAACACTCCATCCTCATCAACAAAGGCCAATATTCATTCCACCCAGCAGCCAAACCCCCTATTTATGAATTAAAAATGCTTGAATCACGACTCTCTCTTAATGATGTTCGAACATGTTTCGAATAGTTCTTTGCTGACAACCTCTGTTTGAATCGCAACTCCATAAGTGCTACACTCACTTACTTCAGCAGTCCGTCCTCCAAGCAAAGTCCCAAAAGTGATTCCATGCACCTGTCAAACCCCCTGTTTATGAATGAAAAACGGTTTGCACACGACTCAAAACCGATGACGTTCGAACACTTCCGGAACAAGTGCTTCACTGACGAATTTTGTTCGAACCACAATGCTGTAAATGCTTCATCCACCACAAATACAAATAATCGCCAACAGAACCTAAACACCTAACCTAACCTCTGCCTATATATGTACAATATGCTAATATATTTTAATATTAAATTATATTTAAGAAAATTCCCGTTTTGAATGAACAGCATGTAAAAAATTATGAACGCATCTGTAGGGTCGACCATTGGATGTAATGGACTTCAGTCGAGGATGAGTTGTATTGTGACTAAGCGTCTGTAAGTGTCTAAAGTTTGCAGTAGGTAATACATGCACATGACTGTAATGCTGCCGCCCACCAGGATGGGTTTGGAGCAGCATTAGTAACTCTCACCTGACTCTCCGCAAATGTAAATTGCCTCGTATAAAGACTGTTCAGGGAATGTAAAAGATTGCAATACGATGATATAGTAAATACAGAGCTCCAGGGATGAGTTAATACAAAAATACCTACCTAATACCAGCAAGGTATTTAACCTTATCATAAGCTATAGGGAAGGGAATTCGGAGGGATTTAATACAGCTCATGCCATCTATCCACAGAAAAATGCACTATCAACTGGTAAGGGTAACAGCAGCCCATAAGATACAGCTGATGCCATCTGTTGTCATAAAATTACACTATCAACAAAACAGCACATAAAATACAGCTGGTGCCATCTATTGGCAGAACATTGCACTATTAACAGGCAAACAGCAGCCCATAAGGTGAGTTGTGCTGAAGGAAGAATTCCCGCGCTTGCATTTAATTGGTAGAAACTCTGTTGATTTTCACCACGGCAACCAATCACAGCAAGAGAACAGCTAAATGCCCAACCACTTAATAATATTATCTCCGGTGTACAGCACACCAACAATGCTAAAGACATTCTGTTGCAATATTAATCTATTGAAAATTTGAACTTTTAACCATTTAAATTTGTTAATTTCCTGATAATTAAATGTTGTAGGATAATACAGTGATAAAAGAAGGGCTTGGCTACCAAACTTGTGACGCCATTAGTGGTTGCGTCTTTTTATTCATTTATTTATTCATTTATTTATTTATACACATACAAGAAGGTATATTGGGTTTATGAGAGTACATAGCATTGATGTTTTTACATTCTTGTAAAGCCACTAACACGACTAGCGTTTGTTTGAAACAACAGAAAGTCGTAGATGCTACGATGCCCGCTTCTTATTATTTTTTTTTGTTGAGATATATACAAGAGTTTTTTTTTTTTTTTTTTTTGAGATATATACAAGTTTTTTTTTTTATTTTTTTTGTTGAGATATATACAAGAGTTTTTTTTTTTGAGATATATACAAGTTTTTTTTTTTTTGAGATATATACAAGAGTTTTTTTTTTTTTTTTGAGATATATACAAGAGTTTTTTTTTTTTTTGTTGAGATATATACAAGAGTTTTTTTTTTTTTTTTGAGATATATACAAGAGTTGTTACATTCTTGTACAGCCACTAGTACGCGTAGCGTTTCGGGCAAGTCCTTAATCCTATGGTCCCTGGAATACGATCCCCTGCCGCGAAGAATCGTTTTTTCATCCAAGTACACATTTTACTGTTGCGTTAAACAGAGGCTACAGTTAAGGAATTGCGCCCAGTAAATCCTCCCCGGCCAGGATACGAACCCATGACATAGCGCTCGCGGAACGCCAGGCGAGTGTCTTACCACTACACCACGGAGACTAAAGTTGTTACATTCTTGTACAGCCACTAGTACGCGTAGCGTTTCGGGCAGGTCCCTGGAATACGATCCCCGCCGCGAAGAATCGTTGTTACAACCAAGTACACATTTTACTGTTGTGTTTTAACAGAGGCTACAGTTAAGGATTTGCGCCCAGGATACGAACCCATGACAAAGCGCTCGCGGAACGCCAAGCGAGTGTCTTACCACTACACCACGGAGACTGATACTGATATAAGCCTAATGTGTATAAATACACTGTGGCTGCCTGTCCCCCAACACAATGAATTATTATTATTAGTATAAAGCTAACTATTCAACCTACCCATCAACCATCTCACCCGTAGGATGGATGAGGAGGAACAACAACTAAGCAGATAAGCAAAAATGTAATTAAGGATAACTACAGGAAGAATTACTGACATAATATAAACAAAACCGACAAAATTGACACCAATAAACAAAATCGACGGTCGACAAGCCGTCGGCTTCCTGTCCTCGTCGAGGCAACTAGTGTTAATGGCGCTCAGTTATATTCAGGTAAAACAATGCCTACAAGAACGTCATGTTTGATGGGGAGGAATATTATCGAAGTTATCCTTATAAAGAAAATAGACTTGGGCTTCCATAGAAAACGGAACGCATTGTTTCATTTTACGAAATACTCAATTATTTCAACCAGTCTACTTTTGTTTTCAACCAAAATAATCAAAGTTCTAACAAATACGGGGGGACGGGGACTAACAGAGACACCACGGTTTAAAGTCTCCGTGGTGCAGTGGTAAGACACTCGCCTGGCGTTCCGCGAGCGCTATGTCATGGGTTCGTATCCTGGCCGGGGAGGATTAACTGGGCGCAATTCCTTAACTGTAGCCTCTGTTTAACGCAACAGTAAAATGTGTACTTGGATGAAAAAACGATTCTTCGCGGCAGGGGATCGTATTCCAGGGACCATAGGATTAAGGACTTGCCCGAAACGCTACGCGTACTAGTGGCTGTACAAGAATGTAACAACTCTTGTATATATCTCAAAAAAAAAAAAAAAAAAAAAAAAAAAGATAGCTATAATTACCTTTCAACAAGAGCCATACATTACAGGAGCACAAAAATTACTTACAGGACCTATTGAGTGAATGTCGAGCCCACAACATAGGGCAGGAAATGAGGATATAATATAATGGTTTAAGCATTCAAACACTGCTGGAATTTAATACCAGATCATAGTTTGTTCTAACTCGATCCGGTATTGATTTCAAACATTGCTCAAAAGTTTGGGTATGTTTGAGTAGGGAGTGCACAATAAAATAAACTAGCCGCCGCTGGGAGAAACTAAAAAACATAACAATTATTTGGGATTTTCCAGCATACTTTACGCTTCACCGAAGAAGGAATGTGGTGGAGAGAGACTCTCTGGTGATGGTGAGGGAAGGTGATGGTGGTGATGATGATGGCTGTAGGTAGGGTATCGGGCGGTGCCCGGGTAGTGAAGATGACTACAGGGATGAAGATAGTGTGTAGTGAACATGTGGCCTCCGTCACCCGAGCAACACCGGGGACCCCGTCTAGTACAGGCGATGAGTCACAATAGCGTGGCTGAAGTAAGTTGACCAGACCACACACTAGAAGGTGAATGGACGACGACGTTTCGGAGGATTCTCAAGTCGATTGTCAATCGACTTGAGAATGGTCCAGGACGGACCGAAACGTCGTCGTCCCTTCAGCTTCTAGTGTGTGGTCTGGTCAACCCCCTCTAGGGTTTATATATATCTGAAAGAATCTTTTAAGATTGGTCTGTATCTGCTCTGAAGTAAGTAATGATTTATTTCTGCCCCGTACCTTGTACCCAGTACCTTGTACCCCGTACCTTGTACCCCATGCATCTGTCAGATGTAACATTTTGCGAGGCGAAGAAACAGTGGGATTAGAAACAAGAGAACCATTTGGAGGCAAACAAAAGCATTCAATCCTTTCATCTCAAGAAACAGCTTTAATATATTGACGTCTACAAAGAATTTCACTAAAAAGTATTAATCAAGAAGTTAACAAATTAGACAAATCACAAACAGGACAAAAACATACCAACTTAACGGTTCATAGACTTTTCGATAGCTTTCAATCTTCTCATAATTTCATTATAAATGGTTTTGGTATCCTGATCGTCGTCTTTGAGACTGGAGGCCAAGGTGACGTACTCCCTGGCGGTGATCCTGTTCAGGATCTCCTCCTGCAGGAGGGCGGGGATGTGGATCTCGTAGTGGTGGCGGTGAAGGCGCTTCCTGAGCCAGCGCCAGCAGAAAGACTTGGGATGTGAGGTGCCTGGCGACGTCTCGCGCTCGGCCACCACCACGGACGGCTGGCGGGCGTCGTGCTGCGGCCAGAGGCGCACCTGACTGGCGCCAGTGTCTAGGCGGCAGTAGTCGGCCAGATGGCGCAGAAGGGGAAAGTCGCACAGCTGCTCGATGTTCCCAATGGCGTCCACCATGCTGGAACACCACCAATATGTGAGCTGGAGTTGTTGTCAGGGAAGGATGGAACAGTTAACTTCCCCGGCAAGGAGTGTAGAGAGAAAGTTAACTACTCAGGCAAAGAATGTAATGAAAGAGTTAACCTCCCCTCTCTCTCTCTCTTTCTGCTATTGAAATAGAACATTCTCTGTAACTAGCTGACATTGTAGTTATAATGTGTGAAGGATAGATGAAATTGTTTATGTAATAATCTAAGTTGAGGTCTGATAAAGACCTTTTGTGCCCTCTGTAATGCTTTTTGCGCTACCGCTCACAGAATGAATATGGGATGCACATAGTCAACTAGCTGCCTCTGGCGGCAACAATTCAAAATTCCCTTTTCTCTCTCTATCTCAATCAATCTATAAAAGGTAAACATATTGAGAAAAATGGCTTAATGTGATTATTTTACAAGGGTCAACTCAGCATAAAAGATCGAAATGGTATTAGAAAAAAACCAACCCTGAGGGTAGTAGCACCGGTGTGATATTATGATTAGACAGGAGAGTAAACTTTCTTACCTTGCAAGACGCATGAGGTGGGCAGAGGCACGCAGCTCCCGGATGTCACTGACAGCCAGCGCCACCAGCAGGTTGGAGAGCACGATGGAAATGAGAAGTATGAAGAGCAGGAAGATGAGGTAACTAGTATAGGGAAGACGGTTGAGATGCTCCGCCATGTTCTGATTGACATCCACTGAACCCACCATCATAGTCAAGCTCTTGAGGAACAGGAGCGGTCCGCTCTTGTATACTGGGTCATCGTGGGTCTCCCTGTTGAAGGCCAGGAAGAGCGTCAGAGTGAAGCACACCAGCAGGGTGCTGTATACGAAGAATATTCGCAGGAAATCCTCGGCCACACGGATGAACATGGCGACGTAGAGGCCGTGCGACGGGTATTTCCGGAGGATGAGTAAAAACTGGAGCTGCAGTAGGAGGAAGACGATGGTGGCGACGTGATGCTCCCAGACAGCAATAGTAGATGGTCCGAGACACCAAGAAGACGTCAGCAAACTTAACACACACAGAACTGATATGGAGTTATGCCAAAAACTTGGCACTTTCGTATATGCAAGCCCTTGGAGTCTAATACGATTTACGTGAATCACTAACAACATCAAAATCTGCACACACAAACACACTTTCATCCACTGGTCAGGCAGAAGGGAAGTTTTACCTTGGTCATCAGATGAAAAATTAACATTTGTGGTGTTCTCAAGATGCGAAGAAGTTTGATTGTGTGTGTCGCGGTTGCTCCACAGCAGCCGGTTGAAAAGGAACAAACCCGTCAACAATGCGTAGACCACAAAATATAGCAGATAGCCCAAGAAAACGATTCTTGCTCTTTTCCATTTGATTAAGAGAAACACATGACACACAGGGTGAGCGAGGATTTCACTATTACCTGTTTCAATAAAATAAGACAGCAACTGACACTGCTGAGCTCCCGACGATTCGCAGACGAGTGCTGAGAAATCAAAGGTTACCGGCGATCTTCTGTTGCCTGCTACACTAGTGATGAGTAAGTGGTCTAACAGGTGCTGCAGTCCGTTGGAGTTGGTGAGCATCAACCAGCGCAAAGCAGAGACACCTCTGTAATCTTTCTGTCGAAGGTCGCCACCTTTTTGTAGCAGAGCCACCATGACTCCAAAAGCTCCGGCTTTTGCGGCTTTGTGCATGGGTGACTCCCCTTGTTTATCTATCGCAGTTACATTTGCACCGTTCGCCAGTAGGAGCTTGACTGCGACAACACTACCGCTCGCCGCCCCTTCGTGGAGAGGAGACGTGCCTCTCATGTCGTGCAAGTTGATGGCACCAGCACTGCTGCGACTGTCTAAGAGCAGCGCAAGGATTTCTTCTTGCCTGGCAGCAGCTGCGTAGTGCAGTGGCGTCTGGTCGTACTGGTTTCTACTACTCACTGACGCTCCTTTCAGCAGGAGCTCTCGAACGCCCTCTACCCAGCCCATTTCCACCGCAGCGTGTAGGGGAGTGATGTAAAAGGCGCCGCTGTGGCCGTTGATGTAGCCGCTGTCGTCAACCAAGTGTTGCCGCAGCTGCATCAGGGCGTGCTGCTCAATAGCCCGGAACACCAGCTGCAGCTCCGCCGCCACACTCCCTCGCCTCCGGTCCTCTGAGGAAGACCACAACAATATTAATGCGTTACCAACTAACATTAATACAACTGTGACATTACTTTCAATCTATTTTTGCATTTTAACTTTAGTTTGGCTTTTTTTCGTCACGTTTTTAACATTTACTAGCAAATGGTGTACTCCCTCTGTCAATATGTTACGGTCCGTCCTCTAGCATTATCGCACTAACGTCAGTAAAGGCCAGCGGCCCTCTCAGTATATGTCTGGTGCATGCGGTGAGAGATAGATAGAGACAAAGAGTAGATAGATGGATAGAGGGGTGGATAGATGAATAGGTTGATGGATTTAGGGATAGATTGATGAACAGATCAATGGATAGATGGATGTATAGATGAATAGGTTGATGGACAGAGGAATAGATTGATAGACGGATTAATGTATAGATGGATCGATAAATGGAGGGACTAATGGTCGAATGGATGGACTGATTGATGGATAGATAGAGGGAGAGATGGACTGATATATGGACAGAGAGATAAACAGATGGGCAGATGGATTACATAAACACACCAACCATCACAACCACTTGAAAACAGCAGCAGCAAAGCCGTAGGATTAATATACCCTACAACAACTTACCCTGAAGACTGAGAATTCGTTGATGGCGGTGCGGGGAGGTCATCTTGGCGCCAGGTGGGCATGTAAACACACCTGGGGATGGGTGGGAATTAATTAGTCTCGTGTAAATGAGGAATAACGAGAAAATATTCTCTTGTGGTCAATGCTGTCAAAGAACATTATGTATATAAATGGAAAGCAGTCACAGTGGAGCTCTGTTATATGGCTCATTATCAGAGTGGGTTTTGCACAGAGTTCAGAATTTTGTGAAGCTCTGTGTATCGTTCAGTACCTTTGTGGAGCTCTGTTCATCGTTTAGTACCTTTGTGGAATTCTGTTCATCGTTCAGTACTTGTGAGGAGCTCTGTGGATCGTTCAGTACCTGTGTGGAGCTCTATAAATCGCTCGGTACCTAAATAGCTAAGTCTGATTTAAGACTAAAATGCACGAGGTGCTGAGCGCCTCTTAACAGCTACCGATGGCCTTATGACTCCTTCCGAAAGACTCCTGACAACAGCTAAGGTCTTTGAAAATTGCTAGGGGGCCCTCATAACTCTGTTGAGGGCCCACAAAACACAAAATATGAACACAAATTGTGTGCCTTTTGAGTGCAAAACAAAATAGCTGAAGGTAATGCAGTACATAACGGTACACATGGTGTAATACCACATAACACATTTGGGTGTAGTGCAAATGTATTTTGAGGTCTTGCAACGGAATAGCTAACTATAATTCAACGTAACACTCTTCAGGGCATTGTAACATAACACTCTTGGATACATTGCAACATAATACTTTTTATAAGCATTGCAACATAACACTCATGAAGGTATTGGATCGTAACACGAAGATATTACAGTATTTTACTGCACTTCACTGCACGCTTGGAGGTTGTGCAGTGCAATACAGCGCTTGGAGGAACTGCAATACTACACATTTGAAGGTGTTGAGGTCAAACCTCACCTTACAACGAGATCACTAGCCTCGTGACACCTGCCACCTGCCTTCATGACATCTGCTTTCATGACACCTGCCTTCATGACACATTCCTTCATGACATGAACGAACGCACCGTTCTCGGTCGCTGCAAATGCCAGCATTACTCCGCGGTGTTTTCATTGAGCACTTGCGATCAGGTCATTGACTGTCGTACCAAGCGATGCCAAGGATATCTCCACAACCTTGACCCTTAATCTTCCCCAAGAGCCACAGTTTCTTAATCACGACTTCCACCATTCGCAAAATACACTACCGCCCCCCCCCCAAAAAAAAAAAAAAATATACACTCTCCTGACAAGTGGGGCGGCTGTGAATATTGTGACAACAGCATTAGTTCCCAGAATAAATTTCTTGTATTTGCATGAACAACCCGTTGTATGCTTACTTATTTTCGGCATTCCAATCGAATCTGACTGCAAACACCGGACGAAAATGTATAGATAAACACAGATATATACTAGCTAGCGTGAGGTGGTTAGGGTAAACAGGAGCCTGACAATCCTCACCCGTCTATACGCCGTCTGAGTTGTGGTGGAGTGTGACGGGCCAGTGTTGGGAAGTACGTCCAGGGCCTTGACACTGTGTGTGTGTGTGTACTTTCCTCTCACAGCTTACCTCTCTGTGTTTATGTGGGAGGGAAGACTTAGCTCTTCATGTTCAGCCTTGTTGGATCTGTTGAGTTGTAGTTGAACTATTCTGTGTGTGTGTGTGTGTGTGTGTGTGTGTGTGTGTGTGTGTGTGTGTGTGTGTGTGTGTGTGTGTGTGTGTGTGTGTGTGTGTGTGTGTGTGTGTGTGTGTGTGTGTGTGTGTGTGTGTGTGTGTGTGTGTGTGTGTGTGTGTGTTTACTATTTGTGCCTGCAGGATCAAGCTGATAGCTCTTGGGACTTTCTAACCGTCGATTGTCTAATGTACTGAGTCCCGACCTATTTTCCTCTATCATATCTACTACATATATTTCTCAGTAACACACAAAGACACACACACACATCCCCAGGATGCAGCCCGTAGTTGCTGCCTAACTCCTTATTTACCTATTTATTTTGCCTATTTACTGTTAGGTGAACAGGAATATCAGGTGAAAGAAACTCTGCCCATTTGTTTCTACCAGGGAGGCCGGATATCGATCCCGGATCCTTAGGACTACGACCCCCCGAAACTCATTGTAGCCGTTTTCTCATAAGATGAGACACACCATCCGGATAATTCCAAGGACTGACTTCCTCACATAACCCCACATCCACTCACACTGTCACTCCCCCTGGTGCTTGGTAACTCTCACACTCCCCCTGGTGCTTGGTAACTCTCACACTCCCCCTGGTGCTTGGTAACTCTCACACTCCCCCTGGTGCTTGGTAACTCTCACACTCCCCCTGGTGCTTGGTAACTCTCACACTCCCCCTGGTGCTTGGTAACTCTCACACTCCCCCTGGTGCTTGGTAACTCTCACACTCCCCCTGGTGCTTGGTAACTCTCACACTCCCCCTGGTGCTTGGTAACTCTCACACTCCCCCTGGTGCTTGGTAACTCTCACACTCCCCCTGGTGCTTGGTAACTCTCACACTCCCCCTGGTGCTTGGTAACTCTCACACTCCCCCTGGTGCTTGGTAACTCTCACATTCCCCCTGGTGCTTGGTAACTCTCACACTCCCCTGGTGCTTGGTAACTCTCATACTCCCCCTGGTGCTTGGTAACTCACACTCCCCCTGGTGCTTGGTAACTCTCACACTCCCCCTGGTGCTTGGTAACTCTCACACTCCCCCTGGTGCTTGGTAACTCTCACACTCCCCCTGGTGCTTGGTAACTCTCACACTCCCCCTGGTGCTTGGTAACTCTCACACTCCCCCTGGTGCTTGGTAACTCTCACACTTTCCCTTCGTTAAACGCCTTATCCTCTAACCTGCTACTACCACCAGGTCATGGTACGTTAGGGTATCCAACCTGCTATGAAAAACTGCTGCTCACAAAACAATATTTCTCTCCATCGGTAGGGTTTTCTTCAGCCGTCGGCCGGACGAGTGATAGCTTCACAGGAAGCCGGTCTTTATCAAGACAGTTAGCACTTTGCCTACCAACTCTGTGAAACTTTTCTGGGATTCTTCTCCCCCCCCCGTATCAACCTACCCTGGGCTTTGCGCCCTGGAGAGGCCACTCCAGACCGACAACCAGAGCGCAACTCCATAGTCTCCTGAGACTGATGGATGTCTACTACTAGTCTGACTTAATATAAAACACTCCAAGCAATATTTTTCTTGCAATATATTATATATATATATATATATATATATATATATATATATATATATATATATATATATATATATATATATATATATATATATATATATATATTCATAACTGGAAGTCTTAATGTAAGTATCTGACTATATCTTTATCTTTGAACTAATTGAATAAATTGAAATAATTGAATTGAATGTATTTAGTGAATTCACTCAATAACAATTTATTCGATTAAATTAATTAACTGAATGAATAACTTAATTAACTAAATTAATTAATTAACTTAATGAATTAAATGAATTGACAGGATTAAATAACTGAATTAACGAATTGAATTAAATCAGTATTTCAATGAATTGAATTTCAGGTAATCAAACGATTTCAGGTATAATCGTTTACCTGAAGACACCAACGGTAATACTCACTTAACCGACAGAGGCCGAGACGCCCGGACACACCAGGAGCCGGGTCCTGTGGCCGATGACACGGAACTGAGGTGCGTATGTGCGTGTATGCGTATGTGTGTGTGTGCGTGTCCTTGACGGCATGCGCAAGTGCCCTCTCCTGGTCAGTTGGCAGTGTTGATATCGTGCGGACTTGATGACGGCTGAGAAGAATTGACCGTGATGGTTATCTTTATGACTGGCGTTGTAGGACAATTGGTGCCAAGCCTTTGTGTAGGGTGTTAAATATGTTGGTATAGCTGTGATGGACACACGTACACCTCTCCCATTCACCCCTCCCTCCGTCCCCTTGACATTTAACTAATTGTGTTCCATTGCTGCACGTGACACAGAGTATCACTCTCTACACTCATCCAATTGTGCTCCATCGCTACACACAACTAACAGTATCACTCTATGCACTCAATCAAGTGAGTTCTCTCCCTGAACGCCTTCAGCAGTATCACACACGCACACTCAACTAAGTCTACTCCGTCACTGCGAGCATCCGGTAGTGTCATCTCCATCCTTGAGATCAAAAGGTCTCGGCGGATATGCCACGAGAGCGAATAAGTCAGATACTAAGGTTTACACCCCAAGAATAGTAACTAAATTTGTCATTACTACAAGTTTTATAAATCAGCCGTTGAAGGTAGCTCACCTTAAACACCCCTAATCCTGGGGCCAGATTCACGAAAGCACTTACGAACCTGTACATCTTTTCTCAATCTTTGGCGGCTTTGTTTACAATTATTAAACAGTTAATGAGCTCTGAAGCACCAGGAGGCTGTTTATAACAATAACAACAGTTGATTGGCAAGTTTTCATGCTCGTAAACTGTTTAATAAATGTAACCAAAGCCGTCAAAGATTGAGGAAAGATGTACACGTTCGTATGCTTGCGTAAGTGCTTTCGTGAATCTGGCCCCTGGTTCTTATCCACAGTTGCACCATCCTCAGGGTCTAAGGTCTACAAAGCGCTTTGGCACTTTACAACATTTGGAAGGGATATAAGGACATCCAAAAGGTGGATTATGAGGTTGGAACGAAGGCCCACTACTTGACCACTTAGACTAGTGGGAACAAGCGCCGACCCTCCAAGATGTTGTTGTTTTAAATTCAGCCACTGGGAACAAAAAGTTCCAAGTAGCACGGGATATGGTGAGCCCGTAGTGTACTTACCTGGCACAGGAGCGGGGCTGTAACAGAGAACGGCAAGGCCGTCGCTCTGCCAACCCAACCCATCCTCCTAAGGTTTCCCAACATCAAGAAACTATTGTACTAAAGTGGTGTCTCCTAACCTACCAGAGGACCCACAACAGAAAACGGGACAGTACGTTACTTTCGCGAGCCTCATCTATTTACTAATACGACAATTTGTTGGCCTTAGGTAGAACATACGTCAAAATACACCGTGCTTTCAGGAGGACGGGTTGCCTAAGCCCACGTGGACGAACACTTCTCCGAGCGAACAACGCATTCATTATTATTATTTTTAATTTATCGGAGGCGGCGTGAAGTAGTCCCAGCTGCGAGTCGTCCAGTTGGTTACGTTCTCAAGCAGAGGCAGGTCGCAGCTCGCTAATGGTGTCAGACCCGCTTCCCAGCTCTCCAGAACAGTGTGTGGAAAATTGAATTGAAAAAGAGTGGTTAGATGAGACTATAGTCTTCTGCAAGAGGCTTCAGGCAACTGCAATAGGTTACAAGTCTAGAAGAAGGCAACAGGCTTCTCCAAGATGCTACGGTGAACTGCAGGAAGATACAGTCTACTATAATATGTTACATTCTGTTACGAACGCTCCTCGCTAACCCATCAGAATGAACAGTGAGTACTGAGGGAATAATTGACTGCTGTGTACAAGTACTGAGAGAATACTGACTGCTGTGAGTAATTTGTAAAAGAAGGCTATGTAATGACAGTGTCAATTATAAGCCCATTAAACAGAAAACAATTAATTCATCATTAAAATCATTAAATTTTAATCCATCATTAAAACCATTAAACAATTCCTCCGGGTTATTGACCCCAACGAGGCAGGTCCTGCTGCTGCCTCATTCACCAAGTCTCTCACTTTGATTCGTTCGACTCTTGCATTGAAACTTGTCAGTGACTCGGAATCTATGTTGCTGCTTTGGTAACTTGTTCTACACAGCTCCAAACCCTATTTCCGTGCCTGTGATTAATTTTTCTTTGACAAATCTAAACGTTTATAATGTGAATTAATTACCCTTGCTCTCTATGCCTTCAGGGAGGAGGTATCTTGAACTTCCTTATCTCTATTCACAAGAAAGGTTACTAATACATGACATTACGTTGGTCGTTCTTCTCTATTCTATCTAGATAATTAATAGACCCTTCAGAGATCTGGTGCCAAGAGCAGGAACTCCTAATCCTTGTAAGACCTCTCACAAGAGTAAGACGTGATTGTAAGTTGCATCTGTGTTTGACATTACTTGAAATATCTTTTATTCATTTATTTGGATAACTGAACAAAAGTTCTTCTCAAGTTTGTTCTCACAACCGTGATCTTCCGGTAGAGACACTCGAGTAGTATTTCTTAAGGTTCTAAAGCTTGGTAAGTAAAGGCATAAGAAACACAATTTGGTATTTTATAGTCTTTCCGGAGTGACGCCTCCATTAGAGAATTACTTCATTACATTGCCTTCCATTTTTTCCCCCAGTGTTATCAGTAAGTTATCCTAAGTGTATTGTGTATAAGTTATCCTGAGTGTATTATCAGTTAGTTATCCTGAGTGTATTATGAGTAAGTTATCCTGAGTGTATTATGAGTAACTTATCCTGAGTGTACTATGAGTAAGTTATCATGAGTGTATTATGATTAAGTTATCCTAAGTGTATTATCAGTAAGTTATCCTGAGTGTATTATCAGTGATCAAGTCCTTTACTGAACACTTCTTTGATACACAACGAAAAACACATCTGTGTTTCTCTTCCATGCATCCATCATTTCGCAGTCCCCACTCCCAAGTCCTCTTGAGGTGCCCAAACGGACAAAAAATGGTGTACTGTGATGCGTGAACCTAACCTAACCTGATCATGCATAGACAATGTGGTGAGTCAACTAGGTGAGTACAACTAAATGGGTACACACCATGTGACTCAGCCAAGGAGACAGCACACACCTGCCACACTCCCACCAATGACAACATCAGGCTGATAACCACATACCTGCCTCCCCACACGGCGGGGCCTGGGGAGAGTAGCTCCCACACATGGGAGGGGGCCTCGTAGCCTGGTGGATAGCGCGCAGGACTCGTAATTCTGTGGCGCGGGTTCGATTCCCGCACGAGGCAGAAACAAAATGGGCAAAGTTTCTTTCACCCTAAGTGCCCCTGTTACCTAGCAGTAAATAGGTACCTGGGAGTTAGTCAGCTGTCACGGGCTGCTTCCTGGGGTGTGTGTGTGTGGTGTGGGAAAAAAAAAAGTAGTTAGTAAACAGTTGATTGACAGTTGAGAGGCGGGCCGAAAGAGCAAAGCTCAACCCCCGCAAAAACACAACTAGTAAACACATATTGCTCGCTATACGCGATTCTGAAGGGCGTACGGCAGTAAAACTCGAATGCAAAGGGGCGCGAGTAGACTCCTCGTAGTTCCTGGAGTGATCACTAACTTGGCCGAGTTAGTTTGGGAACACATCCTACTTCGGAGGACTCTGACTTCAGAATCACGCTTGCTGGACACAACACTGTTTGGGTAGCATTGGTGCTTTGTCCAAGCACTGCATTCATGTTTAAACCAATGGCGAACGAGCTAAGATGCCTAAACCAGTAGTAAACGAGCTAAGATGCGTAAACCAATCACAACCTGTCATACAAGTCGGCTAGAGATGATAGAAAAGAAATGAGACAGTTGGACGACTTCGGATGACCTCTCATTGACTGCGTCAAATGACCCTTCTCTCGCTTCACCCTGTAACTACCGTCTCCTAGATTATAAAATACTGAATTCTATGCAGACGATGAGTCTACGAGACGACGACGTTTCAGTCCGACTTGATAATGGTCCAGGACGGACCGAAACGTCGTTGCCTCTCCATCGTCTGGTGTGTGGTTTGGTCAGCATAATGAATTCTAATAAAGACTTGTATGATCTGTCCTGACAACTCACAGAGAAGGTGTGCAAAGGCCACTGAAACACCGCTAAACTGCAAGTCCAATGGGCTATTCGGAGGTGCCCAACAAGACAGATCTAAGTCCTGAACTCAAGGACCCATAATCATACACAGTTGCTTGTGCACTCTGGAGATTCCACGCTGACGACGTGTACTCACACTGCACTCTTCAGACACACGTGAAATTCCACTCTCTCTCTCTCTCTCTCTCTCTCTCTCTCTCTCTCTCTCTCTCTCTCTCTCTCTCTCTCTCTCTCTCTCTCTCTCTCTCTCTCTCTCTCTCTCTCTCTTTCTCTCTTTCTCTCTCTCACACACACACCAGGACACTCTGGATCAACGCTTCTGATGGAATTTACAGGAAGATCCGTAGACCAACTTGAGGGCCTCCTGCAACCACCCAATGTAATAATGAAAGTAATGGCTCATATTCTATTACTGCTACACCTACTACTACTAATGCTACTCATAAGTCATTGTGGTTAACTTGACCATACATTCTCATGTAAACATACCAAGATAATATATCCAGGAAATTGGCACCGAGGAGTGCAATAGAGCGAATGTTATGAGGACATGAATGAAGGAAAATGAGAGATGCTAGGAAAGAATGAACCTGTTGATGAATAAAGAGTGATGAGGGGCGTTGAATAACTTTTCATTTCGAAGTTCAAAATGTAAAAGTGAACTATTCAATGATGAGAGTGTTGTCACCTCCCACAGTAATGAGAGTTGTCACCTCCCACAGCAATGAGAGTTGTCACCTCTCACAGTAATGAGAGTTGTCACCTCCCACAGTAATGAGAGTTGTCACCCTCCAACAGTAATGAGAGTTGTCACCCTCCCACAGTAATGAGAGTTGTCACTTCCCACAGTAATGAGAGTTGTCACCTCCCACAGTAATGAGAGTTGTCACCTCCCACAGTAATGAGAGTTGTCACCTCCCACAGTAATGAGAGTTGTCACCCTCCCACAGTAATGATAGTTGTCACCCTCCCACAGTAATGAGAGTTGTCACCCTCCCACAGTAATGAGAGTTGTCACCTCCCACAGTAGAGTTGTCACCTCCCACAGTAATGAGAGTTGTCACCTCCCACAGTAATGAGAGTTGTCACCTCCCACAGTAATGAGAGTTGTCACTTCCCACAGTAATGAGAGTTGTCACCCTCCCACAGTAATGAGAGTTGTCACCTCCCACAGTAGAGTTGTCACCTCCCACAGTGATGAGAGTTGTCACCTCCCACAGTAATGAGAGTTGTCACCTCCCACAGTAATGAGAGTTGTCACTTCTCACAGTAATGAGAGTTGTCACCCTCCCACAGTAATGAGAGTTGTCACCCTCCCACAGTAATGAGAGTTGTCACCCTCCCACAGTAATGAGAGTTGTCACTTCCCACAGTAATGAGAGTTGTCACTTCCCACAGTAATGAGAGTTGTCACCTCCCACAGTAGAGTTGTCACCTCCCACAGTAATGAGAGTTGTCACCTCCCACAGTAGAGTTGTCACCTCCCACAGTAATGAGAGTTGTCACCTCCCACAGTAATGAGAGTTGTCACCTCCCACAGTAGAGTTGTCACCTCCCACAGTAATGAGAGTTGTCACCTCCCACAGTAATGAGAGTTGTCACCTCCCACAGTAGAGTTGTCACCTCCCACAGTAATGAGAGTTGTCATCTCCCACAGTAATGAGAGTTGTCACCTCCCACAGTAGAGTTGTCACCTCCCACAGTAATGAGAGTTGTCACCTCCCACAGTAGAGTTGTCACCTCCCACAGTAATGAGAGTTGTCACCTCCCACAGTAATGAGAGTTGTCACCTCCCACAGTAATGAGAGTTGTCACTTCCCACAGTAATGAGAGTTGTCACCCTCCCACAGTAATGAGAGTTGTCACCCTCCCACAGTAATGAGAGTTGTCACCCTCCCACAGTAATGAGAGTTGTCACTTCCCACAGTAATGAGAGTTGTCACTTCCCACAGTAATGAGAGTTGTCACCTCCCACAGTAGAGTTGTCACCTCCCACAGTAATGAGAGTTGTCACCTCCCACAGTAGAGTTGTCACCTCCCACAGTAATGAGAGTTGTCACCTCCCACAGTAATGAGAGTTGTCACCCTCCCACAGTAATGAGAGTTGTCACCTCCCACAGTAATGAGAGTTGTCACCTCCCACAGAGGCGGACCAGGTGAGACTGGGCCTGCTGCTGTGTGTGTGGACAGGAACCTTCCTCTTCTTCTTCGACAACTCCACCGACATCCGCAGGCCCTGTGGCTTCAGGTGCTCTGGTAGGTTACGGAGGCGGTCATGTTCACATCATTTCAAAATGTCTGTTCTTGTCACAGGACGATGAGAGGCATCAAATGTTCACCATTCCACTCTCCAGGAAAATGCACATAATCATTCTGTTCTGTGGAACAAAGGTTCACCAACAAGGTGTTATATCACACACAGAGATCACACTAACGTGATGCATCAAATGAACAAATCCACAAGGGCCGTGACGAGGATTCGGACGCAGGTTCGAATCCTCGTCACGGCCCTTGTGGATTTGTTCAAGGTGTTATATGTTCTTTAATTAACCTAGCAGTTTACATTTACAAAAATTAAGTAGATAGGAGGGTAGAAATATGCTAAGTTAATCTATAATTTTGAGATGTTTCTTATTGTCTCAATAAACGTACTTGAACTAGAACTTGATTAAGTAGAATTAGAGGTAACATGCAGGAAATGTCACCTCTCATTTTATAAGATGACAGTAAAGAATATAGATAATTTATATATATTAATTAATTAATCCAATGACTTAGGTAGGATTTACTCTTGATTTATAAAGTAAATAAAATGTTAAAGTTACGACAAAAGGCAAATAATAAAATGAGACATATCTAGAGGCCTAAATAACAACTAATATTATATATATTGTTTATGCCCTTCCCAGATCCTTGTTAAGAGCACTATATAATAATGAGACATATCTGGAGGCCTAAGTAACAACTAATATATATATATATATTGTTTATGCCCTTCCCAGATCCTTGTTAAGAGCACTATATAATAATGAGACATATCTGGAGGCCTAAGTAACAACTAATATTATATATATATTGTTTATGCCCTTCCCAGATCCTTGTTAAGAGCACTATATAATAATGAGACATATCTGGAGGCCTAAGTAACAACTAATATTATATATATTGTTTATGCCCTTCCCAGATCCTTGTTAAGAGCACTATATAATAATGAGACATATCTAGAGGCCTAAGTAACAACTAATATTATATATATTGTTTATGCCCTTCCCAGATCCTTGTTAAGAGCACTATATAATAATGAGACATATCTAGAGGCCTAAGTAACAACTAATATTATATATATTGTTTATGCCCAAATGAGACATATCTAGAGGCCTAAGTAACAACTAATATTATATATATTGTTTATGCCCTTCCCAGATCCTTGTTAAGAGCACTATATAATATAATTGCAGCCATTATCCTGAAATGATATCACTTACTGTAACCATTTGATCGGAAGTATCAATAGTTAGTGATGAACCACTAAAAAAGTTCACATTTGTCCTTATTTAATTTAGTAGAATCAGGAGAAAATAAAGCTGGAAACCAACCTTGAACATTTCTCTTCCTAGTATAGCGCAAATATGTTGGATTATATTGTACTATATCTCCAGAGCGCAACTCCATAGTCTCCTGAGACTGATGGATGAATATTATACTATATTATAGAACCTTTAAACTGCTTACCAATACTTTAATTTCTGTAACTCACGTGTATGTTGCCATTAAGTTGTGTGTGTTGTCACCAATGTCTGCCAACAGAGGGCAACGAGACCCGATCTCTGATCAACACTCCCGGCTGCGTCATACCTGATTTTCCTTGGCAAGAGGTCATCAGTTATGAGCACACGGCATTTAAGGTATGTTACTGTGTGGCCTGTGTGTGTGTGTGTGTGTGTGTGTGTGTGTGTGTGTGTGTGTGTGTGTGTGTGTGTGTGTGTGTGTGTGTGTGTGTGTGTACGCGAACGTATACAAATTTCTAGATACATGTTTCAAACAGTACAACTAAGATATAGTTCCCTTTCTGCCAACGTCTCCATCAGTCCTCCACAGACACAATATGCTTCTTGTAATCTTCCTGACCTCACATCATCATGCTCCACAGAGCTACGAGTGCTCCAAGCAGCCCCAGCTCACAGAGGAGCAAGGTCAACACCTTGTGTTCTACAAGGACCGGATCGCTTACTACAAACTGACCTACGACGCTGTAAATTGCACCTACCAGGCTATCGGGCAGGATTATGGGAAACCTTCGTAAGTAAACAATGATTAAAAATAAAAACTCGAATCGTTTAGAGGAAAACATAACTCATATATACGTTCACAAATACTACATTCATGGTGTATTGATACACAAATACTACATTCATGGTGTATTGATACACAAATACTACATTCATGGTGTATTGATACACATATTGTGTTGATATACACGTCATGCTGTTGTAAATATATTAATGCATATATGAGAACAAACCTATTTTAAAATACACAATTTTAAAATTGTGTATTTTAAAAACTGGTGAATGCATCTTCGGAAAAAGCGTCCACTGCTTTAACACTTGTGGTTTCTTAATGATCAATGGTAATTTTTTTAACCAAGGGTTTGTTGTGTTGAGTTACATGAGACATTATGTGCCTCGTGAACCCGGGTTCAGTGAGACTGTGAACCTCTTGAACTCGGGTTCAGTCCTAACATGTCCAACCACTTGGGCTGGACGGTAGAGCGACGGTCTCGCTTCATGCAGGTCGGCGTTCAATGCCCGACCGTCCAAGTGGTTGGGCACCATTCCTTTCCTCCCCTCCGTGCCATCCCAAATTCTGACCTCTTCCAAGTGCTATATAGTCGTAATGGCTTGGCACTTTCCTCTGATAATTCGTTCTTCTGTCCTAACATTAAGCCTCTCTTTCGCTAAGCATAAATTGATCAAGAACACTGATTGTTCCAGTTATCATGTTCACGAAAACTCGCCAATTATCAAGGCTACACCAATCATATATCGGTCAATTAGAATGTTTTCATTTGCTGCTGATTAATAGTTCACAAATGCAGGCTGAGTGTGCACCAATGTACACCGAGAGTTGACAATTGCAGACTGCAAGAGATGGTTGCCATAGTGAAGGAACGGACACCAATAGTTGACGAAGGAATACTGGTGACTTGTGTCAACAACACAGGCGGTAACAACACTATTTTCTACCAGACTGTCCACACCTTCGTGCAGCCCAGAACGGCCAGGAGGAAGAGAGAAATGTTCAAGGTAAGTCATTATACTTCAACCAGGTCCTCAGACGTTCCCTCTACCCTGTGGAGGACGGTACTATCCCACGTCTTCCACTCTCAGTGTTTCTGACGAGGGATCAGTTTCCGATCAACAGGGATCAGTTGATCGGAAACTGACCAGTTTTTGACCAGGCGGGATCCAAGAGTCAATGCTCGATCCTGCAGAAATAAATAGGAGAGTACACACACACACACACCTGCATGAGTTACGAGGAAAGGCTGCGGGAAATGCACCTTACGACACTGGAAGACCGTAGAGTAAGGGGTGACATGATCACAACCTACAAAATCCTCAGGGGAATCGACCGGGTAAACAAGGATAAACTATTCAACACTGGTGGTACGCGAACAAGGGGACACAGGTGGAAACCGAGTACCCACATGAGCCACAGGGACGTTAGAAGGAACTTTTTCACTGTTAGAGTAGTTAACGGATAGAATGCATTAGGCAGTGATGTGGTGGAGGCTGACTCCATACACAGTTTCAAATGTAGATATGATAGAGCCCAGTAGGCTCAGGAATCTGTACACCAGTTGATTGACAGTTGAGAGGCGGGACCAAAGAGCCGAAGCTCAACCCCCGCAAGCACAACCAGGTGAGAACAACTAGGTGAGTACACACACATACGTTCCCTGAACGGAACTTAGTGTTTTACCTGCATTCACATCTTTTCACATTCACAGGAGAAGTTTGGAAGCCGCAGTGATCACCCGGAGAAGCTGAGTGTGTTGGTGCTGGGCACGGACGCCGTGTCTCGCTACAACGCCATCCGCCACATGCCCAACACCTACCACTACGTCACGGAGCAGCTCGGAGCCCTCGACTTTCGTGGCTACAACAAAATAGGTGACAATACAATAACAAACATCTACGCATCAGTGTTTGGCCACACCGAAAACGAGTTAAGTAAACATGAGTGCTTACAAAACACTTCCTTTTTGGACAACTGTTCGATTGTATGGAAAGCTTTTGGCGATGAAGGATATTTAACTGCTTTCGGAGAAGACGTAGTTCCAGGGGGGATTTTTGACTCTGCTCACAATGGATTTGTAGACCAGCCTGTCGACTTGTCTCTCCGGAATGCATTCATAGTGGCCGGGATGAAAGAAGCACGCGGGTTTAAGCCCTCTAAGCGTTTAATCGATACTTTGTGTGAGGGACCAATCATGAGGATATCGCTAATCCACAACTACTCGTTGGCCGTAGCCGAGGAGTTCCAGGACGTGCCTTATTTTGGATTTTACCGGAGTTCAACTGTGACTCATGACTCATTTACGATGCCATGGGTCGTCGACGATCACTTACTGAGCTTGATGACTCAGTTCCAGGACAATGGCTATCTCAACCACACCGTCGTCCTCCTCGTCAGCGACCATGGCCATCGCTATGGTCCCTTCCGTAACACATACATGGGCCAGATAGATGAGAGATTACCCTTCTTGTTCGCTGTCTTCCCTCCGTGGTTCAAGAAGGTCTACCCTGTGGCCTGGGAGAACCTGGTCACCAACACTAGACGACTGATCTCCAACCTGGACATCCACGAGACACTTCACAGTCTGGCCTCGGGGGACTTCGCCACCAACACAAAACGGTAAATATTTAGTATTTAGCTTGAGGATTGGTCCTTATCAGCTACACAGTTCGTGTCATATGCTTCACCTGAAGAGTGTTTGTGTATGACATTACCAGTAGGTGCTTCTTTTGTTCATAAAAGAACACACAGAACTTCTGTGTGTTCATAAAAGACATAGCTTTGTCTCTTGGTGTATCAATATCGCAAACGCGCCCTGTAATACGTAGGCCAATGTCTATATTACGCAGGAAAGCAGTCATATCCTACATGTTTACAAACGTCTTTTGATAAAGTAAGCAGCTACTGGATGTAATAATAATAATATTAATATCCTTGTGTACCAAATGAGCTGGGCATTACAGGCATAGTTGAAGAACCCAATATTATCTCTACAGGTCCAAAAAGCCTGGAAGAGGCCAAAGCTTGTTCGAAGAAGTCCCGGAATCACGGACTTGTGCCGATGTAAACATTCCGGATAACTTGTGTACGTGTGAGAAGTCCGACCCAGTAAGTATAGAGGACCCCGCCGTCACGGCTGCAACTCACGCGGCTATTTGGGAAATTAATCTGAGCCTCAAGAGATTTCCAAAATGTGCCTTCCTGATGCTGGACAAGGTCAGTTGTTAACCGAGTGTGCTTTTAGTAAGTACTAATATCTATGTATCTATATATAATAGAATGTCTGTCTGTCTGGAGGTCAGATGCTCGGGGCTAGCCTCACCCAGTTTTGACCAGTAATTGCTATGAGGGGGCAAGGAGTAGCCTAAAGTCTCAGTTGGACATCAGTAGCATGTTTCTGAGATCTCTTATTATAGGAGGTCAGAGACATGCCAATGATGTCCAGCTGAGACTTTAGCCTAACACGATCACTTACTGATGGATGCCTACTACTAACTACTACTACTACTACAACAGGGGTGAAATGGTTAGAGCTACGGGTTACTGCTTTTATGGTCTGTGGTTCAAAGCTCCGATTGCCCAAGTGAATTAAATGTAATTATCCGCGTATATTCTGGTTAGCATTTATTTATTTATTATTTGTTTCCATCCCTACCCAATTATCAATATACGATAGATACCTCAGTCAAGAGAGACAAATCTATTTGCTAAAGATTTTAGGCTGAGGGATTGACGTTAAGTGTGTGGAATAAAGGTTGTATATACCCAAGTTGTACACGAAAGGCACGACGCCACAGTTTGGATACCAAAAGTTTACGTCAGAACTTGGATACCAGTAATGGTATCAAAGTAATTGGATACCAATTACTGGTATTCAGTCAGTAATTGAATACTAGTAATGGAGACAAGGAATGTTTTGTGTTTCAGGTCCTGAATGCCCGTCAGATGGTTCCTAAGAACTTTACACACCCACAGTCAGAGGCGCACAACGCCACCACTTATATACTGGAGTTTCAGACTTGGCCAGGTGAGTACTTGCTTCACGAGTGAGGACTTCCTTCGCTATGACTTTTCATAGTCTACTACCAATGACTCTACGCGTTACAGCAATGCCATCAATGAATACATATAGTACAGAACGTAAATCAGCTAAAAACAAAGAGCGTTTGACGTTCTTTGACTCGAAGAAATGTTTCTTCGGAAAATGTAGGTATTTTGTGCTGGAGAAGACCATCGTTACAGGGCGTATGTTTTATTTGGATAGACTAACCCAATGCTGAGCAAGACTAAAACACTTCCTAGATTAGACTATTGTTAGGTTAGGTTAGGTAAACCTAGATATCACTGTCATTTGTAAATAAAGGTATACCTATTTTATATCACTCCGGGAAGCTGGGGCGACCAGTGATGAAGATTTCTTTACCCAGAGGGAGCTGGGGTAAGGGAAGACATTAAGGCAACACTATAGGGACCAGTGTATTGGGAGTGAGCTAAGGGTCTTTCAGGGTCATTAAGATCTTTCATTAATATCCACCTCTCAGTACCACTATAGGGACCAGTGTACTGAGAGGGGGTCGACAAGGCACAAGAATAACGTGTAACAAGCGCCCTCTGTCACCACCACAGGCGGGGCGATGCTGGAGGCGATGGTGAGGAAGCAGCACAAGAAGTTCACGCTGGTGGGCGAGGCGCTGAGGACCAACAGCTACGGCGACCAGAGCCACTGTTTCAACCGCTCTACCCTCAGGAAGTACTGCTTCTGTAAAGACCTTCTCCAGTCACAAGACACCAGCGTCGTCGGCCACAACGCCACCCTCGCCTACACCAGGAACAATGCCAGTCATGCTGATTAAGCTTTTGTAACTCATACAAGGGAAGCTAACTCCTCAGCTCACACAAAGGAAGGCAGCGACTCAGCTCTCACAAAGGAAGGCAGCGACTCAGCTCTCACAAAGGAAGGCAGCGACTCAGCTCTCACAAAGGAAGGCAGCGTCTCAGCTCTCACAAAGGAAGGCAGAGACTCAGCTCTCACAAAGGAAGGCAGCGACTCAGCTCTCACAAAGGAAGGCAGCGACTCAGCTCTCACAAAAGCAGCTCACAAGTATATCCACAAACGCATGTGACTATACCTGCTTCATAAGATCATATATCCGGACCATTGTTTACCTCTTATGTGTTCTAAATATGAACTAATGGGTTATGAATCATTGTTTCCTTTTATAAATAGGGTTATATTTTTAGTATTATTTATTACTGTGTTAATTCTCATTATTGATTTACGCAAATCTTGTCTCTTCTTCCTTCATTCATTTTAGGGAATATTTATTTATTTTCTGTGTTTCTCTCTCTATAGGTTCCTAATTGCCGGGATTAATATACCTGTCCTTTCTCTAAACTCTAAAGATTATTTATATAATTTTCTAGTAGGTTGCCCAAAACTCTATTGTATAATAATAATGAAAAAAAGTTGTGGAATGACATTTAAGAATGTTTTCTTTGATCCTTTCTAAACACGTATCTTAGATCCTTTACACAATTGCTGTCGCAAGTTCATTATTTTTAGCTGACATCTGACAATCTGTTTTCTTTTTCTAGGCACAGAATTCTACACGTGTCAGCACTAATCTGTCAATGTCAACTCTTAGCTCACTTTGAAAGGTCTTGGGACAGAGCCCAAGGGGCACTCCACTTGCGCCTCTTTTGCACGCCTGTCGCCTCATTTGCACGCCTGTCGCCTCTTTTGCACGCCTGTCGCCTCTTTTGCACGCCTGTCGCCTCTTTTGCACGCCTGTCGCCTCTTTTGCACGCCTGTCGCCTCTTTTGCACGCCTGTCGCCTCTTTTGCACGCCTGTCGCCTCTTTTGCACGCCTGTCGCCTCTTTTGCACGCCTGTCGCCTCTTTTGCACGCCTGTCGCCTCTTTTGCACGCCTGTCGCCTCTTTTGCACGCCTGTCGCCTCATTTCCTAACCTTTTAACCTACGATGTGTTCAATTTAACTTACGATGTGTCACCTGTGAATTTGCTATTTGTCACTAGTAAACATACGACGTGTCTACTGTAAATCTATGGTGTGTGCCAAGTGTAAGTCTACGATGTGTCACCTGTGTAAATCTACGATATGTTACCTGCGTAAACTTACGACGTGTCACCTGTGTAAATCTACGATATGTTACCTGCGTAAACTTACGATGTGTCACCTGTGTAAATCTACGATATGTTACCTGCGTAAACTTACGATGTGTCACCTGTGTAAATCTACGATATGTTACCTGCGTAAACTTACGATGTGTCACCTGTGTAAATCTACGATATGTTACCTGCGTAAACTTACGATGTGTCACCTGTGTAAATCTACGATATGTTACCTGCATAAACTTACGATGTGTCACCTGTGTAAATCTACGATATGTTACCTGCATAAACTTACGATGTGTCACCTGTGTAAATCTACGATATGTTACCTGCGTAAACTTACGACGTGTCACCTGTAAATCTACAATGCCCCCTTGTAAGCCTGCTGGTAGATTGGAGACGACGGGAATGGAATTTCAACAAATAAAAACAGCATCTACATCGTTTATTTAACAATTATTGGAGGTCACAAACAGTAACGCTGACGTCAGTAACAGTAGAGCAGCAACAGTGAAAGAAGGCTGCAACGGAAGTGTTGTATTCACGGGTCCGATCTGTCTTGCAGATGTGGCATAGCGTGCAACTGTTGCAGTGTAACGAGAGCAACTAATCGACATGGGTATCTCCACAGCTGGAGGAACACGTCGCAGTTGAGTTCATGTGTTCAATGTTGTTCTGGTGGGGCTCGTTCGTACAGCCTTAGACACTTGTTGCCCCAAGTCAGCCTTCCGCTGTGTCGTAGCCGAACGAGACAGAAAGTTGCCGTACCAGAGTACAGAAATATGGCAACTGTAGAAGGCCTCTTGGTTAATATGGGGCAACTCTTTATACCCACCTAAGCTCACTTCACATATATATCTAACCTACACTTAAACAACAAATCTAGTGATCCCTGATCTATTATGATAGCCGGATATGTACAATCCTATTTGTGCTTGCTTGGGGTTTTACTCTAAAATTCTAAATGTATTTAGTACATTATTTTTAGATTAAATTTGTGTTAATAGATTTAGCACGTATTAATAATCCACTAGTTAAACCCTTTCATCCGTCCGCGTACTTCAATGGTGACTTCCTATATTATTCGCCTATGCACTCCCAATACATATTATCAAATAAACCGCACCGTTGTCTTGCTATTCAACAACCATTTATGCAACTTTATTCTGAACTTTAATTTATATTTACTTTTTAAAGTCAAACTATATATATATATAATATAGATATATATATATATATATATATATATACACATACATAGCTCTCCTAGACTGGCCAAGATGGGAAATTTTCCATTCGCAGTCTCAACAATGTTGTCTACAAATTACTGCTCCCAGAACACCTGGGAGTCGTAGAGCACGCCATCTCCCGCAGGTGCAAGATAACACACACACACACATTCAGTTATATATGTACATATATAATACGTAACATGTAAACATGCGAGGGGTAACTGGGCGCACTTGACGATCGCCCAGTTGGTTTGTGTCGTCAATTAGGAAGAGTCGGCTGAAGCTGTTGGTGTGATCATTCACAGGCACTCCAGAACGGTGTGTTACAACGCGAATTGACTAAGTGGCTGTTCACTCGTCATAACTCCAGTGCTGTACCCGCCTCAGAGCTGGGTACAGGAGGTTACAGTCTCCTCCATGTTCTTCTTCCTCTACCGCCGCGGTCTGACCTGTAAGTAACTCGTACGTAACATGATACCGAGGAGGATTTTTGTGTAAAAAGCAGGTGAGGTCCTGGCGGCCGAGCAATCAACGTTCTGGCGTCGTAGTCTAAAGGGCCTCTGCCGAGGAAGAAACCAATCGGGTATAATTTCTTTCACCTGACGCCTCTATTCACCTGGCAGTGAATAAGTACCGGGGAGTTAATTAGGAGCTACGGGCTGCATCCTGGGGATAAGTGTGTCGATTTCGACATTATATATATATATATATATATATATATATATATATATATATATATATATATATGATAGATATATCGGGAGTCAGCACATTAGACAACTGGCGGTTAATAAGGCGCGAGGCCCAAGAGCCAGAGCACGATCCTACAGGCAGACACTGTAACTACAGTGTACGGAGCACAACACCGTTAGCGTCACGTGTGTGTACACAATGCATGAAGCACGCAACAACAGTTTCCTCATCCTGAAGCAAATGTTGGAAAGATACAACACAAATCAAAATAATCCCAAAACAAAAATAAAAAAAAAGATGAAATAATTAAATACAAAATAATTGACTTTATTAAATATTTAATGACACTAATTCTGTTTACTGTGTCCTATTGTATAGTAAAATATTGTATTATATATATGACTGTATTTACTAAAACAATTCAGTTCGTGTCATTTTTGTAAATGTTTTTATTATTAATAACATGTATATTGTACATTAATATACATGTATATACATGTATAACCCAGAACTTAACATGATATAAGCTTTATTTATAGTTCTATAGTCTTTATATACTAACCAAGGCGTCAAGTTCGCTCTGAGGATCAGCGTCTGGAAAACTTTAGGGGTAAAGTTCAGTCTGAAGATCTACGCTGGAAACTTTGCGAGTAAAGTTCATTCTGATGATGAAGACCGGAAAGTTGAGGGGAAAGTTCAATTAAGGTGGTCGAGGACAGAGGAGGCCTGGTTGAGGACCGGGCCGCAGGGACGTTGAGCCCCGAAATCATTGCAAGGAGATATAAAGTTGGTTTCTTGTATGAACGGTGGAAAACTTGTGGGTGAGGGGAGTAAGGGGGGGTTTATAAGGTCTGTATCGCTTCTGATTCTCATCCACTCTTCCCCACATCATAACTTTGCATTTACTGGTGTTAGATTCCAATAGCCATCATTCTGACCACTTTAGCAAGCTTTTTTTTTTGTTTTCGTTATCTCCTTCGTGTAGATCCCGGCCCACTCTAAGTCTACCCTGTTACACCCTGGCCATAAATTAGGTAAATTCCGATGCAGAACGAAATATTTTCAATTACTGGTTTGACAATATGGTTGTAGACTAATTCTGTAGACTAATTAGTCTGCAACCATATTGTAGACCAATAGGGTTGTAGACGAATTGGGCTGGACTGTAGAGCGGCGGTTTCGCTTTATGCTGGTCGGCGTTCAATCCCCGACTGTCTAAGTGGTTGGGCACCATTCCTTTCCCACCGTCCCATCCCAAATCCTTATCCTGACCTCTTCTCAGTGCTCTACAGTCGTAATGGCTTGGCGCCTTCCCCCTGTTAGTCACCCCCTTCAGTATTCTTACCGCCACAGGCTCGGTCTTGGCCGGTATGGCGTTCCTGTGTGTGTGGTGCGTTCTCTTCCAGTCCAACTTCACCCAATTCCTGAACGCAAGATCTTCTCCTAAACCTTGTGGCATCAGATGTTCCGGTAAGCTTGCGTTTTAATCTGCTTTTTGCTGTTAATCTTTCAATGCGTCTGTGTCATATTTTCCCGCTAGTTGATGAGAGTAATCCAGTGTTCATATCTTCGTTTATTTGTGGGTGAACACAAGAGTGAACTCACAAGTCTTTTCCCCGTCAATGGGCTACTCCTATATGGTATATAAGATCATGTATAAGACAGTGGAATTTTTTTTTCCACAACCCTCTTTCACTCGAAACTCATTACACCTTTCCAACCATTTCTGCAGGGAACGACGCACTCTTCCTCATCAACACTCCAGGCTGCTCCATTCCAAACTTTCCCCTGCACGAGATCAACGTTTACAGGCGTTCGTTACCCACGGTGAGTCCCTGAGTAGTCATCATTGTCAATACTGATAAATAATTTTACAATCAAATACATCCCCTAACTCTCCACAATGCAAAATGCCACTTGCTAAATGTTCTTGGAGTTCCCTTGAGTCGTAGATGAACAATATTCACAGAAATACAGCAGTAACGTTATTCATTATACAAAGTTATACATACAAATCGAAATTTAATATTATTTTACCTCTCAGATGCCCGCGTGTTCCCTCCAGCCTCAGCTCACAGAAGGACGAGACCTGTACCTTGTGTTCTACAAGGACCGGATCACCCACTACAACCTGACCATCGATGCCGTGAACTGCACTTACCAGAGCATCGGGCAGAAATACAGACGACCCGTGTAAGGGATAACTAAGGCAACTTTACTTTGCATAACATTACTAAGGAAACTCTGCTTTACAAAACATAACTAAGGCCACTTACTTTACAAAACATGTAAACACAAACCATACAAAACACACATACGTGCGTGGAATGCAATATGGTTCTTGAACATTTGATTCTCCAATACAAGAGATTCGTTTCGTTCGATTCGATTCGATTCGTTATTCGTTTCTCCGGATAACGTGGCGGCATTCAAGTATAGGTTACAAGACAAAGTTATTTATTTTAATAAATTATTCATGATCTATTTATATCGAAAGAGATATAATGAGAGAAGGAGAAGGAATTAGCCAAAGATCGTAAGATGTAGCGAAACAGAAAGAAGCTGATTGAGTCTGAAAGTGACTCTCTCTAAATGGTACACAAGCGACGGCAGAATGGTCGCTTGTGGTGGTGTAATCAAAGAAAGCAAGTGATCTCGCAGGTAATTTAGGCTGGAAATAGCACTTACTGACCCTGATATCACACAGTGCGAACGTTCACCTCCGGTGAGCCGTAAAAACTCGACCCTTCATCTGACTGAAGCTCTGTGAATTGGACCAAACCAATTTCAGAGCAACAACGATCTCATCCAACCCGTTCTTGCATACAAAGATCCACGCTCTTTAATACAGCCGCCAAACTCCCTGTTTATGAATGAAAAGCGGTTAACACACGACTCACAACGATGATGCCCAAACACTTCCGGAACAAGTGCTTCGCTCACGTCCTCTGCTCGACCCACAATTCTATAAATGCCAGCCCGTCCTCCAAACAAAGATCCAAAAGTTATTCCATGCACCCGTCAAACCCCCTGTTTATGAATGAAAAGCGGTTTACACACGACTCACAACTGCTGACGTTCGAACATATCCGGAACAAGTGCTTCACTGACGAATTTTGTTCGAATCACAACGCTATAAATGCTTCACCCACGAACTTATAAATACAAATAATTACCAACAGAACCTAAACACCTAACCTAACCTACGCCAAACTATACATACAACTTTTATGTATAAGAATATTAATTTATATACGAGAACAAACCATTTTTAATACACACTATGATCAAATTGATGAGTGCGTCAGGGAAGGACGACCGCTGCTTTAAACAGCCTAGTGTGAGAACGGGTTGTCTCATTGAGTCATATGAAGGCCCAATCTAGGAGATGTGGTTTATGTAATGTAATGCAATCTGTATATATATTTAACTTAGTATAATCTGCCTGTGATAAATGCTATGATCCGACACATGCAGAACACATACATTTATTCATTATTTCGTAATCATTATTGGTTTGTTAGGCATTGAGTGTACACCTGACTTGGTCTGTGACCAAGTTGATGAACTGTTCGAGACTTATATTTATGTCTCACTATCCTAACAATTAACAAATTATGTTCAGAGATCTTGTCAGTATCAAGGGGGTACTATGAATACCTACTCTCTAATATAAATTATTCAGAGCATACATAATATCCTTTGTATACCAGTTTCTTTTTAAACAGATTTATAATACCACAATATGCAAACATTATAAGGCCATCAGATTCTCGTATAACGTCGAGGTGATGGAGTCTATGGAAGCATAATGCCTTCAGGGACTGATAAGTCTGCTTGTGATAAACATGTAAGCCACGCTTTTAATATATACAAATGATATCTTTTAGTCACATGTAAGTATAACAAGCATACAGCGTCAGTGATAACACAATAACCTAACTGTTAACACCACGCGAGTCACAGGCAAGTCTATTGGGAAGTTTACTGATAGTGACTGTTAAGTCAGCAATACATTCTCAGCGTTCACTGGTACTGAGTGCAATAATGCACACTGAGACCTCACTGCTGCAGTGTGAGAGTTTACTATTGCACACTGAAAATTCACCATTGCAGGCTGACCGTTCCTTGTTGTTCTATGACAGTCCATTTTTTCAGGCTTCAAGAGATCGTTGTCATAGTGGAGGAAAAGACTCTAATAGTAGAGGAAGGAATCCTGGTGTACTGTGTCAACACGACCCTCCGTAACAACACCGTTTTCTACAGAAATGTCCACTTTTTTGTGCAGCCAAGAACGGGCAGGAAGAAGAGAGACATGTTCAAGGTATTTCATTATACTACACACACACACACACACAGACACACAGACACACAGACACACATTGATGAGTGCGTCTGGGGAGGACGGCCGCTGCTTTAAACAGCCTAGTGTGAGAACGGGTTGCCTCATGCGAGCCATATGAAGGGCCACTCTAGGAGACGTGGTTTATGTAATGTAAAGCAATCTATATATATTTAACTTAGTATAATTTACCTGTGATAGATGCTATGATGCCGACCAAAGAGCCAGAGCTCAACCTCCGCAAGCACAACTAGGTGAGTACACAGACACACAGACACACACACACACACACACACACACACACACACACACACACACACACACACACACACACACACACACACACACACACACACACACTCACACACGCACACGCACATTAACGTAGGGTAACCAGCGGGTAATAGTGTGATCCATAAAGTGGAGTAATTTGAGACTATGTCAATTAGCGATAGGAAGTATTGGGACTGGCAGGATGTTGCGTAGTTATTTAAATTCATGAAAGAATTAGAGGTATATGAAAACAATATTAATCACCGTAAAATAAGCTCATAGCAGAAAAAATTCAGGAAATATTTTTTTTTTTAACTTATTCAAATCAATTTCGAGGACGAAAATGGCTATTGAGATATTGTCTTTTGAGATACAAAATATTTTGCGGAGCTTGGTCAAATTTAAAAGCAAATATCTTGAGCTGTTCTTAGAACAAAAGGAATTAGCTAAAGCTAGTGTAAGACAGACATGAACGGGAGTCAACCCCAACAATCAGGGAGAATACCAGATATTATTTGAATATATCAATACCAGAATACCAGAATATTTGAATACCAGAGCAGGAAACCTCATAATTAACACACAGGAGCAGGTCAGACCAAAGAGCACACGAAGGTCCTTTCCTTCCTATAGGTCCTATACACCTCAAAGGTATAACCCCATAATCTCTCCTCTTCCACAACCATCTCCTCTCCCACCACCACCTTCATTTGCTACAAACATCACCTACCTCCTTCCCTTCCCTTCCCAGAGCCACTATAACCTCTCCCTAGTCTAACATTGACCCCATAAGACAAGAGTCGCCTCCCTCTTCCACTTATAACCAAACATCCACTTCATCCTTGTGGCCGTGAGAAACGTATCTTAAACATTTCCCTGAAATGATCCTGTTAGAAAACAGTAATGTATTCATTGCTATGTCTTAGTTGGGGGTTAAGTATTTCTTAACATTATTCCTTAAATTTTGCATTCAAATTAATCTTGAGCTCGTCACTTTTTTATATATATTCACAGGAGAAGTTTGGAAGCCGGAGTGATCACCCGGAGAAGCTGAGTGTGTTGGTGCTGGGCACGGACGCCGTGTCTCGCTACAACGCCATCCGCCACATGCCCAACACCTACCACTACGTCACGGAGCAGCTCGGAGCCCTCGACTTTCGTGGCTACAACAAAATAGGTGAAAATACCTTACCAAACGCGTATGCAATAATGTTTGGCCATACCGATGTAGAGATCAGTGCGCACGCATGTTTACCGAGGAATCAATATCTGGATAATTGTCCGATAATATGGAAAGATTTTGATAATGAAGGATATCTAACAGCCTTCGGTGAGGACGTAGCTCCGAGAGGAATTTTTGACTACACACATAATGGTTTTGTAGATAATTATGTTGATTTGTCCCCTCGAAATGCATTTGTGGGTGCTGGTTGGATTGCGCACGGTGTTCAAGGTTTCTCTACTACTTATGGCTTGTGTGTGGGACAACAACTGAAAATATCTTTAATCCACAACTACTCGTTGGCCGTAGCCGAGGAGTTCCAGGACGTGCCTTATTTTGGATTTTACTGGAGTTCAACTGTGACTCATGACTCACTCACGATGCCAAGGGTCGTCGACGATCACTTACTGAGGTTGATGACTCAGTTCCAGGACAATGGCTATCTCAACCACACCGTCGTCCTCCTCGTCAGCGACCATGGCCTCCGCTATGGTCCCTTCCGTCATACATACATGGGCCAGATAGAGGAGAGATTGCCCTTCTTGTTCGCTGTCTTCCCTCCGTGGTTCAAGAAGGTCTACCCTGTGGCCTGGAAGAACCTGGTCACCAACACCAGGAGACTGACCTCCAACCTGGACATCCACGAGACACTTCACAGTCTGGCCTCGGGGGACTTCGCCACCAACACAAAACGGTAAATCCTGGTTGAAGTGAGTCCGGAAGGACTTACCAGTGAGATATTTTACTGAAATATGCATTAACAAAAGTTTATGAGAAAAACGCCGTGATATCACTATTGACAACTCAATATTACCTGTTTTTTTATCTTATGTGTACCCCATCACAGGCATTATTATATATATATATATATATATATATATATATATATATATATATATATATATATATATATATATATATATATATATATATATATATATGCCTGTGATGGGGTACATGGTAGGGTAGTTTCCTACCGATACATGGGTACGATACATGGAGGGTATTTCCTATAGTAACTTTATCAATGTATACATATACATTATATCAGACAGCATATCCATATTCACTAAGGTTCAGGACAGTAAGTTCTGGTGTTAAACAATGTATTCTCATTCTCTATGTCCTGAAACATGACAGCAAAATAGTCGATGATTAACAACCAATTTGCTCCACAGACCCACGGAGCCTGGAAGAGGACAGAGCTTGTTCGAAGAGGTTCCGAACACTCGCAGCTGTTCCGACGTAAACATTTCGGAATTCTTCTGTACATGTGAAGTGTCCATGGCAATAAGTCTTGACGACCTAACTGTCGTCGCGGCGGCCGAGGTGGCGACTTGGGAAATAAACTTAAGCCTGAAAAAGTTTCCAGACTGTGTGCCTCTGAGGTTAGATAAGGTTAGTGAATAAGGTTAGTGCATGATGCTGGATAAGGTTCAACACGAGACCAGTTGGCCTTCCTGGTCAATGTATTAATGCGTGGTCAATCCTTCAGGTCCTGAGAGCTCGACTGGTGATCCCCAGCAAAGCCACTCAACCGTATTACAAGGAACACAAAGTGTCAACTTATATCTTGGAATTTCAGACTCAACCAGGTGAGGAATTTCACAGGAACGAATTCGTAAATTTCCTTAACCGAATATTGCTTGCTTGGCAGGTGGGCACTTGCTCTGAAGGTGGCTAATATTGTCATCTGTGTGTGCTTTCAATTGATTTCATATGGTGTTTGTGGTTCAGTTGGATTCTAAAGTGCTATTTTTGTATAAAATTTATATTTTTGGATAAAATAATTGATAAAACGAATTTACTCTATCACTTATCACTTTTTTTTATAAATCTAAAACATATACATCTTGTAATCTATTTGTATATATTAGAATGTATGTTGGTTTGTCTGATCACAGTTGCAGGCCAAATGTTTGGGGCTAGTCTCACTCAAATTGTCATCGTGATTACTGTGGGGCACGTGTTCAACATGGCCGGGCCAGATTCACCACCAATCAAACTAATACATCATGGCATGGTCTCATACAGTACCCCATGGTTATATTGGCACTAGGCACCTGTTTGCTAGTGGCTCGACCCTCTATGAAGAAAAAATTCTAAAAAAATTATTTATTCTAATAATATCATAAAACATTATGCACTGATATCAGGAGTATAGTAAAAAAATCTATAAATCATAAATTGCCCTCAGCAGAGCAAAACCACGTTGAAATAAATTTTGATAACATCCCTTGCTCACACAGAAGCACGGGTCGAAGCCGTGACCAGCATACCACCCCCTTCTTTACACCTCCCCTCAAAGAGTCGTGAACGTGTCCCGGCCCTCTCTGAGACAGAAACAAAGATAGAGACAGAGACAGAGAGAGAGAGAGATAAAGATACAGCGACCGAGAGATAAGTGTTTTTAAGCTCAAAGCAAATTACTGCAATTATTACAATGATATAAGGCATAGAACCAACCTCTCATCAAAAAAATGATAGTTCTTATGGTAATTATTAAGCAAATGTACAAAAATGAATTTTTTCTCTGAAAAGAAAAGTCCATTTTTTACTACTAATTTTATAACGTTAGAGAAAGATGGCAACAATTAAATCTAATCTTTCTTAAGTCTAGTATAGTACATATATGTACAACATTAGGCCTTAGATGACGTTTATTTTGTCTAGGATTAATTATTTAGGGCTAGGAGAGGTTAAATTAATAAATTAGGTAATTAAAAAAAACGGGAATTTTGTGGGAAATAAAACAGTCTACTTTTGTACGTTCGATCAATAGTTTCCACGAGTACTATCATTTTTGAAGGATAGGTTGACAGAAACATATATATGGAGTACCTATACAACCTATACCCAAAAGACGAAATTATATTCCATTGCTGCTTGTCAATGGAAATATCTACTATTAATATCGTTCAATTGGTAGAAGGAGGAAGGTTTTTTTTTTTTGGGGGGGGGGATAGCAGTAAATATTTACCTCGTGTAGGACAAGCTGAGTGACACGGTACAAGAGTAGCGTGTAACAAGCGCCCTCTATCATCACCACAGGCGGGGCGATGCTGGAGGCGATGGTGAGGAAGCAGTACAAGAAGTTCACGCTGGTGGGCGAGGCGCTGAGGACCAACAGGTACGGCGACCAGAGCCACTGTATCAACCACTCTACCCTCAGGAAGTACTGCTTCTGTAAAGACCTTCTCCAGCCACAAGACATCGGCCACAACGCCACCCTCGCCTACACCAGGAACAATGCCAGTCATGCTGGTTAAGCTTCTCCATTCCAACATTAACATCCACCTTCTCAAACCACACAAAGGCAGCTAAATTGTTCAGCAACAAAAAAAGAATGCTCTCTTCTGTAGACGAGGAGTCACAATAACGTGGCTGAAATTTGTTGACCAGACCACACACTAGAAAGTGAAGAGATGACGACGTTTCGGTCCGTCCTGGACCATTCTCCACAATCGACTTGAAAATGGTCCAGGACGGGCCGAAACATCGTCGTCCCTTCACTTTCTAGTGTATGGTCTGGTCAACCTATCTTCTGTACTCACACAAAGAAATCTAACTTCTTCAGCAGGAAGATAACTTTCCCAGTTACTCAAGGAAAACTAAAATCTTCACCCACGTAAGACAATATAATTTTTCCAGCCAAAAGAATGCTTCAGGAAAAAATGTAAACAACTTCTTCAATTGTATATACATACCGAGGCCAAATAAAATATGTTACTGTTATATTTTAATAAATTCCATTTCATTTCAACAATTTAACATCATGATTTGTTCTCTATGATCCAAGGTATAAGTTTGTCCCCTTAAGCTAGAGTATCTAGGCCTAAACACTCAAGGTGTTAACTTTAATGATTACCTTAACGACTAACAAACACACACAAAGGATATTTGATATCGCAAACGAAAGTCAATTCCAAACATTATGTTCATAGTTGTACCATAGTAAGTGATGTATGCTGTACAATGTAAATTAATGTATAATGTACCAAGTTAAGTGATATATGCTGTACCATAGTGTCATACACTGTACCATAGTGTCATACACTGTACCATAGTAAGTGTCATACACTGTACCATACTTATATTAAACCGTATTAAACATTAATGATTATTATATTTCCTATGATAGAGAAATTCTGTAAATAAGAGAAAGTATGTTCTTACACGATAACATTCTTTACAAAAGAGAGAGTATGTTCTTGGATGATAACGTTTTACCCATAAAACGAGATATTTTAAACACTGTGTTAATATTTATTAACACAGTGTTCAACACACACATTTGGGTCACATGATATCTTCTATGACGCCAAATACCCCACAGCCTTGAGTCGAGTATCATGTCATATGCTACAAAACCTTTCTAACACTAACATATAATTATCTATAATTGCTCTCTCCCATCTACCAATTTCACTGATAAATATGAAAATAATTAAAAATGCCCATTAAAAGAATGTTTAAAATTATAACTAATTTTAAAAGTATTTATGTACAAATATTTAACATTGTGAATTAAGTAATGAACAAATTGAATGGTAAAAATGGTCTTTGCAGGTCCTGTGAGTGAACACAGGTGTTGGAGGCCAGGAATGTTAACGTCAGTAGTCTGGTCTTCTGGTTAACACTGAAATCTTACACGTGTGTTCTGGTTGTCTACCAAACACCCACCAGTGTTGCACCCACCCACCAGTGTTGCACCCACCCACCAGTGTTGCACCCACCCACCAGTGTTGCTCCCACCCACCAGTGTTGCTCCCACCCACCAGTGTTGCTCCCACCACAGTGTTACACCCACCCACCACAGTGTTACACCCACCCACCACAGTGTTTCATCCACCCACCACAGTGTTACACCCACCCACCACAGTGTTACAGTCACCCACCACAGTGTTACAGTCACCCACCACAGTGCTACACCCACCCACCACAGTGCTACACCCACCCACCACAGTGCTACACCCATCCACCACAGTGCTACACCCACCCACCACAGTGTTACAGTCACCCACCACAGTGTTACACCCACCCACCACAGTGTTACACCCACCCACCACAGTGTTACACCCACCAACCACAGTGTTACAGTCACCCACCACAGTGCTACACCCACCCACCACAGTGCTACACCCACCCACCACAGTGCTACATCCACCCACCACAGTGCTACACCCACCCACCACAGTGTTACACCCACCCACCACAGTGTTACACCCACCCACCACAGTGTCAATACACACAATACACTGCTTTGCATTCCTCGCTACCAGGAATGTCAACATTTTGAGTATAACATTTATACTGATGGTAATTTGCGATGACGTATGCGGTCGACTATTGCAGCAGCGAGAGTGCTAATCCATGTTGTCGTAGATGGGGTCGTCGTTCTGGTAGCAGGTGTTGTCGTAGATGGGGTCGACGCCTGCCGTAGAAAGTATATATAATTAATACTGTAGTTATATCATACACGATGTTGATTTCATACACCGTATACCTCAGTTAGAGGGGGACGAAGACACTAGTGTTTAGCCATACAACAGGTCTACGAAGGATAATAATTTTAAGATGGATAAATACAGAGATAAATATATCGATCTCAAAATTCTGGAGAAATCAAGTGTAATAGAATATAAAACTATTAATCAAAGAAAAATGTAAACAATGTCGATTGTACAATCTTATGTGGCAGACGGTGCGTAATGTTATATATAAAACTTTCTGTGTAATATGTTTCACTAGGAATTCAAAATGGTGTTATGACAAAGTAAAAACACCATTGATAAATATCTTCTCCAAACCTCAACTCAAGGGGTTGAAATCCCTGGTGTGACTCACGCCTTATCTCTGGGTCTTAATTATCCTAAGTCCATGGCTAAGGCTTTTGGTCTTAGCCATGGTCATATTATATATATATATATATATATATATATATATATATATATATATATATATATATATATGTTTTGTACACGAATGCTCAAACAATGATTTAAGTGCTAGTCCCATATTGTTAATTTGCATCACTAGTGTACCTGCATATTCCTTGGTCCACTTGTATGGCGTCTCTATGTAGGTGGCGATGCACTTGAAGAGGTACAAGTACTGGTCCTGTGAAGTACAGAAACATATATAGGTCCTGTGTGGTACAAGAACAAGTACAGGACCTGTGTGGTACAACAATGGGTACAGATCCTCTTAGAATTCATGAATGATTGCGGTAATATGTGTTGGAATAAACTTACAGCAAAGTTAGGTCACAAAACTGAGAATATTCTGTTGAAACCAGTTGATAGTGGGCCAGGTGAAGGGAAATACTCGTTGTAATCAATCCACAAGGTTACTCACCACGCTAACGTGGTACTCACTCACTACTCATGGTTACCTATGACACGACAACACTAACTACAAAGCTAGTTTAAGCTAGAGGGAGATGAAGGGAGTCCCAAGGATTTATATACTAGTAGTGCCCTCACCAACACTAACTTGCACGGAGACATCCAACATCAAGACACACACACACACACGTACATTAGCCCCAACAAACAAAAACACAAACACTATCACACCCACCAGCACCAACACAGCCAGCAGACACACACACACAAACACCCACATTCAAACACACCAACACATATAACCACACTCACCAACGCCTGGACCATATGTGGACGATACTGTCTCATATCGAGCACCATCTGTTTAATGTTAATGACGTCCCCGATCCTGTTGCTGTCAACACCGTCCATCAAGTTCCACAGTGTTATGAAGGTCCCCGTCCGGCCCACGCCAGCACTGAATGGACGGGAACAGCAGTCAGATTCACATTGTATAATTGCCAAGAAAACAATACACATTAAATAGTAAATATTGTTGTTTTGCAGGAGACATGAGATAAAGGTCAGTATTAGAGATCTTGATTACTGTTTAATGGTAAGTGCATCGTCGGGGCGCTGGTTTATCTACAGTGCAGGAGGGGAAGGGGGTGGCTTACCTACAGTGCACCAGGAGGTGCTCACCGTTGGTGGGCATGGTCCTTCTAACTTCAGCCATGAAGTCCAACAGGTAGTTGACATTGTCTGGAGCTCCGAAGTCTGGCCAGCCGGTGAAGTGGTACTGTTTCACCAGGCGCTTCTGGTTCCCCTGTGGTCACCAGGTCATCGTCTCATGAAAATAGTCTCACAAAATATACGTTCACTGCTATACGGTGACCATTATATAGAAAATTATCACATATATACACTGTACATTCTCACAGCAAGCAGTTCAGTGATTTGACACCCGTTATCTGTATATGTTCAGTGCCAGGTATACACAGATGCACTGTGTGACACAGTGTATATATATCTCAAGGAATCACATTTAACGTGATCCACAGTACATTTCAACAGCAGTACGAACGCTGATACATGAATTTATATTCACAACAATAAAATGACAGTCAGAACTGTAATGTTCACAGCAGACACGGACTTACGCGACCCTCTGGGAGCGAACACTTACTAAAGACACCTCGAGGAGGCGAATTGCGTGGTTCACTCTGCTCTCCTCGTTATGGTTGCGGATGGTGAACTTTCCGGCTGTGATGAAAGGTTCATTCACCCTCGGCCAGTACTGGGCGCACTTATCCTGCAACACACACACACCAAGATCAATATGCCTCGACGCCCTCACAAGCTACGCCCATCCACCTCTTTATTCACGACGCAATAAAAGTCTACATCAATTAGAAACCATGCTAAAATATCACACACAGAGATCACACTAACGTGATGCATCAAATGAACAAATCCACAAGGGCCGTGACGAGGATTCGAACCTGCGTCGTTCATGCCTGGATTTGTTCATGCTAAAATACGTCCATTGATGTGATAATCTCTGATAATCTAGTAGCTTGACGCCCCCTGCCCTTCTAGAGTGAGTACCATGATTCACACTGACTCACCCTGCCCTTCTAGAGTGAGTACCATGATTCACACTGACTCACCCTGCCCTTCTAGAGTGAGTACCATGATTCACACTGACTCACCCTGCCCTTCTAGAGTGAGTACCATGATTCACACTGACTCACCCTGCCCTTCTAGAGTGAGTACCATGATTCACACTGACTTACCCTGCCCTTCTAGAGTGAGTACCATGATTCACACTGACTCACCCTGCCCTTCTAGAGTGAGTACCATGATTCACACTGACTCACCCTGCCCTTCTAGAGTGAGTACCATGATTCACACTGACTTACCCTGCCCTTCTAGAGTGAGTACCATGATTCACACTGACTCACCCTGCCCTTCTAGAGTGAGTACCATGATTCACACTGACTCACCCTGCCCTTCTAGAGTGAGTACCATGATTCACACTGACTCACCCTGCCCTTCTAGAGTGAGTACCATGATTCACACTGACTCACCCTGCCCTTCTAGAGTGAGTACCATGATTCACACTGACTTACCCTGCCCTTCTAGAGTGAGTACCATGATTCACACTGACTCACCCTGCCCTTCTAGAGTGAGTACCATGATTCACACTGACTCACCCTGCCCTTCTAGAGTGAGTACCATGATTCACACTGACTCACCCTGCCCTTCTAGAGTGAGTACCATGATTCACACTGACTCACCCTGCCCTTCTAGAGTGAGTACCATGATTCACACTGACTCACCCTGCCCTTCTAGAGTGAGTACCATGATTCACACTGACTCACCCTGCCCTTCTAGAGTGAGTACCATGATTCACACTGACTCACCCTGCCCTTCTAGAGTGAGTACCATGATTCACACTGACTCACCCTGCCCTTCTAGAGTGAGTACCATGATTCACACTGACTCACCCTGCCCTTCTAGAGTGAGTACCATGATTCACACTGACTCACCCTGCCCTTCTAGAGTGAGTACCATGATTCACACTGACTCACCCTGCCCTTCTAGAGTGAGTACCATGATTCACACTGACTCACCCTGCCCTTCTAGAGTGAGTACCATGATTCACACTGACTCACCCTGCCCTTCTAGAGTGAGTACCATGATTCACACTGACTCACCCTGCCCTTCTAGAGTGAGTACCATGATTCACACTGACTCACCCTGCCCTTCTAGAGTGAGTACCATGATTCACACTGACTCACCCTGCCCTTCTAGAGTGAGTACCATGATTCACACTGACTCACCCTGCCCTTCTCCAAGAGGTTAGTGAGCATGACGATGACATAGACACGCTGCTCCCACACCATCCTCCAGAAGTCGGCCGTGGTGCTGGGCATGGGGCCCTGAGCTGCTATGAAGAACTGCTTCTGATCTATATCCTGAGGTAGGAAGAGTCTGAGATAAGAGTGCACTCTTAATGATACAAAACTCGTGCTTATAGTTAAGAAAAGAGTTTCTAAATGGTGTGGAAATCAATTGTTTTTGTTATTAATATATATCAAGTTAGAGTGATTTCTTGGTGTATCTGAAGCGTATTGTTGGTGAACTACTTTATCTACACTAGAATTCATGCGGGTGATATGTAAAGTTTAGATTGACTTCAGTAGAAGCCTCCAGACTTCCTGTGGATTAAGTAGAATCCCAGATGATTAATGAAGATTATGCCACCCAAGAGGTGGCACGGGCATGAATAGCCCGTAGAATCGTCGTTGTTGTTTTAGATCCAGCTACTGGGAACAAAACGTTCCAAGTAGCACGGGCTATGGTGAGCCCGTAGTGGACTTACCTGGCACAGGAGCGGGGCAAGAAGCACGGGCTATGGTGAGCCCGGGCTGTGGGCCGTAGAGTCGTTTGTTGTTGTTAAAGATTTAGCTACTCAGGTCGAAGTGTCCATGTAGCACGGGCTATGGTGAGCCCGTAGAGTCCCAGGTTGTATAACTTATATCATGTCGTGGTACAGGGGTGAGGTGCGGGGTTAAAAGTAACGTGATCGCTGGATCGAGTCACCTCATTGTTCCAGTTGGACTTTGTCTCATTATTACTGGTGTTGACTTTGTTTAACAAGTGTTACTAATAAAGTTGTACTTGCCTTCATGTAACTTGCGTTGATGTAATCTGATCCTGGCTTCTCAAGTACGGATAATTTTACTCTTGCGTTGTCATCTGTGGTAGGCAAATGTTGAATTAATAACATACACACACATAACACACAAGAAGACGACTGTCACAACACATGCATATATAAACAGTAAAAACTCCCGCTCAACCCCATAAACACACAAACATACGAACGTTACCAATTTTTATCCTGCAAGTAATCCCGTCGTTCTTCAAGGATACATTTAGGATCCAACTCTGATTTTATGAAGAGTATCGATACTTTTCGAGACACACACGATCCTATCTTGACCAGGATTCTTGACTCTATAGTCATGGTGCACTTAGAACCTCTTCTCATACAAGTAAACATCTTTCAGATATAAATATCTCTACAGTATAACAGTGTATATATGTATGTGACCTGGCAAGCTTGACGGGGGAGGATTCGTAGCAATGGGATCCTCCAGTCTTTTCTTAACTATATCATGTATCATTCAGCAAAAATATTTTCTTCTAATATATCAACTTCTGGTAATCCAGGGACGCGAGTTATATCACACAACATTACCTAAATATTTTGTTTCATAGTAACATTAGGCTACTGTGATTTCAATGTGCTCTAATCGAGTAATATTTGCCAGTAGTGAGATTCAAAGCCAGTAATCATCATTTCTGTATCAGTTTTGAAAATAGCTACCCCCCAGAAATACTAGTTTGCTTTTAATCAGGAGTTAATCATTCTGACGTACAGTGGGATTAAAATAATCCGGTTTCACAGTGAAATGCAGTCACGTGATCAGGTGAGTCACGTGACTCATTATGGGTTTTGTTTACCATTCAAAATAATTTCCTTTATATTTCAACACTTAATATTCATTAAAAATTTAAATCCAATATTTTAAGCTTTCAAGAATGATATAAATAAGAATGCCATGATGTAGAAACTCTACAAGAACAGATGATCGCAGAATACAATCCCTGTTGTATACTGTAGGACCCTGTTCTATTATATGTTTTAAGGGCATAACAAGAACTGTAATAGACTAGCCATAAATCTAACTAGTCCTATGTCTACCAATCTAAATCCTAGGCCAGATATAGAATATTATATATATATATATATATATATATATATATATATATGGCACCGTGCTGGTGCCCAATCTAATTTGTATACGTTTCTCGCACACACACTCTGGCATAGGTAATGGAGTTCTCCGCCAGGTTGTGGTATTTTTAATACTTCGTGGCCCAATGGGTTACGTCACGCATCTGGGGGTAATCCAGAACGTTGGTTCGATTCCCCACTGCCCTGTTCCAATGATTTCCTCATAGATACATTACATTATTGGGATTTAATTTATATAACAGAGGATGAAGTTGTTTGAGTGCAAGACGCCATATTCTGTACCAATTGATATTATCATGTCTGGGTGAGAGGCAGCGGAAGAGATGAAGTCAGAAGTAACTTACAAGGAAAGATGTTCTTGAAGCGGTTCTTCATCCTGTTGTAATCCCTGTTGGCGGTGGTGGCCTCGTTGTGAGGACTCAACTGCTGAATACTGGCGAACTCTTCCTCCAGCCCTCGCTCGGTGTCGCTCTCCAGGTACTGCAGGAGAGGATAAAGAGGCGTAGGAGTGATGCTGAGTGCTGGGTGACTGCCTTACGGCTACCTGGGCAGCTGGGTGCTAGGTTGGTTGCCTAGGAAAATGAGTGGGTGGGGCTGGCTACCTTGGAGGATGGCTGACTACTTAAATTTAGGCTGGCTGTTCCTAATGATAGTTAGCCGTCTGGCTACACCAATTGGACTGTCAACCTAGGAGGGTCCTGTATTATTCTTTGACTGCCGTTTGAATGGAGAGGTGACTACACGTCTGGGTAGTTAGATAGTGGGAATACAGGGGAGCCTTGACTGGACAGCGGTTGATAAATAAATCATATATCGAAATAATTTCAAAGCTGCATCCTCTGCGTCTATATTCCAGAAGCTTCATTCATACCAATCACAGCATTTTACAGGTCAATCCGTACTTTAACTCACCCATAACAATTATTATCACCAAGTAAACAACTCCCATTGACAAATGTCTTCCCTAAAAACCTTCAATAGCACCACAAGATGCCATTCATCTCCCCCGGCTGCTCTTCCTTCACTAGAAAGGTCGCATGTTTATATCTTCGTTAACGAGACAAATATCCACACGTGGAAAAGTACACAGACAACTTACTCGTATGTATTTGCGGAGGTCGGTCTTCTTGATGTCACCGTCGGAAGCCCTGACCACCGCGGGCATCATGGGCATGGGTATGGCTGACCTCCTGCTGGGGTAGACGTCGGTGGCTGCTCAGCACACTCTTTTAATGCTCATTATAAGGGTTCAATAGCATATTTGTGTGTGTGTGTGTGTGTGTGTGTGTGTGTGTGTGTGTGTGTGTGTGTGTGTGTGTGTGTGTGTGTGTGTGTGTGTGTAATGACGTACAAAATACAATAAACACACCTACTAGATGAGGTAAACACACACGTAATGCGTGCAGATAATGCTATACTGATGTGAAGGCTGTTTCTTATTATACTGGAATTTTTTCACCTTAAAAAGACAGAAAATACAGCCAAGAGGACAAGGGACAGGTAATCTTTAAATGGACTCCAGGAGGAAAACGTTTACTGAGAGGGATGAACGCAAGAGAAAAGAGACAGCAAGGGGCCATAACAGGAGACAGTAGAGGGGACCATGAACAACAGGGAACTATGACATTTGGGATAAAAAGTCTGGTTATTTGGACAAAATAACTTTACACTAAAATTTCCTCTTTGGGTATAAAAGTTATCATTAATAAACTAAAAATTTGTTTGTATACAAAATCCTTCACTACCACAGCCAGATAACAAGGAACCTTCACTAAGTTACAATTGGAACAAAATACTAAAACAGGTTCGGTTACATAAGGTTTAATGAAATTATAATATTGATTAATTGTTGAATTAATTCTTGTTCCCTCTACTAGATCCTGAACTATGTTGAAATATTTATACAAACAAATTCTAGCTAGTTTTGTATTTATAATACATAATTAAGATTTGATGTATCAGAGCTAAGACAAGAAAAAGTGGTAGAATTTAAGCAGTTGTGACGAGATAACATCATTATTACGTGTGCTTGGAGCTGTCATCCTTGCCCTTCAGTCTCCTCCTGTAGACGACGGCAGCGACGGCGGCAGACACCAGCAGAACGCCTCCCACGACGCCCCCCGCCACGGCTCCAGCACTCACGCCCTTCAGCGTCGTCACTGGTATTGATATAGAAGGCCCCCAGCCCTTCCCCGTCCTCGCCTGGAGGAGGAAGAGACAGAGCCTAGTCATGACCACGACTTCGCTTGACACCTTTTGTAGACACCAGAGAAATATATTTGTAACCGATACAGGTAACTGAAAATGAATTATAGTAACTATTCAATGGGCATTTCTGAATTTATTGTTGCTTATACCAACTGAGTGACAGCTGTATCGTATTAACATACCTTCAGATAAACAGTGAACTGCGACTTTCGATGGAGGTTTGAGATGGTGTAGGTGGTGGTGTTGGCGGTGAGGTTGGTGAGGCCGCCGTCCCAGGCCAACTGGTAGTCTGTCACGACACCGTTCTTCTCCTCGGGTCCAGCCCAGGTTAACGTCACGGTTTTAGTGCTGGATGAGGTTTGGTTGATCTCTGCTGGCTTCCCGGGGGCTGTCATGAGGAAAAAAACAGTAAACATTTTGTTGAAAATAAGCAATTATAAATAAAATTAATGAATAAATAAATAAATGGAAACCTAATTAATGGCTTATTCCTTAATTTTCCTAATGTTTACTACTGTACAATAGTTCAGGAACCTCATCCGTTTAATAACAGCTACATAATGAAAGAATTAATAGAAAAAAATTACTCAACAAGTGTTCAGGGAGAATGTATAAAATGAAAAAGGTTGTCTTTGAATACCCTTTATTCTCTTCTCGAAGGCTATGGGTCCCCACCTATGAATATAGGTCCTCCCTACCTCTTTGAATATAGAGGAACCACCAGAGCTGGTACACCTATATTCAAATAACTCATATTTTTTTGCACACAGCCATATGGGTTAGGATTGCAGTTTTTATTTTATTAAAATTAAAATTCCGTTTATCAACTCTTCGCTGAGATCCATACAGCATATTATTAATACATGATGGTTAGATATTATGTTTTAAGTAGATTATGTATTGATTTGGACACTGAAGTGATGATATGATTACAGTGATGAAGGGAAAGTGGTGAAGTGTAGGGTAGTAAGACTACCAGTAAACTAAGACTCACCAGCCTCCAGGGTAGTAGTAAGACTCTACCAGTAAACTAAGACTCACCATCCTCCAGGGTAGTAGAGGAGCAGCAGTCCCACGCACCAACAATGTCATTAACGACCACTGCTGCTACACACACAGTGTAGGTCGTCCACGGTGTTAAGTCACCCAGGTCTGCATATGTTGTTTGAAGTTCTTTAGAGTCGTGGCTGGTGTCGTCGGACCAGAGGACGTCCCCGGTATAGTCTACCTTGTACCTGTTTACTGTACACTGTGTGTCGGCTGGAGACCAGGTGACAGTGAGCTGGCGAGGAGAGTCGACCTTCTTACAAGTCACTGGCGGTGATGGCGGGGCTGTGGAACCATGGACAAGTTACTGCTTTAGTGAATTATTTAATACTCTGAGTGTGTGTGTGTAACTTTAATATCCATGAGATTAATGTTTATCTTCACTCAATGGTCATGACAATGTTTCGGAATAATGTTTTTTCCCGTTTTTCAGAATGTGTTTATATAATATTATTATTGTTGTGATTGTTTTTGCCATTCTCATTAATTTAGTATTATAATAGTTTTCAACACTCTGAATTAACTATGTACACTGATGTTGTATTATGACTAAATATAAATTTTTTAATATTTAAAAAAATAGCGTGTGACAAAATTACTTGTGTGATCCAGTTCAGAGAATCATAGTATTTAATGTTTTTTTTATTTATTCGAGAATGATACGCCATATAGGTTAAAAAAAAAATACCCCAAAGTTGCTAACAATATGTACGACATTTCGGCATTGTACACTTACCAGATGCATCCGTAGTGTTGGTAACGTTAAACTGTTTCCCGTAACCCTTGATAGTGGCGGCCGTCACAGTAACGGTGTAGTTGACACAAGACTTAAGTCTCGTGATGTTGTACTGTGTTATGCTGCCGTCCACAGTAACCTCCGTACCATTACCACTGTCCGGTGGGCTCCAGGCGACACTGTAGTTGGTTATGATTCCTCTGGGCTCCTCTGGCGGGCTCCACACCACCAGCAAGGACTCTCCGGTATGGGATTCTATCGTAGTGTTCGAAGGTGACCCCGGCGCTGGGATATAAACAAAGAAATCATGCGTAAATTAGCAAAGAAACAAGTGTGTAATCTATAATGATGTGTAAATAAAAAGGTTAAAAGGACCCACAAAAACTACTCCTTCGTAAGGTATAAAGTTATGTAAACAATAAGTGTATAGGCAGTACGTTCCTGGAATGAAGGAATATCCAGGTAATATTCATTGAATATCCTCAGTTAAAATCCTCTTAATCATCCCACCTTTATGTCACCTCCATTAATCGATATTTTAACTTATGGATCTTTGTCTAGTCAGGTGTAGTTTGGTATATAATCTCAAACCAAACTCTTATGTCATCTGTCCCTCAGCATACAGCTCCGCTCATGTGGCAGGTAAGTCCACTACGGGCTCACCATAGCCAGTGCTACTGGAAACTTTTTGTTCCGAGTAGCTGAATCCAAAACAACACCATGTCATCTGTCTGTATTTCCTTTTGAGTAAACCAAATTTACTCAAAATGGTATTTGTTCCAACTTTCAGATTTCTGACAGCATCAGAACAATTATAAGTGACAGAACATTACACAGCATCAGAACATTTATGCACTGATTATTTGGTTTATGATCCCTGTTAATTATGATTACTAGATCGTCGCTGACTTCAGATTTCTCATTGTCAACATTTTCCAAGGGTGATATCTCCTTATTTTATTATCAAAATCTAAGATCAAAACCCCACGTTTTTTTTAGCAATAAACTACATGCACCTAATCATATTGTGTTAGAATCCACAATTAAATACGGTGAATCACAATAACAGAGAACAACGAGGACGGTAATAGACTGATTTTTTTATTAACACATTAAGTATATCTGCATTTGTGCAGCTACCTTATACTATATGAAGGGGAGTACAGAGTGTCAAAAAGCTAGCTTCGTGGTGCTAAAAATTCCCCATCAGACGCAATAGACTGATTTTTTTTTTTTTTTTTTTTTTTTTTTTATTAACATATTTAGGTACATCTATATTTATACAGCTACCCTAAACAATATGAAGGGTCACAGTGTGCGGCAAGAATCATGCTAAAAAAAATCCTCCATATCACATCATATTTTTTAACACATTTAGGTACATCTGCATTTGTGAAGCACCCTAGATTATATGAAAGGGAGTACAGAGCGTCACAAAGCTAGCTACGTGATGCTAAAAATCCCCATCACACAGGATGGTTAGTTATACAAAGGCATTTGATATGTAGTCTGCACTGGCAGACTGGGTGCATTATGAGGATATCATCATCAAAACAAGAGTGAATAAGGTAGCAGTGATACTAAAAGTCTCCAGCTCGCAGGAGGTTAGTCATACAGGGCCATATATGTTTTGTAGCCTGCACTGGCAAATTTTGGGTGCAATATGAGGATATCTTCAAGAATACGAGTAAATCAAGTAATTGCAAACCTCCAGGTACCTCATGCCAACGGGTCTGAAAGGTCTAATAACTGGGCATTCGGTGATGTAATGCAGGAGATCATGGCGCAGTTCCTGCTCACAGAGTTTGCACCTGGAGTGCTCAGGATTGTTTTTTTTTTTTTTTTTTTTTTTTTGTTTATTAAGTTATGAGGTACATCTGCATTAGTGCAGCTACCCTAGACTATATGAAGTGGAGTACAGTGTGTCAAAAAAGCTAACTAGGTGATGCTATAAAATCCCCTGAAACTGTAAAACTTAGATGAAACTCTAAGGAGAGTTCGCATCGGATTTGACTATATCGCCCCAAGGAATTGCGAGGTAGTGAAAGGAAATTTTCTGTTGTGGGGAATCCACTAATCATCAATCAACGGGGATTGGTTTCATTAAAGTGGATTTTTAACCTTCAGTGTTGGAAGTCTGTTTAGCGAATGACAGATTCCTCAAATGTATGGGAAGCTGTTCAAAGGTGGGAGTCAATTTAGGATTTATTTGTAGTCCTAGTTATAAGTCCACAAGGTATTTGCGAGCTAAGTTAGGTAATTCAGTCCTCGGGAATTTTTAGTGAACTAAAACGAACTGGCTGGCCAACACACTCAAGTTCCTGAGGAGCCTACTCAATGTGACTACTCCCAGAACAGAACTCTTGCCCTATGATATCTCAAAGAATCGTAACACTATTGTTCTGATAAAACTATTTTATAATGTGTTTGTTGTAAGTAAGATCTTTTATACTTTTAGTTATGGCAATTATCTTATTAATTTTACTGGTGCTATATAGCCATACTGGCTTAGACCCTATGATAATTATTTACTTACATATGAAACAGATCAGAGTTATACAGAAGAATGGAACACTCACTGTCTTGGTCGGTTGTAGCGTTAGTGCAGGACGGCGGAGCATATTTATATATAGAGCTCTGCTCAGTTGCAGCAGCCACACAGACGGTGTAGCTGGTCCAAGCTTCCAGGTCACTGATGGTGAGGGTTGTGTCACTGGTGGTCGTCTGGTCCACCAGTTCCTGGGTGCTGGCCAGGTACCAGGTGACGTTGTACCTGGTGACCGGACACAGTGGTCCTGGATCATCCGGGTGTGTCCAGTTGACACTCAGTTTGTCAGACTTGTTGTATACCATGACTGCCCCTAGTGATGTGGGCGGGTCAGGAGCTGGGGACCGAGAAACGTAATGCTACTTCTTATAAAGAAATCAAGACGCGTTAAAATCATTCATTATTTTTAAAGCAGAACGTTATGAAACCTGCGATCTCTCTTAACACAATCACCAGTCATTGTGGGGAAAATACATCAGTAATCTACAAGTATGTGACTTTGACACCAGATCTTAGGGCATCAGACTGTTTCCACAAGAAATTACAGTGAATCTGTGAGCTGAAGTGTCAACACAGAATATATAAGTGGATACTAGGGTCATAGGTGCCGCAAGTATGTGTATTCTTTCCATAGGTGAGTCACCTAAAAGGACAGAGAACTTCTAGAGGGGTTGTACTCTTGTATCACACACACACACACACACACACACACACACACACACACACACACACACACACACACACACACACACACACACACACACACACACGAGGACCAAGAGGATCCCAGGATATCGCAGGTAGGGAAAAACGGATGTTCTGAACTGTGAATATACATTTCCTTAAAGTTAGTATCAAGGAAATTCAGTGAGGTATTTTAGTGTGAGAGTTGGTTTTAAGATGGACCACATCCCAGTTCAGCTCACGAGTGACTGTTGATATATTTCCCTCCCAAGGGGGTTGCCAGCTTATGAATTCTGCTTTAAAAGAGATGCCAGATAATATTACTGGTGAAAATATGATTTACATAAGAAACACTTGCACTAAAAACATTTATATTCTTACATATGTTCATTATGAAATTTGTAAGGTATTGACATTCGTTTAATATTATATATATATATATATATATATATATATATATATATATATATATATATATATATATATATATATATATATATATATATATCGTACCTAGTAGCCAGAACGCACTTCTCAGCCTACTATGCAAGGCCCGATTTGCCTAATAGGCCAAGTTTTCCTGAATTATTATATTTTTTCTAATTTTTTTCTTATAAAATGATAAAGCTACCCATTTCATTATGTATGAGGTCAATTTTTTTTTATTGGAGTTAAAATTAACGTAGATATATGACCAAACCTAACCAACCCTACCTAACCTAACCTAACCTATCTTTGTAGGTTAGGTTCGGCTAGGACAGCCGAAAAAGTTAGGTTAGGTTCGGTTAGGTAGGTTAGGTAGTCGAAAAACATTTAATTCATAAAAACTTGGCTTATTAGGCAAATCGGGCCTTGAATAGTAGGCTGAGAAGTGCGTTCTGGCTACTAGGTACGACATACACACACACATATATATATATATATATATATATATATATATATATATATATATATATATATATATATATATATATATATATATATATATATATATATATATATATATATATATATATATATATATATATATATATATATATATATATATATATGAGAAAACTAAGTATGAGAAAACTATATATGAGAAAACTAAGTAGGGCTAAAGATGGGCTCGAACCTATGACCCCGGCAATGCCAGTCGCGTACTCTACCACTAGACCCAAATCTGCATTGGTCTTATGGTAGAGTACGCGGTCGTTGGTTCACGCCCACCTCAAAGCCCTAGTTGATGTTCTCAATAATAATAATAATCATTAAAAAAATCCCAATAATGAGAATAATAATACAACATAATTATAAAAAGGATTACTGAGTGCGGATTAAAGGGAGTCAGCCTAGTCGAAGACTGTGACCTGAGTGACCTGAGGAAGTGTGAGCCGTGACAGGCATGTTCAGTGCTTCATTAGCGTTTAATAACTGAAAGTTGAAAGCTGGAATTCATTGAACGACATTTAAGTTTGCGGATGAGATTCAATGTCTTTGAAACAAAGCTGGATTAGATGTGTTTGAGGGACACGTCAACGTGAGCAACGCTCTCATTACTTAAGTACAAAATGATCCCACATGTACACACAGTATACTAATGTACTCACCTATACTGTCTGTTGGAGCACTTTTCGGGACACTCTCGACACCAAAGCCTTTGATCGTAGCAGCCGTGACGGTGACGGAGTAGCTGGTACAGGGAGCCAGGCCGGTGATGTTGTAGCTGGTGGTGGTGGGGGTGGTGACGGTATCCTGACTGGTGTCGCCCTCCTTGGTCCACTTGACCATGTACTGGGTGATGACACCATTGGGCTTATCTGGAGGTGTCCACTGTACGTGTAGAGACGAGTCGTTCAGTGTCTTCAGAACTGTGCTGCTTACTTCTCCTGGCTCTACAAGATATTGATAACATAAATTTTGTTAGCTGAGTTACACAATAATTATTATAGTAGAAGCATCAAAGAAACGACTGTTATTATATTTCTAAAATATCATCAATAATTATATAAAAAAAAATAAAAAATAGAGGGAATAAGTATTTGTTATATCCTGATCAGAGACTCTCCATAGTCAAATAATGTATATGCACTTTATCTCATTAAAATTGTTCTAGGAGCCCTGATATCATTAAACAAAAGTGCTGAAAGTTGTACTGAAACTTAGTTTCATATTCTCTCTAATACAATTTACCAATATTGCATTTGAATGCATAAACAAGCCCATCCTCCTGAAATGATAAACTTATAGTAACTATTTGGTCGAAAGTACCACAATGTATTGTGATGGACCAATAAAATGTTCAAGTTTTGTACCTTTAATCTTATAAAATCCGGAACAAATAAAACAAAACGCCAAACTTAAATATTTCTTGGCCAAGTAGAGCAGATGTACTTTATTCAGCCTAAGATAGCGTGCATTAGGCCTAGGATTTCTAAGGGAGGTTAGGTTAGGTTCTACATTTATGTTGGAGTCATAAAAGTTCCCATTTTGGCCAAATTCAATAATAGAAAAGTCAATTCTTTGTTGATGCAACAAACATATTGGTTATTCGACCAAATAGATACAATGAGCATTATAATTTGACGAGGATAGACTGATATAAAAATGGGTTAAGAAATATCTGAATATTATAATTTTACAACCAGTAAGGGCATTAGTTAATTATAACAACACGACTCTGATGACATCGAAGCCCATAAGCTATAGAAGAAACTAACTAGAATACGTCATCGTCACCATCACCACAACCACCATCACTACCATCAGCAGATAGCGCAAAGCTAATAAGGAATGTAAAAATCCTGTGTCATCACAATCTAATTGTCATCACCATTATCGCAATAATCACCATCATTATCATTACAAATCATCTACGTTATAATCGCCATTATCATCCCACCGCCAATCTGGAGGAAATCAGTGCTGCCTCACAGACTGCTAAGACTAGGAATAAAGTGCCATCAGCGACTCCCTCGTAACCAACATGTCCACTCCCGCTAGACAGTTACCCCGGGGTGTGGGGTAAAGTAATTGCAGAGCTCCAGGCACCTCACACCGGCTAAAATAAAAGGGTCAGGTAAGATAACTATCAGGGAGAAAGCACTAAGCCATTACGATTTTATAGCACAAAAAATAAGGGTCATTAAGGCAAAATTTTCCCTTCAGCTGTCTGAGTACTTCATTGCTTTGGATACTTTATTTTCCTGATTCGGTGTTTTCTTGATTTCTTTTCCACAAATTCTTCTTTTGTTAGTCACACACCCTAGGTATTTAAATAATAACTTTAAACATGGGTCAATTCTTCCTGATTACAGAAACGATTGAATCAGAATACAGCACGGGTTATTAAGTCACATCTGGCCAGTTTAGTTAGTTAATAAGACTAGTTAATAACCATTGAAGAGCTAGAAAACGGCTGATAATCCAGCCCATCCACTCGAATAGCACATCGCTTTTTTGACGTATAAATCACTTACGGCCACTTCGTAGGCCGTAAGGTCGTTCTAAGGAACTAAGGAACTAATATTCACAGCGCCTTCGTAGGTTCTCGGATAAGTTTGGACAATTTAGTACATCAGCTTAGTGACGCTAGGAACGTTCGAGAGGACGGGCTGGATAATCAGTGGGTAAGTATTTAGAGAAGAAGCAAAATCATCAGCTGTTAGTGCGTCTCGTAGCAGCAACAGCCAGGAGCGTAACCCGTGATTCATCACTACCCCAGAGGACAATAACACCAGTCCATCCTCCTAAAATAATAGTACTTATAGCAACTATTTGGTTAAACGTACCAACATGTACTGTTGTACCTCAAAAGTTTACATTTTGGGTCCAACAGTAGGGAATCTGGTTCAATGCGGGTGCAGAAAAGAAACGATTGGGAACGTTTCCTTTCATCTGATATTCATCTAACAGTAAAATAGGTTCTCCGGGAGTTAGGCAACTGTTCTGGGTTGCATCCTGAAGAAGGTTGGTAATTGGCCTAAAGTGTCGGGTTCTCGATGTCTAATTTTAAGCTTTCTCTCCACAAGGGGAATTATGAATTATTTTAATAATTTTACACTTTATGCTATATTCCAGAGGTTTACTAAGAATGCTTTTAAATGAGTTTTAATTTTAATCTAAATTGCATATTGATTCATTAGCAGAATACCGGAGGTGTGGAGGGTTGCAAATGTGATGCCCAGAAAGGGGATAGTCAATTTGCAATGAACTATCGTTCAATTAGCTAAATGTATATGGTAGGAAAATTGCTTGAATCGATAACCGTAAAAGTCATTTCTTTACTCTTGAAATACATTGATAACGGATCCACAACATGATTTTACTAAAAGGCCGATCATATTTAAACAAAATTCTTTCTTTTCCTGTATATTGGAAGCAGTTGATAACGGAAAGAATTGCGACGTCCTTATATTTAGATTTTATATTTTTTATATTTAAATGTTGATGTTTTGTATGCCATAAATCCTCCAAGTTCAGATACCAAATCCAGTTATGGGCCGGCGATCAGCCCCACACTTGGTAAGCCAATCAATTTAGATAATTGTTTCTTTCAATTTTAGAAGTAAAAAATATTCATAATTTAAGCTATATACAGTTTGACATGAATAATCTAGAACAAAGTAAAAATTTACAGCACCAGTGCCTCATTGCTGCATTCTTAATATATGTTATTCATGTGCATCAAACCGGCAGGAAAGTGGAAGCAGCACTCACCCGACCTGTTTCTCCAACAATCCATAGAGAGACAGGCTTCACCAAAGAGGAAGGACTCTAGTACAGAAGCAGCTAAATTGACATATTATTTATATTTAAAATTTTATGTAAATCTGGGACTAGTTTATATGGTTTAAGGTGTTTTTTTACACATTCTATATCAATAATTGAACTCGAAGCAATGAATATAATTGGACATGACTAAATTCAGGAAAGATCTGAGTAAATAGTGGTTTTGAAAATGGTTTGTTGATTTATAAAAAAAAAAACACCATAGTGACATGGGATTGCTTGATTAGAAAGGCGAGAGTCTGGGAATTACTAGAACCCTGCTTCAAGTCATCTCATTGCTTAAAAATTATTTATTTTCTCAGTGGTCGTTGGAATGTTTTAAGCGTGGGTTTCAAGTTTGTGTCATATGAAAGCGCTTTGATGGATATAAATACGGGCTGGCTTTTATTGGCAAATAGGTCTCAGGAAGTCTCATTTTTTCTTACAGTATGTACTAATCACCATCAAAATAAACTAATACCCCAATGAACACCACACACTAATACCCCCACCATTACAATACTACCACCAACACAATACTAATACCACCACAACACAATACCACCACAACACAATACCACCACAACACAATACCACCACAACACAATACCACCACAACACAATTCTAATACCACCATCAACACAAAATAAAAATACCACCATCAACACCAATATTACCAGCCTCACCATCACAAGCATTACTTACTGTCCTCGTCTGTCCTGCTGTTGTTGCACTTATCATCACTGTAAGTCTTATTAGTCGTGGCCGCTACACAGACGTTGTAGCTGGTCCAGGCATTCAGGTCCTTGATGGTGTAATTTAGATTACTTGTTGTATCTTGCTTCTGACCTTGTCCACCACTGGTGACCTTCCAGGTAATCCTGTAGGTTATGGCACATTTCCCTCCGTCTGGTAAATCGGCCTTAGGCCAACTGACGGACAACTGAGATGGTGTGTTGGGGACTGTGTCCACCGTGACCCTCTGGACTGGGAAGGGGTCTGGAGGGGCAAAGTGCACCAGAGATTAGCGAGGGTCGGAGTCTGGTTAGTAGAGTGTGATGACCTCGGAAGGAAGGAGATATATATATGAGTTATATTTGTAAGTATTTTCATTTAATCATACATTTGTTTTATTATTTTATATTTTCATGCATTTTTGCTTATTTTTTTATTAATAATTTTATTAATTTATCAGTTAATTTATCAGTTAATTTTTATTAGTTATTAGCTTATCAGTAAATGTTAATTATTCAGTTTATTATATTAATATTTTAATATTTATAAATTAAAATATTAATAATTTTATCAATTTTATTTATATTTATATTTATTAATTTCTTGAATATCTAAAATAAAAATTACTTATCTATTTAATTATTTGCATGCATTATTAAAAATTTTAAATATATAATCATTACTCAATGATAATCCTTCCTTTCCTTAATCCTCAATCCTTGCTTTCCTTAGGTAGGAAGAATTTATATAATATTAAAAGAATCACTCGTCCATTCAATATAGAAATTCAGGAATAAAAAAGAACCTCCACACTTCAAGTCATCCACAACACCATCCTACCGATACATAAGCCCAGGGTGGGATATGAAGCATATTCCTTACTGTGCCCCATGTGGTGTCCACTCTCACTCCCTGCTTCCTCACACACACACTCCCTCACTACGTTCTTCTTTCCGGACTTCTTCATTTTTCCCAACAAATTGAATACAATATACTCCCTTCATCAGCCTACCATCGTTCAAGCGTTTAACAGCAGGCTGCTAATAGTAATTGAAATTTCCAATAGGGCAAATGTTCTAGATAAGGACAAGTTGAGCAGAAAACCTAAACAGGGAGCATTACCACGTCTCTACCTGCATTATTGAAGAGTTAAATCACGTTTATTAGTGTGACCACGTGTTGGAGGTGATGCTTTGGGGTGTAAATGTTTGGTACTGTTGCCTGACCACGTGTTTGAGAAACGAGTATCTGGTGCGAGCAATGGCTGCCCTTGCGCAACGTGCGTGTGTAACAGAGACCTGGTGTCGTGAGATATGACTACAGTCGTCGTGAGGAATTGCGAAACGAAATGAGCGCCGAGTAAAGAAGTCGTGCCTTTGCCGTTACTCACCCGTCAACTGTCACCTGACACCCGTCATCCACCAGTCAATACTGTACCGTCATATCACGTGAGACAGAATCTGACACAGTATTTGGGGGTTTAATTGTATCTCCTGCATGAAAAAGTACATGTATGAATCAGTTTACCTAAGAAGCTCCATCTCATATGAAAATCTTACTTATGACAGAAACGTGAATCTAACGGTTGGAACTTGTCGAACCACCTGTGCAAGGCCCAGCAAAGTTCTGAAAAATGTAAGGGTGTTTTACTCTTTACTTCATATACAAGCGATTGGAGGAACCAACCTGTTCTCCTGAATAGCACCTCCCGTTTTGATATTTAATTTTCTGTTAGGTCAAGAACAGATATACCAAAAATGATAGCGGCTCGTAAAATTGACGTAATGTCCCGTTTTTTGTTCGTGGGCTCTTGTGTAGGTTAGGTTCGGGGAATTTAGTCCAGGAGTTTAGTGACGTTTGGAACGCTCGGTAGAACGGGTTTGGGAAAGTAACTTAACGAGAGTAACATGAGAGAGAGAGAGAGAGAGAGAGAGAGAGAGAGAGAGAGAGAGAGAGAGAGAGAGAGAGAGAGAGAGAGAGAGAGAGAGAGAGAGAGAGAGAGAGAGAGAGAATATATTTGAGTTTATAACGTCTTTCAATTAGATCTATATGTCCCACTGGATGATTTGCTTTGCCCTGACTATTATGACTCTTAACCAAGCAGAAATGGACAGAAAAGGCCACGTCACACAATGTGGTATTCAAGCTCATTAACTCCTTATTCAGAGGTCTAAACTCAATTCTTATGTTGGCGAACCTTCATGTGTGTGTTGCTGATATGTTTGATGCGGGCTTTAGGAAGACTGGTTTGGTGTGATATCAACCACCAGATTTTTTTTCTGTTTAATTCTTGAAAAAAAATATTATCCGAAAATGTACCTTGTATTTGGACACATGTTTCCGGTTGCACAGCTTAATTGTGTATGTAGTATTTGTAGGTGGACAAAGAAGTAGTAAGTGGGTGCTAGAGGCGGCTTTTAGAGGAGTATTGCAGCTATTGAAGTATTTAAACAGATGCGTAGTGCTGTTGGAGAAAACTAGCTTATGTAAACGCAATTGCAAATAAAGTTAGGCAAGAAAAGGGGTTAGTACAATGAAAGTCCTGGTTAGGAACAACGTGATAGGAAGAGATACGACCAACCTGATTAGCAGGATCAGGTTGGTCTATCGTTACCTGCGGCAGGTGGTTGCAAGTGACAAATCACCTAATACTGAGCACTCCATGTTTAACTTTTTACGAGCAGGAACTGGGGTTATGATCTTACACACTACATTCCGTTATAAAGGTACCTGGAGCTTTGCAATTACTTTATCCACCAAGGTGTTTTTCAGAATATTCGCATAATGTATCCAAAATTATTCGCATAATGCATCCATAGATCATTGAATACATTCTACCGACCATATGCCACTGAATGACTAACCATCCTGCGATATCGGGATCTTTAGTATCACATATCTCGCTCTTCACACAGGCTATGTAACCTTCAAATAGTCTAGGATTACTTCATAAATGCTCATTTATCTAAGTACGATAATAATAAATGTAAATGAAAAAAATATTAATGAGAAACGCTGGTGTAACATGAACATTAAATATCTAGAACTGGACTATCTGAGGTGGATGTTGAGTGTTTGGAGGATGAACATAATAAGGATAGATAACATCTTGAAAGATGTATTGCGCTAACGTCAGCAAACCATAAGACTGATGAAACCTTTGGATGAAAGATTTGAGAAGAATTTATTGGAATTAATTTGATTGTATGAGAAGAGGAAGATCAAAACGATTGGCAGGTATGGTGTATGAGTGTGTCAAGACGAGAGGCTTGAGTGTAAATGATTCAACCTAAATGCAAGTTGTTTAAAAATGATTGAATGTTTGACAAGGAAACTAACAAGGATCACTCTACACCTGGTCTCATGAAGGAGTCGAGTGCTGGTGCAGGTAATTACCGAGTGTCGTGGGGAATCTGTGTCACTGTGAATTCTGGTTTCATTCTTTTCCTGTGATACTCCCAAATATTCTGGCGAAGGTCTCCTTATGACTGGGAAATGTAAATGTAATATTGATAACGTCGATGATAATGATTATAAAATATTAAGTTTAAATAATATAAATATTTAACAAAAATATTATAAAATACAAATAAATTCATCCTTAGATAGTGGATGATAACAGCATATTTTACCACGAGCAAGTGTTCTTATTGTTGATGTAAGAAGACCAGCGTCATCGGTTACATTGGGTTTATATATCGGTAGGACATTGACGGTGTAGTTAGTACACGACACAAGATCTGTGATAGTGATAGTGTAGGTGATTCTGCCATCGTCGACAATGACTGTCCCATTGTCCTTGGGAGTCCAGGTGACGTTGTAGGAACTGGCGCCCGACTGAGCGTCCCAGGTAGCGTCTATCTTGTCCGTTGTTGCTTGCAGCTGCAGTCCTGAATCACCTGGAGGGAGAAAACCCATAAATAACGATTTGTTCAAATTAATTATATCACAGTTTCCCCTTGGTATGGATAATCCATGAAAGGTATGTAAGGGAGTTAAGTTTATTCCAAAGGGGGGGGGGGGGGGTCACCACAATATATATATATATATACGTGAATATACAAACCACTAAACATACGAAAGTGTATAGTGAGGATGAATACTCGAGATCCCCTAGTCGTCACGTAACAAGTTCTCACACCTGCTTCTTGCTAGTTTTAATTATACAAATTAAACGACACAATAATAAATACAAATTAAGAAAAGATGCCATTATAAACAGATTACCGAGATTCAAAGAATGAAGATATATATAAACAATAACTATATAATTAATAAAATTAGTATGGTAATAAACAAGTAGATCCATAAAATAAGTAAATCCATAACAAATAAGAAAATTTATAATAAAAAATCCATGTCTATAAAAGATAATGTCTATCTATTTGCTTGCTTTTTTGTCCGAAGTTGGAGGCCAGACTCTTGGCCAACTTTGCAGCGTGAATGCTATAAATAAGGGGCTGTTAAAGGCTGGTCGGATTGGGTACAATTTCTCCTATTAAGGAGGGGGTGGGGGGAATCGGGCACCAAAATGACATTCACGAAATCAATCGGTGGAAAGTGACTGGCCGAGTCCCTACACTTCTTTCTAAGGACAGTCATATACGGCTGCTTTGAAATTTCTCACTTTGTCACGTGGAATGCGAGACGTGCGCGCAGTATGCTCTTTGATCTAATGATGTATGCTAGTGCCAAAAAACATTGGTGTACTTTGCCTACATATCTGAAAAGTAACCTAAAATGTAAACGTGTTAAAAAACCACGAAAGTGACGACTCATATTACCAACAGTTTCAGATTGCTATTGCAACAGATTTTTAGCTTCTCATCAAAGTGTAACCTTAGAAGCCTTTTCTTCCAAAAATCACCAGTAGCTCTCAAACCATTGTCATGGGTGATTTTAATGCTAGACACACTAGCTTTGGTGATACCAAAAGAAATAGAAAATTAAGGTTTTAGTTAAATATCTCAGTGACAATAACATATCCATATTCAACTATAATTTATCTAACGTCACTCATCTCAGGGTTTGCAGACTTGATTATAATATTTTTTTCTCTGTCATCGATAATACTGTCAAAAGAGCCATTGTACATGAATTATTTAATGATCATTTTGCGATCCTCAGTTCATACACCATAAATGATGTTCAAATGGTTTCTTAAGCTTTCAAGGGAAAATAATCAATTTCCTGGAAAATTTACACATGCACTTCAAATACCGCATATCTGAATAGTATAATTTATACTCTTTCACTACCGTTAATACATTTTATAGAGCTCACCTAGCTCGAGATCATTATACCTAGCTCACTCCCTATCGAAATAGGGTCTGAGCTAGGTAACAGTGCCCACAAAGAAATCAGATTTAGCATAGAATGGAATAGAGTTAAAGGGGAAAATTCTGTTAAAGTGTCAGATTTCCGAAAAGAAAATCTAGCACTTTAACGAGATTAAGGATTTAATCAGACCACTTTAACCAGATTTAAGATTTCCGAAAAGAAAATCTTAATGGCCTAAGAATTTTTTGGGTGTAATAGATTGGAAAGTCCTGGGCATGGAGGGTGGACCGGTCTTCGAGCGAGACGTTCACCTAGCGATGGGTGACATAAAAACGGATTTAGATGTGGATTCAATATATACCTTATTTATAAATATTCTAAGCAAAGTACAGAAATATAGTATACCATATAAATTGAATAGATCGAATAATAATGATCCGAAATGGATAACAAAGGATTTGAAGAACCTTATAGGTAGAAAGAGTTTGGTACCCTGCCTGGTCCCCTACGTGGACCAGGCTTGAAACTAAAACTGGTCCACGTAGGGGACCAGGCAGGGTACCAAACTATGACAAAATCACTGAGGCATTAGAGGAAAAACATAATGCAGTTGTCGTATACACAGATTTTGCAAAGGCATTCGACAAATGTGACCATGGAGTGATTACACACAAAATGAGGTCAATGGGTATAACTGGTAAAGTAGGACGCTGGATACTCAATTTCCTGTCAAACAGAACACAAAGAATAACACTCAATCAAGTAAAATCGAGTCCGAGCGCAGTTAAAAGCTCTGTACCTCAAGGTACAGTCCTTGCCCCACTGCTGTTCCTTATTCTCATATCAGATATAGACAAAAACAAGTCACAGCTTCGTGTCATCCTTTGCAGATGATACAAAAATCAGCATGAAAATTACTTCTGCTGAAGACATTGATAAACTAAACACAGATATTAACAAATTTTCGATTGGGCAGCAGAAAATAACATGATGTTTAACGGTGATAAATTCCAGGTACTCAGATACGGCAAAAATGAGGATCTTAAACATAATACAGGGTACAAAACACAATCGACTCTGCCCATAGTAGGAAAACAGCATGTCAAGGATTTGGGAATAATGATGTCCGGCGACCTAACGTTTAGGGAGTATAACCAAGCAAGTATTGCGTCAGCCAGAAAAATTATAGGATGAATTACGAGAACCTTCAAGTCCAGAGATCCCATCATAATGGTTGTACTCTTCAAATCACTTGTGTTGTCCCGTCTTGAGTACTACTCAGTACTCACTTCCCCCTTCAGAGCAGGAGAGATTGCTGAAATTGAGGGAATACAGAGAACATATACGGCACGCATAGACGAGATAGAGCACCTAAATTATTGGGATCGTCTCAAAGCTCTCCAAATGTACTCACTAGAAAGGAGACGAGAGAGATACTATATAATATACACATGGAAAATACTGGAGGGACAGGTCCCAAATCTGCACAGTAAAATAACAACGTACTGGAGTGAACGACATTGAAGAAAATGCAGAATAGAACCAGTGAAGAGCAGAGGTGCCATGGACACAATCAGAGAACACTGTATGAACATCAGAGGTCCACGGTTGTTCAACGTCCTACCAGCGAACATCAGAAATATTACAGGAACAACCGTGGACATTTTCAAGAGAAAACTAGATAGTTTCCTTCAAGGAGTGCCGGACCAGCCGGGCTGTGGTGGGTATGTGGGCCTGCGGGTCGCTCCAAGCAACAGCCTGGTGTACCAAACTCTCACAAGTCAAGTCTGGCCTCGGGCCGGGCTTGGGGAGTAGAAGAACTCCCAGAACCCCATCAACCAGGTACACCTGTTCCCTACAGTGGGAGGAGCCTACCTTTAAAATAGTAATAGAAGGTCTTCCGATGAAAAAGGCTGCCTGTGATCCAACAATCCTAAGCCGCATCATAAAAAAAGCAAATGAGCAGCACTGCAGTAGCGTGAGCCACCCACATCTTCACAGACGGATCGGTTGACACAGAATATGAGAGTGCTGGCGCTGCTCTTTGTACGGCCATCGAACAGACATATTGGAGACTGGAAGGACCAGTATCATCAACCCAAACTGAGCTGTTTGCCATACAACAGGCATTCGCATATGTGATTGCACAAAACACTCAAAATACAATCATACACAGACTCAAAAGCTGCACTTCAAATATTAGGGGGAAAAAAAAACACCGGAAAGACAACGTGGAAATAATTACCACCATTTTGTATCTTGGAGCAGTAGCTAAAGCAAAAAAATCAACATAACCGTAACCTGAATCACATTCCATGTTGGAATCCCTTTAAATGAGAAAGCCGGTGAATGTGCTAAATTGACAACACGTCTTCTAGTGATCCACAAAACAATTCAACCCAGCCTTGAGTACATAAAATAACACCATCACCAAAATATTCACACACCTCAACGAAGCCCATCTATACCAGAGAGTAGCAGAATATGTCTCTGCAATATGGTATCTTCAAGCCACAAAGCTAAACAAGTTAAATGTTCCGAATGGAATCCACAGTGAAATAGCAGTTTGGTTATATAGACTACGTCTAGGTTACAGATGCAACTGGAAAATTGGTGAATCCAGACAGAGAGAATGCATCTCCTGCCAAACAATCAGAGAAAAGCCATTACTTCACTATCTCCTGGAATGTGAAGCACAACCAACGACCTTATATGAGCTTTAGGAGTTCCTGAATCTTGCAGTAACCATCCTTAAGCCATCAACACTGCCACTCTTCTGGTCAAGATAGGTGTCTAGCAGCATCCTCCCCCTCGATAGCAACCACATAATAAAAACTGACGATTTAAATGCAACCTCAGCACACAGTATACATACACTCTAAAAAAAATATACCACTTACGGGCTTTTAATGCCCGTGCCACCTCTTGGATGGCTTAATCTTCATCAATCAATCTGTTCTCTGTCTGTATAGTCTTGATAATGTGGTGGAACACGAAAAACGTTCGGAAATTGTCGTTTCATTTTATATATATGACCACTACACTTGCGTCCACTGTTATACAACTTTTCTGCCTCTTCCAGGGCTGAGTTGTCTACACTTAGGTGCGTTTGTTGTTTGTTTGGAAAGTATTTCTTATGTGCATGCAGTGATCTATTGATTACATTTATTTAATTAATAACAAATATTTTCTAAGTACCATAGACTGAGGAAATAATATAGTGGCTGAATAAGCTTTTTATCAGGATTTATTAAACACCTCAGCTACCAAGTGGGCACAATATTCAAGGTGACGTTGGTACAGTGCTGAATCAACGTTGTCAACGTTGATTCAATACCGAATTTAAGTTGATGACGTTGAATTGGTGTTGTTCTTTAATATTGTACCCACTTCGTCTCTGCGTATAGAAAACTTATTCAATAATTTTCTTTTGTTTAATTATTCATGAAATTGTTATTTAATCAATTTAACCAATGGACATAAACCATAACCAAAAGTGTATTGCAACTCAGTTTTCTTGTGCGGGTCTAAAGAACTACAACTTCATTTTAATATTCAAATGCGAATGTCTACAATAAATAATCATTATGCTACGTTTTTTTAATCAGTTGACGTGCAACGTGACACACCCGTCCAAATCCTTCCCAATCATATAGGATGATTTGTATACAACCGGTGACAAGAAGATCTATCACTATTGGTGCAGAGAACCACTGCAAAACAAGCTGCCATTTTGTCAACCAAAACAAGCAGCCATGAATACATTTTCAACATCTTTCGAATGAATGTCTAATACCAAAATAATGATGACCAATAAGTGTTAGAGATAACTGATGACTGTAAACATTGCAAGATCAATATTTACCTCCACTGTTGCCCTGAAGGTAGACATCGTCTTTCTGGAAGATAAGATAACACTTGAACATAAGGGTCATGACAGAATTCTTAAATTTTCTTATGTATTTTTATCTACTGTCCATAAGGAAAATTAAAGTAACATTAAGGGTAATTCTAGTTACATTTAATCTATTTATCCAGTTTGGCTTTATCTGTGGAGACCTCAGATAAAAAACAACCATTTTTAAAAGAAGAATGCGAGTCTTATCTTCTACAGTTTGGTGTTCTAACTATTCAAGACGCCAGGAGGGGAGACAAAACTTTGGAGTATATCTGTCTTTATATAGCTATTAAACCAGCTCTGTCTATATCCGTTTTGGTTACCTAGTTTTATATCACTTCATTGTTTCTACAAGGTTCTGTTACTGCATATTTGCCTTTCTGGGTGTATTTGTTTATATATATATATATATATATATATATATATATATATATATATATATATATATATATATATATATATATATATATATATATATATATATATATATATATTATTAAATATGACCGAAAAAGTAAGATTAATGATTCTAACACGAATTTTCTCGATCTTTCGTACATTTCTTTTCACTGTTGGTGGTAATTCAAAAATCAATTCTCCAAAATTCATTTTTATTTTAAGTCTGACGCGACACTTGAGCGCGTTTCGTAAAACTTATTACATTTTCAAAGACTTTAGTTTACACATACACAACTGAATAGAACTTACACATCTCCGATTTGTTTATATCTACATTTGAGTGAGGTGGATGGGGTGAGGTGGTATTAATTTCATCAACACAAGACAGAACACGAAACAATGGGTATTGAATGGAAGTGATTGTAGAAAGCCTATTGGTCCATATTTCTTGATGCTTCTATATTGGAGCGGAGTCTTGAGGTGGGTAGATTCTACCCACCTCAAGACTGATCTGAATATTTGTTTTGAATATTTGATCTGAATATTCAGATCACCCCACGGTGATCTGAATATTTGTTTTGAATATTTGATCTGAATATTCAGATCACCCCACGGTGATCCGAATATCCGTTTTCAAATTGCATGTGTTGGTAAAATTCGATAACACAATAAATCATCCATAAGATTATCTTGCAATACATGATATTATTGATAAGCTCATAATATTGGACAATACGTCGCCTCAGTAGTGTGGTCGGCTGGACAGCAACATCTCCAGTTGACTGTGACTGAATAATATCTTGACTTCTAAATGGTTGCAACAGAAGGGGTTCACCGAGACATTGTTACGTGATCATAACCAACTTAGATTACTCCAACTGGCGGCCATATTGTTGTTTTCATTATATTTTACTATTATTTTTTTTTAATTGATAAAAGTAAATCAGTTTTGTTCATTTTGCGGAACTCCTATCTTTAATTCTAAGATAAGCTCTATAAATATAAAATTAAATAAAGACAATCAGCCTACCATCAAGCAACATTATGAGTAAGACTGACTTATCACGGTGTCGAATGATTAAATATTTTAGCAAACTTTTCGTAGACAAAAAATCGCAGCAAGTCCAGAGGCAGACTGACAGACTGTGATGGTTGAACAACTGTGTTGCCCCGAGTCTTGGCGAGGCAGATATAATCGGGCGTCAGTCGTGTATTATCAGCCGGAGTTGACGACCTACTGAGAACTTGCTCTGATAACTTCAATGCTTATTGAAATAAATAATAATGTTCCATTTTTCTTATCAGCTCAGCCCAAGTACTACATTTCAATTTTATTTTAATTCTTTACGGTTTTAAACTTATATTAACCATCACTTAGCCATCAATAAAGTCGAGTCTTGGGACCTTTGTTTCAGTTTTTACAATAAAAAATATATGGTCGTTCTTTAACCATAGAAAACGGCCCGTTCTTCTTGGTGAAACTGTCAATGATTGAGCCTGGTAAATTGTATCTTATCATTAGCACAACTGACTGTCTACAACAGTACCGTGCATTCTCAGGCACAATTATGCGAAAAAAGGCACTGTACGTAAAGTGTACTGTTAGCACAGAGGCAGTAGTGTGCCAACAAAGGTAATACAGTGCATAGAGGCTGTTGGGATCGAACCTCCGTTTGGGTGAAAACTCCAACATATGTGTAATATTCTTGATATCTGTATTTCAGTTTTCACAGGAAAGTTTTCAAATATAATTGTCAGAGTCTATCAGCTTGATCCGTTGTCATCTGCGACACCTATTATGGCCGAGATCCTAATCTTATAAGAAAAGACACCTATCCATGACCTTTGAGAAAAACAATAACTTGGAAAAATATTTAAAAATCACCGTACAAAATTTCTTTCTGTATACACACAGGTAACTTATATGAAATATGTCAATGTTCAACACATTAGATATGGTAAGATTTTACTGTCCTCACCAGGTTACACAAATCGTTATTTCTACGTTTCACTATTTACACTATATACAATGTCTCTCCTCATAATTATCTCAGTGTACATATCAGTCCCACAGTATGTTATTTTACCAATGACGAGCACAGTGTAGACTTCTCATAGCACCTCGTAAGTGAGGATCCAAAGGAATCCAATCTAGTTTACGCAAATGGTTCACTAAATCGTCTTGTCACTTACAACGCAGCTTTAAAATATCGAAAAAATTCTTCATAACGATATCTAACGAAAAAATCTTCAAGGACCATGATATCTTCCAGCCTTGCGAACACGCGACTCGTGCACAGGACCTGGTAAAGCTTGGTCAGGAGTACACTGCTCCGAGGACTGTGATCCGAAACTGATTCCGTTCTGATTGACCTGGGTTCACGTCGCCTCTCTCTTGGGGAACCGGCGGCTCTGATTGGTGGGCTCGCTAACTGTCGTGTAGTTTGGGGCCAAAACAACACTAACTACCGTCGGCCTTGTTTCCGTCACTGCAAAAGATGGCAGTACTGTGCCTACAAAGATTATAATTGGTTGGATTACACTGTTGGTAATGTTGTAAGGACTCGAAACATTAGTGAAGACAGTGAAGAACTTGAAACCGAGATTATGAGTTAAACTGGGCTTTTATTCCACAAGAAATAAGCGTAGTTCACATGCTAAATGGTTTGAGTTCCAATAGTGTCCGTGACACTGTACGGACACTGGCTTTTGACAGTGTCTGGATAACTACCCCGGTGACGTGGGACTGACCTGCTGCAGGAGCTGGGCGTCGCTGGGCCTCCCCGTCACCGCCAGGTACAGCAGCAACAGCAGTAAGCTACAAAAAAGTTTCATATTGGGGGATATTTCCCAGGGTGGAGGTGGACGAGGACCCGGTCACCAGAGGGTCGAGAGGTAGACTACTGGACGCTTGTGTCCTTCTCTCTATCATTACTTGTTCACTGATAATGAGGCAGAAGTTGCGTCTCTTATCTGATAGCAGATATGCGGCTTTATCATAAAACTATTTCACTTGGACGGTATCTGGGTAAAATGTCCTGTTAAGGTTTTGGTGTACGTGATTCTTGATGACCCAGAGAAATGTTTGACAATTTTCTCAACGTACGTAAATGTTCCTGCAAGATGCTTATATTTTTAGCAGTTTGTGTTTACTGGGAATGAGTTCCAATCTTGGGCTCCGATCTTTATCTCTGGCTGTATCTTGGAACCGCTCCCGACCTTTTTGTGACTTATGAAACCTTATGTGAGGGTGTAACTGAAGTTGGCTTCCACTACCTCTTTCTCCAACTGTTAGGAGGATTGGTCACCACTACCTCCTCCCCACCAGCTGTGGCTACAATAGTAAAATAATAGGACCTTCCTTTGTAAACCATCAGTTGTTCATACTTTTATTCCAGAACAGTGGATACCAGATTTAGTGTCATAAAAAGAGCACAACCTGACACGTATTCTTGTTCCTCAGATGACTTCACTTAACACCACATAAACGCAGCTTCCTTTGACATTTTTGTTGCTTTTGCAGAAAAAAAGTCCTTTCTTTGGACCGAAATATCCAGTCTATAGTTCTCGATGGTTGGTACTTTATCTGCAAGAACCTGGAAGGAGTCCTAAAACTTTCTCCAGAAGTCCATCTCCACTGGAAGTGTGGGTGTTATATTTAGTAAATTAACCTGCAGCTATTAAATTAACTTGACAAGTGTTTAACCTTCTCTGGCAAGTTTTATTTGGTTTTGGTGGAATTTACTTGTAAGTTTATTTTAACTAATATTATCTTGAAATATATTTTCTGCATCAGAATTATTTTCAAAGACTACGTGATTATTAGGGATTTATTAAATTTTTCTGTAATTTTTAATGTTTTAATTTTACAACTGAAAACTTTGTTGGTGCAGAAACCTTCAACTAACTTCAGTTTGTTATTTAAGGTTGTAGTGGTCATTAACACCTTGAAGTAAATTTTCACTCTCATTGACCACTTCAGTAATGCTGCTCTTGCTACCCACAAAGGACCTAGTTCGAAATTTAGTTTCTTTGAACTGTGAAGGCATCTTGTGGGTATAGGTATAAGAAATAAAATATTTAATCAGACATTTAAATGAGAACATTTTATGACATTTAACGCTGGAAAAATAGTACTTTAATTGAATGAAAATTAGTCCTTAAAATGGACTAATTATTCATTATTATGTACAATAATTATTATAAACACTTTTCTACTCCACATCAAGCACAAAGGAATGATCTGACCATGGGGGGGGGCGTAGCTCCCTACAGTACTGCAGGCTGTCAACTATCTCCTACACACGTAAACTTGGGTAATTATGTAGATGAGAACGGCAACCATGATACAGGTTTTGATCTTGAATGGTTCTCCCGTAACAGAGAGGTGACCGAGTTGTAGATATGTTGGTGATTATACTCATGATAAAGTTCCAAGATTACTTGTCATTGATTATTAAAAGACGCTCCAGTGTCTCATTAATTGATTAATAACTTGTAGTGTTTTTGGTCCTGTGGTTTAGCAGCCTCCCAAAGATTTAGTTAATGGTTGCTAACTATATTGAGGGCAAAACAGGAATTTAAATTAAACTCTGCGCGCGAATACGTGTGTGCGTGTGCGTGTGTGTGTGTGTGTGTGTGTGTGTGTGTGTGTGTGTGTGTGTGTGTGTGTGTGTATGTATTCACCTAATTGTGCTTGGGGGGTTGAGCTCTGCTCTTTCGGCCCGCCTCTCAACTGTCAATCAATCAACTATTACTAACAAATTTTTCCACCCACACACACACACAGAGGAAGCAGCCCGTAACAGCTGTTTAACTCCCAGGTACCTATTTACTGGTAGGTAACAGGGGTATCAGGGTAAAAGAAACTTTGGCCATTTTGTTTCTGCCATCAGCCTAGATCAAATCCAGACCCTACGATTACGAGTTCAGAGCGCTATCCACACAGCTATCAGGCCCCCTACTCAGCTACTGTAGGATGTAGCATAAACAAACATCAGAATACATTATAAACTACCCATCCTACACAGTACTATAGTACTATAGCAACTACTGGTCGTACGTACAAAAATAGTCTGTTGTATTTCAAAATGTTATCATTTTGTACTATAGGAATACTCTAAATGGCACGCTAAAAAGAGCAACAATAACTATATGCAACTTAACCCAACTTATTCTAGGCCTAAATGAGCAATCTTAGGCCAAATATTCACCAACTCAAGTCTAATATAGTACATATGAGTACTATACTAGGCCTAGGAAATTTAGATTGGGTTGTTGCCTTCTTTATCATCATGTCTATAAAATTATCATTGCAAAACGTGAACTTTTGTTGGTGCAGCAGTCGACTTTTGTACGTTCAACCAATAGTGGTTCCAAGTACTCTCATTTTTGGATGAGAGGTTGAGATACAAACGAACACAAACACATTCGTGAACAGTAATGTGGATGCCCAATTACGTCAATATCCCATCGGTAATACACGTGTAAGTAAGTAAGTAATTATCAAAAGAAGGCACCAAACCGGGAATGCAGGTGTAAGTAAATGTCAAATATCACCACAGCATTAACATCTCTAATGGAGCACAAATTATCACTTAAACCAGTTGTTAGCAGCCTCTTTTGGACTCCCGACCCTATTTCCTAAAATTCAAAAAACCCTCGACTCCCTGTCACCGTTTTATAACTGAAAATAATGGCCTAGTCAGGATTCTCACTACTTAATCCTTAATCCTAATCAGGATTCTCGACGATTCACATATACCAAAACTCAGAATTTAGATTCCGGGAGCCACCGGTTGGGAACCACATTTAAACTACAGTAATATCATTATTATCTTCACATTGAAGAAAGAGTTACAGTTTACTAAGTAATCTCAATACACAATAAATTAAGCAAGTAACTAAAAATCCCTAAAGAGAATATTATCTCCTGATAATCATACTGAAAGTTACTTTCAGTATAAGCCTAATCGCAAGGAATGCACATATATACAGCCAAACAATGATCACCTTGTTCTATACAGCAATTCCCAAACAACAAAGGTAAATAAAAATACAATAATAAAGGAAATTTCAGAAAGCCAATTAACTCTCACGATTGGCCGATGTTCTCTTGGCCTCCCTCGTTAGAGCAGCGATGTAGTATTAAGCCTTTCATAAATCGATCATCAATTTATTCGTCATTCTTAATCTAATCAATACAGTCATCAATCCAGGGTACTGCGGATGAACCAGTTGCAACAACGCTTTTCTTGATAGGGAACTGCTGTTTATTTCAGTATCAGTCGTTATAGAAGTAGAAGGCTACGTCAGGCTTGCTAGTCCAGGCTCATGTAGATCGGGTCGTCTTCGTCGGAGATTTCGTTCACATATGTATGGTCCGAGTCTGAGGAAGAAAGTTGATAACAATAGGACATTTCTTATTTAGAAGAAAATGCCGAAAGGAGCATTTAAGTTTAAGTGTGCATTTCTTGAAAATGAAGAGCCAGTATAGAGTTCATTTATCATCAATGCAAAAGTTAGCTGGAGAAAACCCAAAACATGTTATAAGACCGGCTCCAGAGGTGAAAGGCATGAGTTACGAAACGAGACTCTATGATAGATGGAAAATAAGCAAGTGGGGCACAAATGTAAACTTAGCTAGAAGTTGTATATATATTCGTCACCAGTTACTGACGAGAGAGGAATAACGTAAACAATTAATAAAAGACACATACACGGGTGAGTGGTAACAGTGTTCAGAGCGAGGCCGCCTGGAGACTGGACACTTGGAGCCTTGTGTGGCGTCACTTCCTCCCTCAGCGCCCGCGGGTCGGCGCTCCCAGAGTACTGCAAGGATACACATCACCACATACACTATTGTATAACATCATTCACGTTACAGTGCGCATTTTTAGATCAACAACAAGATCCACCACAGTTCGAGAGGTGCCCAAACACCAGTACAACCCTTGTTAACATAGTTTATAACGAAACAGTTACCTGAGGTTGTGTATAACGAGCCTCGCTCACACCCTCAGTGTGACGCTACTTGGACCTAGCTCACACTCATCTCAAGTATGTTGTGTCGCCACAAATCTCATCATATTCATCTTCTTAAAAGGCAAAATATTACATATATTTTCATAATGAGTTCAGTGAGGTGTCTGTCAGAAACACGATGAATTATGTCTAACAATTAATGTTCATCCAGTATTAATTTAGCAAGAAGGGAAGCAAGGATCAGATTTCCTTCATTGTGATTGATGGTCCTACTGTGTTTAGTCTTCCTGGCTGAAGATCCTATACTCCATCTCTTAACTCACAGACTGCCATGTGCATCACGTTACACATAAGAGAACCCTGCATATCTCTGACTAATGTTAACTAATGTTTTAACATGTGGGTAAAGAAGGAGCTCCCTGGCGGAGGTGTGGTTGTCGCCGACGGTCTACAGATGGATTATAAGTGGCTGGGCTGACACGGAGCCTAGATGGATAAGTTGGATGACAAGGAGGCTAGCTGAATGAGCGACACAGTAGGGAACACATTTGAATGCTGGAGGAAGACAAATTCTATCTGGTAACAATACGGATCACCAATGACTCTCCACGTAGGTAGGTAGTATAATTATTTTACCATGTATTTTTGCCATTCAAATTTAGTTTAAAAGAATGTAACAGATAATACTTCAAGAGATAATACTGTTAAAACTGCTGCATAACGCTTCTCAAATGGTAAACTATTTCCCTTAACATGTGAACTAATCTCACCTGGGTCAACATGCACAGAAGACTTACCAGGGCATGTATGTGCGCCGGGTCATGGGTCATGACGTCTTTCTTGACCTGGTCACCCGGGTGAACTATAGTGACTGGAGGAGGTCCAGCAGGAGGTGGACGCCTGCAGAGTACACCTTCGTCAGACTGTGGAGAGTCTAGTTCCCACGCTGACATCAACACTTATAGCTCAGTATACAACCTGGAAACTATGCTGGTATATCACCACTAACAAGTAATACATGCACAACAAAACATAGTTAAATATAAGACAGTCTCCAGGGAAAAGGCTGTGAGACCTACAGCTACTGGAAGGTTGAAATAGCGTGAAGGGGAAGGTTGTGTACTAAGTTCACTAGAACGTTCATAACTCTTGATCAAAACACAACAAGGATAATGGGACACACAACCATAACTCAAGTAGACAATAACATATTCACTATATATAAGGAAAGCCTTCGGGATTTTCTATTCGTGTACATTATATATATATTTATGAATAGCGTTCCATAGCTAACTTGACTATTTACTTCAAAGCAAAAGTCTTCGATACACTATCGTCATGGAACATAAATCGCCCATCAACACAAAAGTCTCATCATTATCACAGTAAATAACAGACACAAGCATCATTACGTGTGTTTGGCCGCCTGGAATGTATCCATTATCTTGTGCCTGAAGAAGACAGCAGCGACGAGGAGCGCCAGCAGCAGGAGGCCGCCCACCACGCCGCCCACCACGGCTCCAACGTTCACACCATCGTCAGCCGTAGCCCCACTGACAGCTGCAGCAGGACCCCAGCCTGCCGCCGTCCTTGCCTGGGGGACGAAGGTGGCACTGTAGTGTCTGCGTCTTGGCACATATTGACGCACAAACAACTGTATTTCACGCACACAGAAGAACCAAATACGTTTCTCCAGGGTACAGTTGTTATTGTTAAGATCAAGATTAATGCTATGTCAAATACTTTTTATAGAAATGAGAAATATTGCATTTTTTTTACATTGAGCTCCGTTCCATAATGAATAATAATGTATCTAAAAAAATTAGAACGTTCTGGGGCACTTCCAACGGGTTCTAACTGATGTGATAGAGTGCGAGAGGAGTCACAAGCATGAAGTGGACATTATGGATGCAATCGTAAGGCTATTGATAAATAATACAACAAAACAATAGAAGAGGACAGAAACAAGAGAGGAAGCCATTAACAAATTAAAACTTGAGTTGTGTCCACATAGAGGAAGGCGAGAGCCTTGTGTGAAAATTATAGTGCCACACCCTGTTAACATCTCTGGATATATTCAAGATTAATGGCATTAATTTATTGTAACATTTATTGCCTAAATATCACTGTTCTATCGTCAAGTACCCTTAAAGAGACACAGAGTGGAAGCCATTAACAAATTAAAACTTGAGTTGTGTCCACATAGAGGAAGACGAGAGCCTTGTGTGAAAATTATAGTTCCACATCCTGTTAACATCTCTGGATATATCCAAGATTAATGGCATAAATTTATTGTAACATTTATTGCCTAAATATCACTGTTCTATCGTCAAGTACCCTTAAAGAGAGACAGTATCATAGAAGTACCTTTACAGCAACAGTGAACTGTGACTTTGGCTGGAGGTCGGAGACTGTGTAGGTGGTGACGTTGGCGGTGAGGTTGGTGTAGCCATTGTCCCAGGCCACCTGGTAGTCTGTCAGTACACCGTTGAGCTCCTCAGGTGGAGCCCAAGACACCGTCACGGTCTTACTGCTCACCGACGCTATGGTCAGGGCTGCTGGCGGCCCGGGCGCTAACGTGGTAAAGAACATTCTATGTTAAGTTTATTAAAGCTGGAGTTACGAAACCACTTAATCCACACTAAGTTTATTCGTTTTCCTTCAGCTATACATTAATCAAAATTGTTCCGTTACTATATAATTTAGTTTTTATTAAAATTTATCCACATGAAATTTCATCTAAAACTTGGCACAAAGTTAAAACAAGTATTTTATTTATTATAATAGTTGGAATTTCCTAATTATAGCAAGAGTAATAGACCTATGCTGGTGTCTTCTCTGTACATGTGATCATAAACAGCAGTACAACTGTTAGTGGTCTCAGATCACACTAACCTTCCCGTGGAGCTCATTTCCTGTGAACTATTCTCTAAGTATAAATGCACGTATGTTTTTCAACATCATTTGTTCTTCAGTTTACAGCAATGTTCTTGTGTTGTCACACACGCTACTCCTAATCTGTCTTGGCATATTCCTTTGCATATTAGTGGTCATCATACCACCTATTGTCTTCTATCCTACAGTTTAGTTATGTCCAGTGTCTTCAATTTTTCCCCCTGTTTGACTGTTGTGTTGACGAGAGATCACACGACTGGTAAATGTTATAGCTTGGGTGTAAGTAATGTCATGAACACCTAGTGTTCCATATGTGTATGGATGTTTATAAAGGCTACCCATAGTTAATTATTAATGTATAATGACGCTGCTAACATTATTTATAATGTAAAGTCTTCATGATACAGGTGAGACTGGTTCAGTAATACCATTAGCCACCAGCCTCCTGGGTGGTAGTAAGACTCTACCAGTAGACTAAGACTCACCAGCCTCCAGGGTAGTAGAGGAGCAGCAGTTCCACGCACCAACAATGTCATTAACGACCACTGCCGCTACACACACAGTGTAAGTCGTCCACGGTGTTAAGTCACCCAGGTCTGCATACGTTGTTTGAAGTTCTTTAGAGCAGTGGCGGGTGTCGTTGGACCAGAGGACGTCCCCGGTATAGTCTACCTTGTAGCCACTTACTGTACACTGTGTGTCGACTGGAGACCAGGTGACAGTGAGTTGGTTAGGGGAGACGACCTTCTTACAAGTCACTGGCGGTGATGGCGGGGCTGTGGAACCATAGACAAGCCTACTGGATTAGTCGAGGACAGGTGACAAAATTTCAATACAAACCTCATGAACTACAAACCAGAAAACGCAAAGTAGCTGAAGAAAGACTTTCCACTAATGAGGGATATGAAAGGCAAGAGGAGTATTAGCTCACAGTTCAAGAGTAGTGCCTAGAGGCAAAAAGGAAGAAACAAAGAAGCAAGAAAGGAAAGATAGGAGACAGAAAAAAACACAACAGAAGGAAATCTGTTGGAGTACAAAAGGAGTTGAAATAGTTGAACACACACACACACACACACAATACCCACATGAGCCACAGGGACGTTAGAAGGAACTTTTTCAGTGTCAGAGAAGTTAACAGATGGAATGCATTAGGCAGTGATGTGGTGGAGGCTGACTTCATACACAGTTTCAAATGTAGTTATGATGGAGCACTAGAAGCTCAGGAATATGTACACTAGTAGATTGACGGTTGAGTTGCTGGCCAATGAGCCGAAGCTCAACCCCGCAAGCACAGCTAGAAGAGTACAACTAGGTGATTACACACACACACATAAAAAAATACATTCAATATATACATGAAATTTACAGTTTGTGCACTCACGAGGTGCATCTGTAGTGTTGTTAATATCAACCTTTTCACCGTAGCCCTTGCAGGTGGCGGCCCTTACAGTAACGGTGTAGTTGACACAGGTATTAAGGCTCGTGATGTAGTACTGTGTTACGCTGCCGGCCACAATAACCTCCGTACCATTACCAGTGTCCGGTGGGCTCCAGGCGACACTGTAGCTGGTGATGATCCCTCTGGGCTCCTCTGGCGGGCTCCACACCACCAATAAAGACCCTCCAGTATGGGATTGTATCCTGGTGTTCGAAGGTGCTCCCGGCGCTGGGATATAAAAAAAACAAAGCAGATAAACAAAAAAATACAGATATGAACAAGGAAAACATTCAATCTGTAAATATGTATTAATTTATCTGTTGAATGTAAAATATGTCTACTCAACAGTAACGTTTGTATTTAGCCCATTTCCATCGTTTATTATGTGGAATTAGTAATTTGTTATGTATACTGGAAATTTTCTAATATTTTGAATTCGTTAAAATATGATAACCCAGATGACAACACAAATTATTTATATAAATATTTTCAGATTTCAAATTCAGAGTTGCATTGCATGAGTTAAAACATTCCAAGAGTTCATTAGAATTTCTGAAGCTGAATATGTATATTTTCTCTCGAAACGCCATCATGTTGTGCTAATGATATCTTATAACATTACATAACAGAAATTAAGCTGAGAATAATTCTATTTTGGTATTCAGTATTTTTCACAAACCTGATATTCAACGATTTGTCATACGTCATCTCTGTAAACTTGGACCCTCCCTACCTCTCATACACCTGTCCCATTGTACACTAACACCGATCCTACGCGTCATACACCCGTCTCTTTATACACTAGCATCTTCCCTCCCATCTTTTTGAAGATGGCGGCAAAAGCTTCAGAAGAACAGGAATTGAGGCGAAAAATTGGCTCCTGGAGCTCATTCACAACAAACGCAAATTGATTAAGATGTAAATAGATAAAACGAAGCCCGTTATGTGGTTCCAGCCGAGAAGGAAACAAATGATTCATACTAAAATGTGATACATACTGATACAAACGATTTACGTATTGAAGCATGAGACATGCTTCAATTAACTATCTAAAGTTTCATTTTACAATTTAATTATGGCCTGACGCTAAGAGATCTATTATTAACACTACTGTGAGAGAATACTTGAGTTATATATTTTTGAACACTATATATATTTCTTAAATGTTAGGTCTTTTAGTCCTCCATGGGAATTTCTTGTCAGCTGAAAAACATCTGTTTGACCATCACAGCCAAGTTCCAGAGAAGACAATGTAACTACTCACAGAACGGAACTCTTCATGTAACTATGATATCTCTTAAAAAAACGCAACACAATTGTCTTGATATAAACTATTATATAATGTGTCTCTGGTAAGTAAGATCTTTTATATTTTTTAGTTATGACAATTATATTTTTAATTTTACTGGTGCTATATTATCACACTGACTTAGACCCTATGATAATTAATGACTTACATATGAAACAGATCAGAGTTATACAGAAGAATGGAACACTCACTGTCTTGGTCGGTTGTAGCGTTGGTGCAGGACGGCGGGGAATATTTATATATAGAGTTCTGCTCAGTTGCAGCAGCCACACAGACGGTGTAGCTGGTCCAAGCTTCCAGGTCACTGATGGTGAGGGTTGTGTCACTGTTGGTCGTCTGGTCCACCAGCTCCTGGGTGCTGGCCAGGTACCAGGTGACGGTGTACCTGGTCACCGGACACAGTGGTCCTGGATCATCCGGCTGTGTCCAGTTGACACTCAGTTTGTCAGACTCGTTGACTACCATGGCTGCCCCTAGTGACTTGGGCGGGTCAGGAGCTGGGGACCGAGAAACGTAATTCTATTGTAATGTACAAAAAATCAAGAAGCGTTAAATTCAGTCATTATTTTTAAAGCAGAACGTTATGTTACTTGCGGTCCCTCTTAACACAGTCACCAGTCATTATGGGAAGTGCCTCAGTAACTTTCAAATATGTGACTTTGACACCAGATGTAAATGTATCAGACGTTTTCCGCAAGAGATTACAGTGATCCCATCTGCACAAGTTTCAACACAGGACATAAAAAGTGAATACTAGGGTCACAATTGACTCCAGTGTGTGCGTATTCTCTTCATGGGTGAGTTAACTGCAGGGACTAAGCACGTCTAGGAGGGCTTTACTCTTGCATCTCTCTCTCACACACACACACAAACGAGAATCTAGAGGATCCCAGAATATCTGAGGTAGGGAAAAAAACGATATACTGAACTGTGAATATGCAGCCAGCTAATTAACTTTGTAGTAGTTGTCCGGTTGCGTTATTGGTGAAACAATATTATTATTATTATAATAAGAAACATTGGTACTTTAATATATATATTCATTATTATAAGTTTTATTATAATTATTATGAGTAAGTAGGAGAAGGCAATATGTGCCAGTGAGAGCCCTATAAGGCTCCCCCGGGTGCTGCATATCGTCTTCGAGGCTTGAGGGTCCCTACAAACAACCAGAGGTGGTACCCCCTATATATAATTCGATATTATATATGTGTTAATTTTTTATTACCAGTATATAAACTATTTATATTTGTTTATATAAATGTGAATGGTCAAGTGTGACTTACAGAAACCAGACAGCTAAGAAGAGACTATTTATAGTGAACTGGTCAGCATGTATTTATTGGTGTATATTTTTGTATATCTACATTTGTGTATGAAGATGACTTAGTTTAGAAAATGGGTGTTGTGCCCAACCTGTCCTCTTTACAGCACGTCGTATTTTGACGTATGACCTATGGGCAAAAATCTGTAGTACTAGAAAATGGTAGAGACTCGCGAAATTGACATACTGTCTCGCTTTCTGTTCGCGAGTCCTATGGTAGGTTAGGATAAGGCACGTTAGTACGACAGTTTCTTGCCGTTGGGAACACTCACAAGAACAGTCTGTTGTGCCACGTCTTGGTGACAGTTACTCGCTTTAGATACTGCAAGGACAAACAGATGACTCTTACAGCTGGTAGTATTTGAAAAGAAAGTTAAAAGTTTGGCTAAAAATATTAAGGTCAGGCACTTCAGCAATAATAACACTAAAATTGTTCAATACAAACTGTAGAAGTATTAAAATTAAATTAATGATTTAAATGTCTCCAATATAACTCTAGAAAATGTAACAACGTTAAAGAAAAGAATGGAGCGGGGAGATATGATAGAGACTTATAAAATACATTGAGGGATTGACAGCGTGGAAATAGACGAAATGTTCACACTGAATACCAACAGAACAAGGGGACATGGGTGGAAGCTGGAAACTCTGGAAAAAAAATCTGGAAGATGTCACAGAGATGTTAGAACGATTCTTTTAGCGTGAGAGTAGTGGGAAAATTTACTGAACTAAAGGAGCAGGTTGTGGAAGCTAACTGTATTCTTAATTTTAAAAGTAGATTTGACAGGGAAATAGGAGAAGAGTCATTGTATTAAACAAACGGCGACTAACAAGGTAGTATCCAAGAGTCAATGCTCTATCCTGAAAAGGACAAATAGGTGAGTACACACTTACACAAGCTAATACAATGATCACACTCACCAATACTGTCTGTTGCACCACTCTCTGATGTCTCGTCACCAAGGCCTTTGCTTGTAGCAGCCGCGACGGTGACGGTGTATCTGGAACAGGCAGCCAGGCCGGTGATGGTGTAGCTGGTGGTGGTGGTGGTATCACTCTTGTGGGTGTCATTCACAGTCCACTTGACAGTATAAAAAAGGATTTCACATTTGAAGTTAAATGGACGATCCCACGCGACTCTCAGTGATGATTCAGATAATGGGACCAGCGGGCTCATGACCACTGGACCCGGGGCTGTTAGTAATGGGAACATCATTAGTTGAATTTTTAATTTTTTTTGTAATACAAGAGTATCCATGGAATAACTATTCCCGCTCTTCATTAAAAAATAATTTTAACATCACTGCAAGTAATTGAACATTAAAAAAAATAAAACAGCTCAAGAATATAGTTTTTTGTGTGTTAATATTTGAGCGAATTCTTCCTTCAAAATAACGAAATATTGATTATTCTGTCATCAGTGCTAAATATGCTGACGTCTGCTTCTGGTAGCATCAGTTAAAGCATCGATGTTCTGTGCTATGTGCTAAACTGAGAATACTACAGGTAACCCGTTTCACGTCATAACAGAAGCGAAAGCTTTTCAAGCTCTTGAGCTTTTCACTCAGGAACACAAGCACAACGTGAAGATCTGAATGAAAATTTACTAAGCCGACATTTTTAAAAGAGAAGTAAAAGCGAACATTGGTAAAGTTAGGAGCCCGCAGCCTAGCGCCAGATGCTACTAAGGTTAAGACTAAATATAGACAAGGTACCCTTGGGGCAATTCCCATTGCACCTCCTGCAGTGGGTATTGCAAGAGGTGCAATCGACGTTGCAGGATCAGGTGTGGAACATGAGGTGCCGGGTCGCTGTTGCAGTTGCAGAAGTGAGCAAGTCAGCTGTGGCACTGACGATCAGAAGACCAGTTGAAGTAAGTAGTTTATTGACCGAGACAAGTTGTGGCCCGACCCGCGCAACCTGTCGGTCCTGTGTAACTGTACCTTAACCGTTCTATTTTCTGATGTGGTTGATGGTTGCATCTGTGGTTGAGGTTGTGGTTGAGTATTTTCTACCATAGCAGTAGGCTTAAGTGTGGAAGTACTGCGACCCGGAAAAAGTGGAAATGCAACGGTTTGTATGTCCAGGGAGAGAGTGTAGATAGTGTTGCTGGGCGGGTCGTCGTAGAAGCTAGTCTGGCTTCTTCACATCAGTTACCCTGAGTGAGAACTTAGTTGAGATGGCAATGTGGGCTCCATCACACAGTATGTATGGTTCGTTGCCTGGTAGTACATGAAATGGTGATCTTGGGCACATCACCAACACCATAAACATCATCATCTTTACCACCACTACAACCATAAACACCATCCCCTTCACCACCAACATAAACACCATCCCCTCTCTCCACCACAAACACTTACTGTCCACGTCGGTCGTCCCGCTGCTGCACCGATCATTAGTGTAATATCCTCCATCAGTCGAGGCCGTTACACAAACGGTATAGGTGGTGCAGGCGGCCAGGCCGGTGATAGTGTAACTCAGGGCACTGGTGGTATCCTGTCTACTGCCTCCACCGCTGGCGGGGGTCCAGGTGATCCTGTAGGTGACGGCACAGTTCCCGGCGCCTCCTGCCTTGGTCCAGCTGACGGCCAACTGAGACGACTGGTCCACCACTGTGGCCACCGTGACGGTGGTGACCGGATAAGGATCTGGTGGAGATAGAGTACCAGGAATCAGTAAGAGTCTGGGTGATAGTGTAATGTTCGTCTGGGACGGACAGTAAGAGTCTGGGTAGGAGTGCAAGATTCTGGGACGGACAGAGTCTGGGTGTGACAGTGAGAGTCACACATATGACATTTATTTATGTAAGCAGATTTGAGAATAGAGCGAGTAAGGAAAGGAAAGTGACTGGAGCAACACAAGTCCGGGTTAGGAACATCATGAAAGAAGGAGACGCTGCTGGAGGCTTGCAGAGAGTCCCAGTGCCATTGTGTGGATGCGTAACGCTGGTGTAACATGAACATTAATATTTAAAGCCGAACAATATGAGGAGAATGTTAGCTGTCAGGAGGAGAGACATAATAAGGGAAGATAATATCATGTGTGGAGTTCCTCCCTGCAAGCAGTAAGACGTAAGAATGTACTAAGAAAGGATGCCTTGAGCGCTGGACGAAACTGGTTGTAAACATATCTTAGCGAATTTAATTGTTGAAAAAAAGGAAGACTAAGAAGATTGCGGGTATTGTGAATGAGTGTGTGAGGAAGCGAAGATTAAGCCTGGTCAGCGCTCGCTGAAGATGCTAGTCAAAATCGATTAAATGTTTAACATGACTAACAAGGAACACCCTACGCCTAGTCTCATGATGGGGATGACTTCTGGTGTGGGTAATCACCGAGTGTGGCGGAGGATGGGTGGGTGTTAGTGTGTAAATATTTTCTTTTCCTGTGATGCTCCCACATATTCTGGCGAATGTCTTCCTATGGCTGGGAAACACAAGATAATGATGATATTCACTATAGTAATGATCATAAAATATTTTGTTTAAAGCTATTTGAAATTAATATTATGAAATATAAATAAATAAATTCATCCTTAGAAAATGAGTGATAACAAATTTTACCACGAGGAAGTGTTGTTGTAGATGCCGTAAGAGGTCCACCAACATCGGTTTCTTTGTCCCCCGGCTGGACAGTGACGGTGTACTTGGTACAAGGCACAAGACCTGTGATAGTGTAGGTGTAGGTGCCGCTGCTGCTGGTACCGTCGACAGTGTTAGGCCCATTGCCATCAGGAGTCCAGCTGATGTTATAGTAGCTGGCGCCCGACACCTCGTCCCAGGTAGCGTCTATACTGTTCGATCCTGCTTGCAGCTCCAGTCCTGGATCACCTGGCGGGAGAAAACCCACAAATTACGATTTGTTGAAATTAATTAAATCACAGCTTCCCCTTGGTAATGATAATGTATAAAAGTTATGTAAGAGAGTTAAGTATATTCCTCGGGGTCGCCATAATAGACACGAGGATATACAAGCCACTAAACACACGGGGATATTGAGGATAAAGTCCAGAGATCCCAGAGTCACGTGACAAGTTATCCCACCTGCTGCGTCTTTGACAGTTATACAAATTTCACCTGAAATTTCTGTTCTGACCAATCCAGAACTCTACTGGGTTCTCTGGGAGGTTCTCGAGGCCTCGAACCGGGGCCCAACCAGTGTTTTACTGCCAACCCGGCCACACTAGTCTCCGAAGCGCAGTGGTAAATCACCCACCCGGCGCTTCGCGAGCACTATGGCCTGGGTTCGTATCCTGGCCGGGGAGGGTTGACTGGGGCACCAATCTTTAAGGAGGCCTGGTCGACGACCGGGCCGCGGGGACGCTAAGCCCCGGAAGCACCTCAAGGTAACACTCCGGCCTAAAGTACTGGCGTTCACACACTCTTACGCCACATTAGATTTCAAGAACCATTGCTAAACAATTTGCCATTTTGTCAACAAAAATAAATCCATGTGTTTTCAACATATTGTAAATGAATGGCTAATAACAAAATAATGATAAAACACTTCACATTTGATAAAATAATGATAATGATAAAAAATATTTGAAAAAAATATTTTCCCCAATCGACTTGAGAATGGTCCAGGACGGACCGAAACGTCGTCGTCCCTTCAATTTCTAGTGTGTGGTCTGGTCAACATACTTCAGCCACGTTATTGTGACTCATCGCCTGCATTTGAAAAAATATACAAAAGTTTGATAAAAAATATTTGAAAAAATATAAAAAAGTTTGATAAAAAATAGATAATGATAAAATAATGTAAACACTTCAGGGGCAAATATTTACCTTCTCTCCTGTACTGAAGACTGACAGAGGCGTCAACCTGCAAGACAAGCAAATGTTTTTAACTATAAATTAATAAAATAGTGAAACTAAAAATTAATTTTGCCTGAGGACAGACATTAAAGTAAACGTACTGAAGCATTTCCTGGGCAACCCGGGATATGAACCTGGGTTTCTTGACTATGAGTCGAGAACGAAGCCAACTGTACTACCGAGACCCTGAATAGTGTCCATAAATAAAAAATCAAGTAACATTACTCTAAGAGTAATACTTTTTTTTTAACTTGTGGTGTCTGACCTCATCTGTGGAGAACTGAAATTAAAAGAACCATTCTATATAGAACTATAGAGTACTATAGAGAACTATAGAGTATATGACTATAGAGTCATATACTCTATAGTTCAGCGCTCTATAAGTATACAAGGAGCCAAAGGAGGAGACAAGGCTTTCGGGTAAATCTGTCTTTCTGTATATATCTATCTATCCATTTATTTGTTCATCTATGTGTACATCTATAAAACCATCCATCTATCCATGTATTTATCTGTCTGTCCATCTGTTCATATTTCTATCCATTCAACTATCTTTCTATCCATTTGTGCATCCATCTACCTACCCATCTATTTATTCATCTGTCCATCCATATATCTATCCATCTATCTATCTATCCATTTATCTATCCATCCATCTACTCATCAGTTTATCCATCTATCTATTCATCTATCTATCCATATATCTATTCATCAATCTCTCTATCCATATACTATTCATCCATCTTTCTATCCATTTATCCATACACCACGCCACCCAGCTACCCATCTATTTATCCATCTTTTTGTTCATCTCTCTCTCCCCATCTATCCATCTTGATAGATAGATAAGAGATTTGATAAAGATAAAAAAGACTTGATTCTGTCTCTGCATATGTATGCCTGTCAATGTGTGTGTATTTGTATGTATAGTTGATGTGTGTTCTCAGCCTTTTTCAAACAGTGTCTCGCTCACTTATTTTGTTCGAATCGTTCGGCCAAATACCCATAATCATCAAGAGACCCTAAACACCTAAACTATCTTTTTGTAATCTTTAGGAAGACCGCAACTTGGGCGAACATAGATTGAGGATGAGACGATCAGCTGCCTCATATTTTTCTCACCATTCTCACTGTCATGTTTGTTCACCATCACTTGAAGTTTTTGTGCCATTGGTTCAGTTCAGTTTGTATTCTCCAACGAGGCTGTCAAGCGGTGATTCGAATACATATGCGTTCCAGTTGGGTGTAATGGTAATGTTGAACAACACAGAAAATCAATCATAAAGTTATCTTGCCACACATATCATAGATATGTGTGGCATAGATATGTAGGATATTATTGATAAACTGATAATGTTGGAGCAATATGGCGGCTCAGTAGTGTGGATGTCTGGACATTAACATCTCCAGCTGGCTGTGACTGAGTAATATTATTAACTAAAAGTCTGTAACCGAAGGTGTTCACCGAGACTTTGTCACGAGATCAGAAACATCTTAGATCACATCAACGGGCGGCCACATTGTTCTTTAAATTTTTTTTAATATTTCATCATTGATTTTATTATTTATACAACTGAATGGCAAAGCTTTGAATTGATTCTTCGGAACTCCTGTCATCCAATCTTCTCCAATATACAATCTATAAATTTAAAGTTAAATAACTTACTAAAGAAAAATCTGGCTACCATTAATCAGTGTTCTGAGTAAGATCCATTAGGTTATTACTGTGTCGAATGCTTCTAAATATTTAAGCAAAATTTTCGTCGACTAAAGTTCAGAGCAAAGTCTAGAGGCAGACTGACAGACTGTGATGGTTATGTTACCTAGAGCCAACTGTGTTACCTAGAGCCAACTGTGTTACCTAGAACCAACTGTGTTACCTAGAGCATTGCCGAGGCCGATATAATCAGGCGTCAGTTGTGCATTATCAGCAAGAGTTGTGGACTACAGATAATTTACTCTGATAACTTAATTCTTATTGAATAGAGTAAAAATTCTTCATCGACTCATCAACAAAGTTCAAACACTTGATTTCTAAGCTTATTTTACTTCCTTTACGGTTTTAAGCTTACATTAACCATCACTTCACAACCAATACCTCAGAGATCTCGGTTTGATCTCAGACTCGGGATCTCGGTTTGATCTCAGACTCGGGATCTCGGTTTGATCTCAGACTCGGGATCTCGGTTTGATCTCAGACTCGGGATCTCGGTTTGATCTCAGACTCGGGATCTCGGTTTGATCTCAGACTCGGGATCTCGGTTTGATCTCAGACTCGGGATCTCGGTTTGATCTCGGACTCGGGATCTCGGTTTGATCTCAGACTCGGGATCTAGGTTTGATCTCGGACTCGGGATCTCGGTTTGATCTCAGACTCGGGATCTCGGTTTGATCTCAGACTCGGGATCTCGGTTTGATCTCAGACTCGGGATCTCGGTTTGATCTCAGACTCGGGATCTCGGTTTGATCTCAGACTCGGGATCTCGGTTTGATCTCAGACTCGGGATCTCGGTTTGATCTCAGACTCGGGATCTCGGTTTGATCTCAGACTCGGGATCTCGGTTTGATCTCAGACTCGGGATCTCGGTTTGATCTCAGACTCGGGATCTCGGTTTGAGTTTCTACAATAAACAAATCAACATAAAAACATTAGTATTAAGCCTCGTCTACATATGTTAATTTTCTCAGTAAATTCTTCAGAGGTCGGTTTGGTATCAGTCTTTCAGACATTGTTACACAGTTGTGTTGTCAACGACAAAAGTACTATTGTCATTTACATAATGTCAATGGCTCTGATAATGGACATTCTGAACGTCGTGTTCTTGTTACAAAACGACTCGTTCTTTATAGTGAAAAATGCATGTTACCAAACTTACCAGGCATGTTTTTGCCTGGTAAGTTCTTACTTATTATCATTAACACAGGGTGACGAGGGACTGACCTGCCGCAGGAGCTGGGCGTCGCTGGGCCTCCCCGCCACCGCCAGGTACAGCAGCAACAGCAGTAAGCTACAAAAAAGTTTCATATTGGGGGATATTTCCCAGGGTGGAGGTGGACGAGGACCCGGTCACCAGAGGGTCGAGAGGTAGACTACTGGACGCTTGTGTCCTTCTCTCTATCATTACTTGTTCACTGATAATGAGGCAGAAGTTGCGTCTCTTATCTGATAGTGAATATACGGCTTTATCATACAACTATTTCACTTGGACGGTATCTGGGATAAATTATCACGTTAAGATTTTTGGCCTTATCACGGCTTGTAAACCTACTTCAACATCAATACTTCATACAAAAAAGAAAATTATAAACAATGATATTCTGAGTAGCAGTAGATTTCTTCTAGCTCCTTAGATGCTGGCCAGGAACCAAGGATGCAAAGTACATTTCATCTCTGGACAGCTATACAAAGACGCTACAAAAGGAAGCAAGCTACTCTAGAGTCCATTATTGTTTCGATGTGCCTAGAACCCAAATACGCCAGAAAACACCAAGTGCTTTCTACAAAAGGGTCAAGGGGTCTCGTATACAATATGAAAAAGGTGTACATTTGGTCTTTTTCTCTGAACTTATTGAACTTAAGAGTCTCTTGCAGCAGTCCCTGCCTGCCCAGTACTGAAGGTAGTGGAGGCGTTTGTAAAAGGTGGACACACAGGCATAGTTCCATGCCAGTTGTCCGCTTTACCCCGAGGAGTGAAAAGTAAACCACATCTGTATGTAAACTACGGTTACACACACACACACAAAAATTACACATGAATTTGTTCTCTCTGAAGCTGGCTATGGGCCAGGGTCAGTAATTGGCATATTTTTGGTATAAAAAGTAGTATTTTGAAAATGAAAATAGGTGCAGAGAGTCAGAATTTGGCTTAAAAATCACGCTCAAGAGTCAAATTTCCGACATTTCAGATATTTTGAAAACTGCCGGGGGGGGGGGGGGGCATAATATGACCCATCGCCGTTTTCAGTAATTGGCATATTTTCGGTATAAAAATTCGTAATTTGAAAATGAAAATAGGTGCAGAGAGTCAGAATTCGGCTCAAAAATCACGCTCAGAAGTCAAATTTCCGACATTTCAGATATTTTGAAAACTGCAGGGGGGTTTGGGCAAAATATAACCCATCGCCGTTTTCAGTAATTGGCATATTTTCGGAAAAAAAGTCGTAGTTTGAAAATGAAAATACGTGCCAGAAAGTCAGAATTCCGCTCAAAAATCACGCTCAGGAGTCAAATTTCCGACATTTCAGATATTTTGAAAACTGAAGGGGGGTTTGGGCAAAATATGACCTCGCGCCGTTTTCAGTAATTGGCATATTTTCGATATTAAAATTCGTAATTTGAAAATGAAAATAGGTGCAAAGAGTCAGAATTCGACTCAAAAAACACGCTCAGGAGTCAAATTTCGGACATTTCAGATATTTTGAAAACTGCAGGGGGGGGGGGCAAAATATGACCCATCGCCGTTTTCAGTAATTGGCATATTTTCGGTATAAAAATTCGTAATTTGAAAATGAAAATAGGTGCAAAGAGTCAGAATTCGGATCAAAAATCACGCTCAGAGGTCAAATTTCCGACATTTCAGATATTTTGAAAACTGCAGGGGGGTTTGGGCAAAATATGACCCATCGCTGTTTTCAGTAATTGGCATATTTTCGGTATCAAAAGTCGTAGTTTGAAAATGAAAATAGGCGCATTGAGTCAGAATACGGCTCAAAAATCACGCTCAGGAGTCAAATTTCCAACATTTCAGATATTTTGAAAACTGCAGTGGGGTTTGGGCAAAACATGACCCATCGCTGTTGTCAGTAATTGGCATTATTTCGGTATAAAAGTCGTAATTTGAAAATGACAATAGGTGCAAAGAGTCAGAATTCGGCTCAAAAACTACGCTCAGGAGTTAAATTTCCGACATTTCAGAAATTTTGAAAACTGCAGAGAGGTTTGGGCCAAATATGACCCATCGCCGTTTTCAGTAATTGGCATAATTTCGGTATAAAAAGTCGTAATTTGAAAATGAAAATAGATGCCGAGAGTCAGAATTCGGATAACAAATCACGCTCAGGAGTCAAATTTCCGACATTTCAGATATTTTGAAAACTGCAGGGGGGTTTGGGCAAAATATGACCCATCGCCGTTTTCAGTAATTGGCATATTTTCGGAAAAAAGTCGTAATTTGAAAATGAAAATAGGTGCAGAGAGTCAGAATTCCGCTCAAAAATCACGCCCAGAAGTCAAATTTCCGACATTTCTGGCACCTATTTTCATTTGCAAACAACGACTTTTTTTTCCGAAAATATGCCAATTAATGAAAACGGCGATGGGTCATATTTTGCCCAAACCCCCCTGCAGTTTTCAAAATATCTGAAATGTCGGAAATTTGACCTCTGAGCGTGATTTTTGATCCGAATTCTGACTCTTTGCACCTATTTTCATTTTCAAATTACGACATTTTATACCGAAAATATGCCAATTACTGAAAACGGCGATGGGCCATATTTTGCCCAAGCCCCCTTTCAGTTTTCAAAATATCTGAAATGTCGGAAATTTGACTCCTGAGCGTGATTTTTGAGCCGAATTCTGACTCTCTGCGCCTATTTTCATTTTCAAATTACGACTTTTAATACCGAAAATATGCCAATTACTGAAAACGGCGATGGGTCATATTTTGCCCAAACCCCCTTTCAGTTTTCAAAATATCTGAAATGTCGGAAATTTGACTCCTGAGCGTGATTTTTGAGCGGAATTCTGACTCTCTGCACCTATTTTCATTTTCAAATTACGAGTTTTTATACCGAAATAATGCCAATTACTGAAAACGGCGATGGGTCATATTTTGACCAAACCCCCCCCTGCAGTTTTCATAATTTCTGAAATGTCGGAAATTTGACTCCTGAGCGTAGTTTTGAGCCGAATTCTGACTCTCTGCACCTATTTTCATTTTTAAATTACGACATTTTATACCGAAAATATGCCAATTACTGAAAACGGCGATTGGTCATATTTTGCCCAAACCCCCCTGCAGTTTTCATAATTTCTGAAATGTCGGAAATTTGACTCCTGAGCGTGATTTTTGAGCCGAATTTTGACTCTTTGCACCTATTTTCATTTTCAAATTACGACTTTTTATACCTCGGCGATGGGTCATATTTTGCTCAAAGTCTTATGAAGTTTTCAAAATATCTGATATGTCGGAAATATGAATACTGGGCGTGATTTTTGAGCCGAATTTTGACTCTCTGCACCTATTTTCCTTTTCAAATTACGACTTTTTATATCGAAAATATGTCAATTACTTAAAACGGCGATGGGTCACATTTTCCCCAATCTTCTGCAGTTTTCAAAATATTCCAAATATCCCAAATCCAACTCCTGAGCCATATTTTGGAGCCAAATTCCGGCTCTTTGCACATATTTCTAGTTTGAAATTACAACTCCTTATACCGAAAATATGTCAATTACTGAAATCAGCGATTGATCACATTTCGCCCAAACCCCCCTGCAGTTTTCAAAATATCCCACATCCGACTCCTGCGAGACAAGGTGGGCAGGCAGAGAGCCAGGTCTATGTGACAAGCAGGTGGACGAGGATCCAGTCACCAGAGGGTCGAGAGATAGACTACTGGACGCTTCTCTCTTTCCCCTATTACTTGTTCACTGATAATGAGGCAGAAGTTGCATCTCTTATCTCACAGCCGATATGTTATATCTTGGCACTTGAAGAAAGGTGTGGGGAGGTGGATTTCCTAGACTACAAGCCAGAGCGCATATAAGGGCAATATATGTGAATTCCCTGATTAGACTTCAGCGTAAGCCTCAGGAACCCTAAACGATTCAGTTGAATTCTAGGTTGCATTGCTTTTTAACCCATGTCGTGGTGTAGTTGTCTTGAAGATTTGCTCCAGGGTACTCAGAGCACAGGTTCGAATCTTCCTCGTGGCTTTTAATCGTTTTCTTATATTATATCCGGGTTAAATATTAAGAATAATGACGTGATATATGCTGTAGCAGATAAGTATGGCGTTTGGTTTATCTATCGCGGATATGTGCAGTCTTATCTATTTGTTTTCTTACATATCTGTGTCATTGATAAGCAATTTCCAGTTCTTGGCTTCGGGTATTTGATATTAGGTATCTTATTTTGCACTATGTATAAATTTGTTGTGAATGCTAAGTCATTTCTTCTTCCACATGGACTTACACGGTCCTCTCTTACTTATAACTTAGTCTTGCCTAACTTATCCTAATTGAATCTTGGCTAACTTAACCTAACTAAATCTTGATTAACTGAATCTAACTTTATCTTGCCTAACTTAACCTAACTGAAGCTTGCCATACTTTACCGAACTGAATCTTGCCTAACGTAACCTAACTGAATTATACCTAACTTAACTGAACCTTGCCAAACGTACCCCTAAGTGAACCTCGCCTAAATTAACCTTACCTGTAACTAAACATATACAGGTATGCTGTATATATCTGGCATCGGCCACTTTGTCTTCAGAGCCTCCGGATTCTCATGTTGTTTTCAGTGATACCTTCCTCAGTCTCCTGAACATTGTTCATGTTTTCCCTAACCTAAATAGGCTAATTACTCAGGTCCTACATTAGTAAAAATCGACCGTAAATAAACAATAATTTTAAAAGTCAGCATCGTGATTATAAAACAAAGTCCTCAGAAAGACTAATTGGTCAAAAGCAATCTTCCATTGCAGCGTTCCGCGCCTTGCCGACTGCAGGCAACTGTTGGCAAGACATAAATATGTGGATATTTGTTTAGATAACGACCGCTTTTATCAGCGGCCTTATAGAACAAGCCAATAATAACTGGTAGTTGTCCGTCAGTGTCTGTTGAGTGGGTGGTGACCAGACGACCCACTCCTAGTCCTCCGTCAGTGTCCGTTGAGTGGGTGGTGACCAGACGACCCACTCCTAGTCCTCCGTCAGCGTCCGTGAGTGGGTGGTGACCAGACGACCCACTGCTAGTCCTCCGTCAGTGTCCGTTGAGTGGGTGGTGACCAGACGACCCACTGCTAGTCCTCCGTCAGCGTCCGTAAGTGGGTGGTGACCAGACGACCCACTCCTAGTCCTCCGTCAGTGTCCGTGAGTGGGTGGTGACCAGACGACCCACTCCTAGTCCTCCGTCAGCGTCCGTTGAGTGGGTGGTGACCAGACGACCCACTCCTAGTCCTCCGTCAGTGTCCGTTGAGTGGGTGGTGACCAGACGACCCACAAAGGTCACGCTTCACCACAGAGATGGGACGAGTGTATTGTTTACTGATGCTGATGACCGCGACGTTATCCCGACTGACTGAGACAGACCAGGTATAGATTTTCTTGGACAATTTCATAACTTAGTGTACAGAATGATTTCTGTCATCTTCTTTTTACAGGATTTTGATCTACAACTCTCATATACTTCAAAAATAACTACACGAACTCATTCTCAGTTATTATCACACGCAAAATTGTGGTTTAATGATATCTTAAATCTCCTTTTTTCACATATTTCTCTCAGAGATAAGAAATATACTAAAATTTGCAGCATTATAAACAGTAAATATCTTAATATTGTAACTTCCACATAATCACTGATAGGTGGTAGTTAGGGGCTTCCATTTGTCTAATAAAACTAAATAATGTTATAACAACAATTAGTTTTGTTATGTAAATATACAGCTTTGATTTTATATTTCCTTAAAATTACATTTGAAGAATTATCTGCATCATTCTTGAATTTCTTATGATGATCGGTGATGTACAATAGAAGTAGAGTATAAATATACAAACTATGTTATTTTTCTTTCAGAATTATCCAGTTCTGGACAGTGAAGGTAATTTCAGTGAAGGCTTTGGGTGATAATATAGTGAATGATAGTGATGTTTGTACATTATAATGACGATGAATGATAGCGAGGTTTGTAAATTATAATGAAGATGAATGATAGTGAGACGTTGACCGGGTACAACCAACGCGTGATGGTGACTCTGGAACACGTTAAAGATAATAACTGATGGTGACTTTAGTACAGGTTAAAGATAATAAGTGATGGTGAAGCTTCTATTATATTTCAATAAACCAGAGATTCTGTGCAGTAATCAAACACGCAGCACGCTACATAAACCAAAATAGTGCAACTTGTAATATTATATAATAATTTTTTTTTAAATTATAATCATAATTTGCAAAATCTTATGTATTACAGTTCTGTGTCTTGAGTTGTAATAATATCAGACAAAGGCTTTAGCTATAAAAGAGACACAGGAATATTTAAAATCCACTGAAGACTGTTGATTAGACAAGATTAATGTGACTCAGATTAATGTGTCTCTACTATTTTGACGAAGGACGGTGGTAATTCTCGACGCTTGTAAAGCAAGACGTAAATACTTGCGATCAAGATGCTGAGCAGTAATGTATTTCCAATTTCATATACCAATTACACGAATATCTTGTGGCATATACGATATATTAACCGGTTCTCCCAATACCTAACAGATCCGAGAGCATCTGACAGCAGGGTTTCATTGAACGTCAAATGGATGGCTCCGGATAAAGCCAATGGGATCATTACCAAGTACCGAGTCAAGTGGACCTGGGAGGATGGTGCGGACGACATTCAGGTGAACGGCACGTCCACCACCAGCTACACCATCACCGGCCTGGCTGCCTGTATCAACTACTCCGTCACCGTCGCGGCTGCTACGAGCGAAGGCTTTGGTGTCGAGAGTGACCCAGTCAGCAGAGTAACAAACATTGGTGGTAAGAGTGTATATGAGGTGTGTATAGAGTAATGTGTATATAGAGTAATGTGTATATAGAGTATGGTGTATATAGAGTATGGTGTGTATAGAGTATTGTGTATATAGAGTAATGTGTATATAGAGTAGGGAGTGTATAGAAGCAAGATGCTTTAAACACATCAATATATTTCAAGTTTGGAAATAATAAACCAAATTTTGTCATATGCTTACACTTTACATAGGAATAATATATATTTTTTAATGATTGAGAATTCTTTACTTCGGAGGAGATAATGACTATAATTTTGAAGAAATAATAAAGATCCTCTGCATATATCAGTCGACATTGTTCTTCTACCACCATTCTTATTTTTTTTTATTTTGGACTTAAATAATAAAGGATTTAGTTCCAGGTAATGAGATAAATGAATGCTAGAAAGTTTCGCAGTATCCTTCAGCTGTCGAAAGTTGGAACACAAAGCTTACTCACTGAGTAAGTTCTTGGCTCCCTTGCCCGATAGGCCCGACATCAATCCCCGACCGCCCAAGTGGTTGGGCACCATTTCTTTCCACCCCACAGTCCCATCCCTAATCCTTATCCTGATCCTTTTATGCGCTATTTAGTCGTAATGGGTTTGCGCTTTCCCCTGATAATTCCTTCTCGGGCAGTAAATAGGTACTCAGGAGTAGTCAGCCTATTGTGGGGTCGCATCCTGGGGAGGGTCATATATACTCCCTCTCTCTAGATTTATATTTAAGGTATATATACACAGGCTTCCTGTCCCCAACAAAACGAGGTATTATTCATCCATAGATATAATATTATCCAGTCTGAGGAGAAGCACGACTGTTAGGTTTATTAGAGACAATACTTCGAGGATCTCTTTCTTCTAGACACTAGGGGCCAGATTCACGAAAGAACTTACGCAAACACCTACGAACCTGTACATCTTTTCTCAATCTTTGGCGGCTTTGTTTACAATTATTAAACAGTTAATGAGCTCCGAAGCACCAAGAGGCTATTTAGAACAATAACAACAGTTGAATGGGAAGTTTTCATGCTTGTAAACTGTTTAATAAATGTAGCCAAAGCCGTCAAAGATTGAGGAAAGATGTACATGTTCGTAAGTGTTTGCGTAAGTTCTTTCGTGAATCTGGCCCTAGGAGTCTGGACTTCAGACTGTGGCTCTTCGTGTTGTATACTTTACTGTATTATGTATGCCCGCCCTTAGAACGTCCATATGCTACGGGTTTACACTTGCGCTCAGCGTAAACAGGAAAACTAAATTTAGGGCAACTTTAATTCATAATAAGGAGAAGCTTTGACTCTCCGATCCTTAACATTTTTGGATAAATCCATAATATGAGATTATGACAAAGAGCAGCTCTTAGAAGAGCATCTCTTCTGATATGTTTTGAAACACCCTTAAAATTTCATTTAATTAGTTGCTATTTGTCGGTGAGGTTAGCATCGCTTGATTGAGCTACATCACAGCGTGAAGGACGCCTCCTCTTACCAAGCTACTCTCACCTGGCCACTATTAATGCCGTAACTTGTCCATGGTTCCACAGCCCCGCCAGCACCGTCAGTGACCTGCGGGAAGGTCGTCTCCCCTCACCAGCTCGCTGTCACCTGGCCTCCAGTCGACACACAGTGTCCAGTAGGTGGCTACAAGGTAAACTATACCGGGGACGTCCTCTGGTCCGACGACACCCTCTACGACTCTCAAGAACTTTACACAACATATGCAGACCTGAGTGGCTTAACACCGTGGACGACCTACACTGTGTGTGTAGCGGCAGTGGTCGTTAATGACATTGTTGGTGCGTGGGACTGCTGCACCTCTACTACCCTGGAGGCTGGTGAGTCTTAATTTACTGGTAGAGCCTTACTACTACCCTGGAGGCTGGTGAGTCTTAGTTTACAGGTAGAGTCTTACTACTACCCTGCAGGCTGCTGAGTCTTAGTTTACTGGTAAAGTCTTACTAGTACCCAGGAGGCTGGTGAGTCTTAGTTTACTGGTAGAGTCTTACTAGTACCCTGGAGGCTGGTGAGTCTTTGTTTACTGGTAGTCTTACTACTACCCTGGAGGCTGGTGAGTCTTAGTTTACAGGTAGAGTCTTACTACTACCCAGGAGGCTGCTGAGTCTTAGTTTACTGGTAGAGTCTTACTACTACCCTGGAGGCTGGTGAGTCTTAGTTTACTGGTAGAGTCTTACTACTACCCTGGAGGCTGGTGAGTCTTAGTTTACTGGTAGAGTCTTACTACTACCCTGGAGGCTGGTGGAAGACAGTCTTACCACCAGTCTTGAGAGCACAAGGATGGTAAATATTACTGAAACAGCACAACAATCCCTTATCAAGTAATGTTATTAAAACATTGACCTCAGGAGTTGACTCCTCATCACTGTGTCAGGTCATCACAAGGCAGACACATCTCTAACATCAAACTACCACCCATTGATGTTAACACCACACAAGTAAAAAAAAAAATAAACAGTAACAGGAAATTCAATTTATAATCACTCTGAAAAAATTTAACTTAATTGGTAATACATCAACGATATCATATTTTTTCTGATGACTAAATCGATGAAGATATCAGGATGGTTTAACGTGTCAGGTGTTTAACGTGTCAGATGTTTAACGTGTCAGGTGATTTTGACGACTAAAAGATTACATTAAAAAGAAATAAGAAACTTTCGAGTTGTAGTTTTGAATTACTCCTTTACCGAGAATCCAAACAATGTTGTTAGTATTGTGTAGCGCCGTAGTCTGCACAGCCAGTTCACAACCTTGAATGATCCGGGGTTCGATTCCCGCGCAGGGATAAGACATTTGATCACCTTTCCTTACATCTGACGTCCCCAGTTGAGAGTAGCACCCCGTCGAAGCTCACTAGTGGTCCTAGGAAGGCCTCAATAAGCTTAGCAGCCTCACGGAAAATCAATCTGAAATGTCCTAAGTTCTACAAATGATCTTTAAATTCAGGCGATGAGTCACAATAACGTGGCTGAAGTATCGACTTGAGAATGGTCCAGGACGGACCGAAACGTCGTCGTCCCTTCAATTTCTAGTGTGTGGTCTGGTCAACGATCTTTAAATTATTAAGATAATCATGCAGGAAAAGGAAATCCTCGTCTTCAGTGATAAAATCGTCTTCAGCTCGTATTATTTCCGCTCTGACAGCGCCCGGGAAGCCATCAAATCTGGAACAAACATCGTCAACCACTAGCAGTGTTACTATCTCTTGGACGGAGCCTGAGGAGCGGAATGGCGCGCTGACGGAGTACCAGGTAGTCTGGCCCGACGGCTTCTTCAGCCTCTCCGCCGGCGCCACCACCTTCACCATCAACGGCCTACACCCAAAGACGCAGTTCAATGTCACTGTACAGGTTAGACTTGGCAGCGTTACGTTCCTCAAGCAAGTATCCTGTAGCCTTCATACATTATAGATGTATCACAACAATATAATGTTCATTTTACAGGTACACTGTGACGATATAATGATTGGGCCAATATACTTTCTGTAGAATCCTCTTGTCTTGTGCTTCATTTATTAGCCAGGTCCATCACTGTCACCATACACTGTTATTTCACAGTGAAAAAGATATTCAACCTCTGTCTTCTGTGATAGTGAGTTGTAACATGAGAAAATGGGGAAAATGATGCTCAATAGTAGTTGATAACGGAACAACGTCATCTCAGTGCAGTGTTGTTTAAGAACAGACACCATCACGGTGCAAGGTGATTGTCTAGGTTTACCATCATGATGTATTGTGCACAACCATGATGTAATGTACAAAATCATGGTATTCTGTGTACAATCTGTCTCAGTCACTTATCAAATTGAGAGATTATTTCCACCGAGGAATACAAATCAGGATACAGTGTTTCCAGCGAGGAATACAGTCCACGATACAATGTTACCACTGAGGCCCGACAGACCACTGGAACATTATCTAACACAGTGCACAGTTACAAACCCATTAAGATTTCAACTTAGATTCAACAGAGCAGAAGAAGTTGTTAAACACATATGTCAAAATCTTACTGAAGCGACCATACGAGTCATAAATACTCATACTCCGCCCAAGTAAAACAGAAACAAGCAACACCTAGTGGGCCAGCCAGAGGCTTAGGGCCCGCGCAGGAATATCCCTGCAAAAAAAAAAAACATTGAGGAATTAGAAAGGAATCAGGATTAGGATCAATTAGGAAGTACAGCTATCCTGCAAGCACCCGCTGACCATATATTACAGTGCCCACTTAATCCTAAAACTACAATTCCAAATACAAACTACAAACTAAATGCAAACTGCAACCTCTCCCCCCCCCCCCCACAAAAAATAAAAATGGTGATCACAATATAGCCTACAGCAGTAACACCAATGCAGACATACCTTGACCCAAATATTATTGCATAGAATTAAGTTCCCTGAAAATTATATTTCATATATAATTATCATCTTATCTGTCGCTACTGATAGCGGGATCCAGATAGATGGAGTGCGCAGCAGAACTGAGGCGTAGTCAACAAATTTGGTTGATTTTAATTAGTGAACTTAGGAGAACTGAGAAGTAAAAGCCGTACTCGACCTCACACCAAGTGTTGCGTATACTGTTTGGCTCAGACGAGGATGTGTTTAAAGCAGGACTTGTAAACTAGTTGATCAGGAGGAGGCGGGTCGCAAGCAGTACTAGATTCTAAACGCAAGAAGTTCCTAGACGAAAAGCCTTTTCTCTTAAACTTTTGCAGAAGAGCATAATTATGTTCAACAGAGTAGCAGCAAAGATCACTAAGTGTACTTTCCCCCTGTGTACTGAGCCTGACACGCATGCCTGACCATACTGGAGTACCGTAGGCGGGGTGACCCAAGTACCACATGGTGGTATCAGCCATGGTGCAATGCATGCATGCTGCTGTTTATTCACTATCCTGATCTAAAAGGTCCATTCACATAACGCATAGCCTTTAAACAGCAAACTGACACTCACAGCAGGGCATCAAATTCCTTTATTCTCTTTATCTCACGAAAAGATGAGTTACTCCAAGATTATTTAGAAATTATTTTTAATTTCTATAGTAAACAATATGGCGGGACAAAGGGGTCTTCCATTGTTCATCAACGTTCCAAAATAATGATAAAAAATTGAATAAGGTTAGAAGAAACACCTATACAGATTACATTAGAAATCTTAGAAATAGTACCTTAAAAATAGATTACCACTCTTTTAGAAACAAAGAGAGATGATTCCCTTCATGTCCTAGACATGCTAATTACGATTAACATGTCTATAGGTCTTTCACTTTTAGCATGTCTCTTTTACTTTAATTCTCACCATGATTCTACGACAAAACAGGCATTGTGACCGGAGTCTCACAAAGATAATTTAATAAGGATTTGTCGAAACCAGAACCCTGAAGATGAGTCAGTATCAATATCTGATGGTTTCCTTCATAAACACTAAACGTTTCCTTTAGGAATCTGAAAGCGAGCAGCAATGATAATCAACAGAAACACCAACAAAACAGAACCAGAACAACGGTTCATTTCCCCAACAGGACAAAGAGTAAACACCTTTAACACTTGTACATAAATCCAATATATCTGACGTTCACAAAAATCCCCTTCAATCACCACCCTCTTCAACACCTATCAAGAAACAGATCCCCAATGCAAGGGATTTACACAATACCTTGCAGTATTGTGTAAATCTCTCATTTCACACTGTGTAAATCTCTCAAGTCACAGGACGACTATGACTTCCACAGTCGTCCTAAGGTGACAAATGACATCTAGGCAGTCCAGAGAGCCCCTCACAAGAAGCGAGTGTTCAAAGTCTCTCTCTCTCTCTCTCTGTCTCCTCCAGGCAGGGACGGCGGTCGGCTGGGGTCCTCCAGCAATGATTCAAGTAACGACTAACAAGAGTCCTAACATTGGGGCGTTGGTGGGAGGCGTTATTGGCGGCATTGTGGGGGGACTCCTGTTTCTGGCTGCTGTGGCCGCTGTGGTTTTCTTCAAGAGGAAAAGGAACGACAAAAAGAAATCAACAGAAAGAAGGTAGAAATGTGTAATTGTTTCCTCTATGGCGTCAGTATAGAATGAAATATGAAAAATTAACTCACCAAAGTTCCTTTAACACTTATAATGGGCTTGGTGCATTTTTTTTATAAGCCCAAATTAGAATCATAAGAGGAGTAGGGAAGAAAATATAAAATATTATTAAAACGATGTGCTCAATACAGAGTTTCTGAAGGGAGAGATGATTAACCGGTGAAGTGTAACGGCTAGACGGTTCACGCATTCCTATTGGTCGGCTGGGATGGCAATTGAACACCAACAGGCAGTTCTCTCATGATAGCATAGAAAGAAGATCATCTTAAGATGATAGCCTATGTGTTTTGACACTTCAATACGACGCAGTTTGCAATTTCACGGACACAGCTCAAATAACATAACCCGAGAATACGTTTAATTAACGCACAGCTGCTCATCATGAATGGGTTGATATATAAATGACTTCAAAGTTCACTACTGAAGTGAAAATAAGCTTCTAAGATATCACAAAGTTTGCAGAGTTCAAGCTTGGATCTCCTAACGTTCAAGGTAAAAAAATAAGTCAAATCAAACTACCACTACTCATCACAATCGACTTGAGAATGGTCCAGGACGGACCGAAACGTCGTCGTCCCTTCAATTTCTAGTGTGTGGTCTGGTCAACATACTTCAGCCACGTTATTGTGACTCATCGCCTGCAAACTACCACTAAGTTCTTAAGTTTTCAATATCAACAAAATTATGGAAATTTTCTTTATATTACTTCTCAATGTTGTTTACCAGAGAAGTGTTGGAGCACACATTCACTCTGACATTCCCCGCCTGAGTTTCCATCCAAATCACATTATATTTCACTCAAAACATCGTTAAACCATAGTATATTAATAATTCTCAAACTCCGGGAATTAGTGTGCGGCGCCAGGGGGCAATTCACCCTGGAAAATACTTTAATCTGTGCAATTACGCAACTGAATTTCATATAGTAATTGTATTGTTTAATTTGTTATATGCAATGTTATCGGGCGTTTATATTTGTAAATATTCAATTAAAAATTCAGGTTTTGGAAATTACTCTCACAGAGGGTTAAGCTTTGCCAAGCAGGGCATTATATTGCTACCAAATAATGAATCGCCTGTGAACCACAGCGACAACAGCTTGCCGAACCACAGCCACAACAGTTCAATGAACCACAGTCACCTCAGCTCAGTGTACTCTTCAGGTCCTCACGTCCGGACATGTCGATGGCTCCTCGCATCTCAACTGTCAGTTGCAGTACTTCCAAGAACGACAAACCCACAGCGTATGATCAAGTAAGTTGTCGTGCGAATTTTCTTGTAATTAGGAACTTTTTTTTTTTAAGAAACAAAGAAGTATTGTTTTTATTTTATGGCGCTGGCTTAGTGCTTTAAAAAAAAAATATAAGTTACTTGCTGTTTTTGGAATTTGGTTAAAAAACAGAAGTTTTTCAATCCCAACAAGAGCAAATTACTGCAAATCGAAGTCGAAGAAATGTAAGGAAATACTCGTATCCTGTACAGGTGATATAATCATTATATATAATAACTTGTATAATGCACTGAAAGTGGTTCTTAACCTTTTTTTTTTAAGTCACGAACCCCTCTAAAAATCTAGATCCTCCTCTCAAACTATGGACCACCTCCCTGAAAAAAAACACAAGCACAAAAGCACATAAATGCATCTTTGCATGCAATGAATATACTTGATTTTATTGAAAATTGATTGCCTCATACAGTGTATGACGTACACCAAGTATGAATAAAGTCCATGGACCTCCAAGGAGTCCCTAGGTTAAGAATCACTTCTTTACCTCTCCTAAGAGAACTTATGTTCTGTTCTCTTAACCTCTGTTTAATGCCTCCTGAGGCTAAGGCTTTGCTTTGTCATTTTGTCGAGAAATTACACACATTCTTGATATAATATATTCACTCAGCAGGGTTCGAAGAAGGAGTTAGATCGCAGGAAGAATTCGACTTTTGAACCCATCGCTGTAGCCACCTCCAGGAGTGTCAAGAGCCACAACCGTAAGTCCTCTATAGCATGTGTGTGTGTGTGTTTGTGTGTGTGTGTGTGTGTCTGTGTGTGTGTGTGTGTGTGTGTGTGTGTGTGTGTGTGTGTGTGTGTGTGTGTGTGTGTGTGTGTGTGTGTGTGCATGAAAGTACTTGAATGTCAACGTATAATCAAACGTGATTAAAGAACCTGCGTCATCATTTTAAGGATGGTCACACGAACAATCATTTCCTTTCAGCATATTACATTCACGAAAAAAGAACTGTGATGGTGTTGAAGGAGCACATCTACGAGAACCCGGACGAGGACTCTGAAGACCCCATCTATATGACCCTGGACTAGGGAGCATCGGCGTCTCTACCAACTCGTGTAGTGGCCACAGTGACGAAGCTGATCAAGGTCACCAACTTATCCAGACTAAACTAACCTTGTCTCCAAAGTTTACAACACGCCCTGGCCACCTACCCCGACCCTACCCGCTTGCATAGTCACCCTAGCCCCCATCCTGGATACCTGTCCGGCTTGAAATACTATCCCTTCCCCTCAACCCAGCTTTCCAACCTATTCTAACTATCCCAGGTTTCATGGGAACCAACCCACCCTGGCTTTTGCTATATTATATTCTCAAAATAAAAATATTCATAAATAAATAGACTAAGGGGTTAAAGCACTCTGTATCGTATGACAGATTTTAGTATTATCTTTGAAGCAAATGAATATGATTTATATGCTAATTGTATATATAATAAATAATATTTTATTTTACAATGTCATCATTATTTGGAAATAATAAATAAATAAATATTTTAACGTGCACACATGACCTGATAAACACACACACACACACACACACACACACACACACACACACACACACACACACACACACACACACACACACACACACACACACACACACACAAACAAACACAAACCTTAAATGAAGCACAATTTACTCTCAAGACATATATTAATAATAAATATTAAATTAATAAAAACAGCTTTTAATACTATCTCCAGTTACCAGTGAACCTTTCTCCTGATCTTCCCACATTTCAAACACTTAAGGTATTATGTATCAATAACTTATCTTCGAAATATTGGCCAAATATTTAATCTTTATTTAATTCAAATAATAATCTAGCATATTTAATATTGATACCAATATTCTTACCAGTAAGTGTTTTCAGTGGTTTAGGTATTTTTTTAACCTACATTGTAGATAGTTTACAACGTAACTGTTGATACCAACTCCAAGGTATTTGTGCTGCCTACACGTTTCAAAGTTCTGGTTCATCATTTGTGAGTCCCTTGAAAGTTATAGAGACATGAGTTTTCTCTTGGAGATAGAGAGCTGTAAATTTAGTTACAGAGTTAACAAGACCACATTCAATCCTTTTAACAGCGAGTGAATCAAGTAGAGCTTGTAGTCTAGTTTGGGTATTTGCAACAATGCATGTCATCGACATAACAGATGACGGCTTCGTCAGGTAGTGTAGGAATATCAATTGTTAATTTGTGCATCAGGTCATTGAACAGTGTAGGACTTAGCACTCCACCCTAGGGTGTACCTAACTCAAAGGGTGCACAAAGTTTACTTTTGACCCCCTTGAAAAAGACTGAGGCGGTTTTGTTACTTAGGTAACCCCAGAGCCATGTCAACAGTCTTCCCTTAACTCCAAAAGAGGCTAATTGTTCTAAGATTATTTCTCTGTTTGCTGTATCAAAAGCAGTTTGGAGATCAATAAATGCCGCCTGAGAGCTTGGTCCCTCTCCAATAAAATATTCAGCAAAGCAAGCTTGTGTACTTTTTTTCAGGAAGAAAACCATAAAGGTTAGGACCAAGGTGGGGCCTAATATGAAACATTAGTCTGTCGAGCGACTTTATTAACTAAGTTAATGTATATGTAAGGTGCGATCAAATGGTGGAAGCTTCTCTTCCAACAACCACCAGCAGCTCTCAAACTATTGTCATGGGTGATTTTAATGCTAGACACACTAGCCTGGGTGACACCAAAACAAATAGAAATGGTAAGGATTTTGTTAAATATCTTAGAGACAAAAGCATGTCCGTATTCAACTTTGACTCATCTAACGTCACACAACTCAAGGGTGGCAAATTTGAATATGTCATTGGTCACGGTCTCATCGATAATGCTGTCAGAGGATCACAAATTAGTTAATGATCATTTAGCCATATTCAGTTCATACTCCAATAATGTCAAATCCCAAAGTTTAAAAAAAAATAATCAATATCCCTAAAAATTTACACATGCACCTTAAATTCCGAATTTCTGAATGTTATAACTCTTACTGTTTTACTACTGTCAACGCATTATATGAGGACCTGATCACTGAAGTTACCGCTTTTTATGGCAATATTGTAAAATCCACAAGACCCAAGACAGTGAGGAAGGAACAGAGGTGGTTCACTGTCTCACACCTTAAGCCCCTGCATGACGGAGTTCTCATCTTAGCTGAGCAGTATAAAACACATACAACAGCTGACACCCTCAACATATTTCTTAAAGCCAGCCGAGAGTTTAGAGAGCTAAAGGAACAGGTGTATAACCAGCACTGGGAACAGCTTTTGCAAGGCATCAATCATGCAATATCCTCATCCCAAATGTGGTTATCTTGAGGTTATCTTGAGTTGATTTCGGGGCTTTTTAGTGTCCCCGCGGCCCGGTCCTCGACCAGGCCTCCACCCCCAGGGAAGCAGCCCGTGACAGCTGACTAACTCCCAGGTACCAATATACTGCTAGGTAACAGGGACATCAGGGTGAAAGAAACTGCCCTTCGTTTCTCGCCGGCGCCTGGGATCGAACCCGGGACCAAAGAATCACAAGTACAGCGTGCTGTCCGCTCGGCCGACCGGCTCCTTATAGACCGGCTCCGGCTCCCTTTGCTAGAATTGTTTAATTAAAGTCTCAGGCAGGGTGTCTTACCTGACCGCTGGACACAGGGACTCCTAATACCCATATCCAAGCCTAATTCACGAAAATTCAGACCCATCTCTCTGACACCTGCCAACAATCATCCCTTTCCTTCGGCTGCATTTTCTCGAATCTATAACAGGTAAGAAATGAGAACCTTGACTACACAGGTCAACCAGCATGACTACACAGCACTTGGCGAGGATACAAGCACAAGAAGCTCGTACAGGAACAGTGGGTTAAGGAGCGGCGGCCCACCACCTTGAGAGTCACGCATCGAACGCCGACCTGCAAGAAAAACGAAGTCGTTAGTGTACCATATACCTCAAATAGTTAAAAAAAAATGTTTATCTGTTTGAGGCGGGAAGCTAGACACTTGAGTCTAACCCAAAAACAATAAACAAACGTTTATAAATGTATCCCGTGAGAATTTAATTCCATCAGTGTAAGTTAAATACTAACATTAAACTCGAAGTGTTATAGCTTGGGTTGGGGGATGGGGTACAAAGTTTATTATGAAGGGAAGGAATCGAAAATTAGGAAGGTAAGGTAATTATCACGATAAACGCTAGGACAGTGTAACTACATCGCCCTGGCAGGAGATATGGGGACACGGAACTGGGTTATGAAGACAGGGTGAAGGAACGATCCTCAACCACTTGGGCCATTGGGAATCGAACTCCGACTCTTTAAGGAGCAAGGCCGTCGACCGGTCCGAGTGCATGGAAGTGAGAAAATCTTTTTTTTTTTTGAGAAAGGTTCGAACGCAATAGATTCTGAGTCATGCAAAAAGCATTTATCGATCATAAACAGGAATGCAGATGGTGGATTAAATATTCGGCCAATATTTCGAAGATAAGTTATTGATTCATAATACCTTAAGTGTTTGAATTGTGGGAAGATCAGGAGAAAGGTTCACTTTAAACTGGAGATAGTATTAAACGCTGTTTTTATTAATTTAACATTTATTATTAATATATGCCTTGAGAGTAAATTGTGATTCATTTAAGGCTTGTGTTTATGTGTGTGTGTGTGTGTGTGTGTGTGTGTGTGTGTGTGTGTGTGTGTGTGTGTGTGTGTGTGTGTGTGTGTGTGTGTGTGTGTGTGTGTGTGTGTGTGTGTGTTTACCAGGTCATGTATGCATGTTAAAATATTTATTTATTTATTATTTATAAAAATGATAAAATTGTAAAATAAAATATTATTTATATCATATACAAGTACCAAATAAATCATATTTGTTCATTTGCTTCAGAGATAATGCTAAAATCTATCGTACGTTACAGAGTGCTTTAACCACTTAGTCTATTTATTTATGAATATTTTTATTTTGAGTATTTAATATGGCAAAAGCCAGGGTGGGTTGTTTCCCATGAAACTTGGGATAGTTGGAATAGGCTGGAAAGCTGGGTGTAGGGGAAACGATAGTATTACAAGCCGGACAGATATCCAGGGGTCAGATTCACGAAAGCAGTTACGCAAGCACTAACGAACCTGTACATCTTTTCTCAATATTTGGCGGCTTTGTTTACAATTATTAAACAGTTAATGAGCTCCGAAGCACCAGGAGGCTGTTTATAACAATAACAACAGTTGATTGGCAAGTTTTCATGCTTGTAAACTGTTAAATAAATGTAACCAAAGCCGTCAAAGATTGAGGAAAGATGTACACGTTCGTAAGTGCTTGCGTAAGTACTTTCGTGAATCTGGTCCCTGGATGGGGGGCTAGGGTGACTATGCAAGCGGATAGTGTCCGGGTAGGTTACCAAGGTGTGTTGTAAACTTTGGAGACAAGGTTAGTTTAGTCAGAATGAGGGAGTAGTTGGTGACCTTGATCAGCTTAGTCATTATAGCCATTACAAGACATTGTAGAGACGCCGATCCTTCCTAGTCGAATTTCGTATATATCTCTTCTTCAGAGTCCTCGTCCGGGTTCTCGCAGATCATGTCCTTCAACACCATCACAGTGCCTTTTTTGTGTTTGTAATATGCTGAAAGGAAATGATTGTTCGTGTGAACATCTTTAAAATGATGATGCAGGATCTTTAATCACGTTTGATTATACGTTGACATTCTAATTCTTGCATGCCCGCGCGCACACACACACACACACACACACACACACACACACACACACACACACACACACACACACACACACACACACACACACTCACACACACACATACACACACACACACGCACACACTCACACACATACGCACACACTCACACACATACGCACACACACACACACACATACGCTATAGAGGACTTACGGTAGTCGTTCTCGACACCTCTGGATGTGGAAGCGGCGATGGGTTCAAGATTCAGATGCGTCCTGTGATCGAATTCCTTCGAGCCCTGCCGAGTGAATATATATATATATATATATATATATATATATATATATATATATATATATATATATATATATATATATATATATATATATATATATATATATATATATATATATATATATATATATATATATATATATATATATATATCAAGAATATGTGCAATTTCTCGAAGATAGATATCTAGCCTGTAAGGGTGAATATACCACTGTGTTTACCACAAATTTTTATATATAACATATGTGTCACTTAAGATGACGATACCTCAGTAGTTCAGATTCCTGTACACCAGTGTGTGTGTGTGTGTGTGTGTGTGTGTGTGTGTGTGTGTGTGTGTGTGTGTGTGTGTGTGTGTGTGTGTGTGTGTGCGGGATATAATGGAACCTTTAGACCGGCTCGTTAGGAATTTTAACAACCGATTGGGTTGGAGTTGGGCTTAAGAACCATCATCTTCGAGAGAGTTGTTAATATCAACACTAACTAACAGATTAATCAACGTTGGTCTGTGAGTCTAATTTTCTAACTGCACATGCCTCCAGTGTTTAGGAAAATGTCTGAAATTTTCATCAAACATTTCTTTGACCTTTGATTTGGAAAGATGTCTTGAGGCATACTAGAAGGTCGCCTACTCGTTATCAAGAACCGTGACACATTGACACAGCTCTAGACAGAGATTTGACAGTTGTCAGGTACCTTAAAGGCTTTCCCCAAGCCGGCCAAGACAACAGTCAAAGCTTGGCTTGAGGGGAATGATGTCCATTTTACATGTTTTATCCGAATCATCAAGATATAGCAAATGTGAGTATACTAATTAGGCCATTTGTTTTAAATTACAAAATTGTGGCAGAGAGTCGTAGGGTTTTTGAGTATTAGAAAAAAAGGCACAGTAAAAAAAAATTTGGAAACTACTGCTCTAGAGGCCTATGAAATTATAAAAATGCAAACCACAAGATTAATAAAATTGTTGCAGTGTTACCAGGTATTGGCCCTTCCTACTTACCTCCCGAGAGCACCTCAGCTTATCTCTGTAGATGTATCCAAGTACAGCAGCCACCACCACCACCAGGACCCCGACCGAGACCCCGACGCCGATAGCTACGCCGTCCACCTTGGTACTTATTGTCAGGGAGACGTTCTCACTCTCCCCAGAGTTGGTGACAGTCTGGTGAGGGTGGTGGGGTTAGGTCACGTCCTACACCATGTAAAGCTTAAATTAAAAGCTTATTTCATGACTCTCCTCTTCCACCTCTCTCCCTCTCTCTCTCTCTCTCTCTCTCTCTCTCTCTCTCTCTCTCTCTCTCTCTCTCTCTCTCTCTCTCTCCCTCTCTCTCTCTCCCTCTCTCTCTCTCTCTCTCTGACACATACAGTACATCACGGCTGAATGTATTGATCGTCACAGAGAAATGAAGTTCATGAACAATGATATAGTAAGTAAAAATAAATCCCAGTTGTTTGATAGCAGAGATCCCTAAACATACTTGATACTCTTAAACAAACGTAATGTATTAAGCAAATATATTACCCACATCTACAACAGCATCTGAACAATGAAAAATAAATTTCGTACCAGAAAATTTGCCCAAATAATTTTTGAGTAACTGAAAACATTTGCCATCAGCTCTGCAGCACACGCCTTCAACTTAAGAGTACACACTTTCAGCTATACTGTACACGCCCTCAGCTATACAGTACATACCTTCAGAGAAAAGCTGTATGACTTCTTAGCGTTGAGGCCCGTCACAGTATACTGGTGAGTGTTGGCGGACACATTGACCACTGTAGTGCCGTACGAGAGCTGGTACCCCAGTGCCTGGCACTCCGTGTTGGCGTCACTCCAAGACAAGGTAACCTTCTTCGTTTTAATACTTTCAGCTCTAAAAGATTCTGGAGCTGTGAAGGGAAACATGTGATTAGTATTTACAAAGGGAAGTATTATGGGGAAGAAATAAACCTGTACAGCCCATGGGAGAGATGCAAGGACTGGATAATTGTTAGGCTATGAGGACGGAGTGAAGAAATGGTGCCCAAACACTTGGACCAGTAGGAATCGAACGCTGACCTACAAGAAATGAGGCCGTTGCTGTAACAGCCAGTCCAGGTGTCAGATTTAGGGTTAGGGAATATTTATCATTGGCTCGAACAAGCTGTGTAATTAGTGTAAATATTTATTTATAGTAAATAAATACTAGTGTTGATTTGCATGTAAATATTCTGAATCACTTAGAGGACTTTCCGCCTTCCAAAATGAACCAAGTATGTATTGGCAGTTTAAGAAACCAGTTTATTGCTAATTTGCTCAGCCGTATGTATTGCGGGTCAGAACCGCGTCAAACAATAAAATCAAGTTTTATATATATATATATAAATATATATATATATATATATATATATATATATATATATATATATATATATATATATATATATATATATATATATATATATAATATGAAAAATGAATATTTTATTTTTATCTTTTTAGTCAAGTTCCTCACACACCTTGTTTGCTGTGAGAATTCTTCCCTCTTGTACCTTAATTCTGATCACAAGGTCTCCTACTTTTGTTTTTCTTATTGGGTTATAGAATCGTGTTAATAGTGTTGGTTAGTGCTTTGCTTTCGCTGCAATGCTGTTTGCAAATTGCCTCAACTTTCCTTCTGACTTCTGTGTATGGAAATCCTTCAACTTTCAGTGCATCTATATTGTCCTCTGTTCCTAGTTCTGTAGTTGTTGTTTTTAGGCTTTTGGGGAACTTTCGTTTGTTTCTCTACATTTTCCGTTGAAATATTGGTTTACTTAGATAATTTTGTGCTCTCTTTTGCTGTCATCAAATCCGATATTATCTCCCTATTTGGACTTCATTTACAAAGTCCCTCATCTTCCCCAATGGACCAACTTGATCTTGCCAACTTGTTTTGCTCCATTATGTAATCAAGCAGGATATTTAAGTGGTTGCTAGTCCCTAGGGGCCAGATTGCTAGCCCCTGGGGGTGAGGTTACTAGCCCCTAGGGGCATGATTGCCAGCCCCTTGGAGGGCGTCTCATATTCTATCGTCACAACCTCATGTTCATTTTGGGAAACTTCGGGTCGCTGATGGTCTTCTCTTACTCCTGTTGGTTCGATATAATGTTACTTCAAGAAGTGTTTGTCTGCTGTGTCTACCAGTGTTTGCTTTAACATGTGTACAATTAAATTTGTCCCAAATTATCTTATGGAATGAAGTTTTCAGTTGCATTATACATGATGGGTTTTTTTTTCGAGTCAGAACATAGCACTTTGACCAAACCTAACCTAACCTATCCATACTTAACCTAACCAAATCAGTAATTTCATGTTTCTAATATAATTTATTAATATTGTTAGCAAAGAATCAACTAGGAAAGAAATTAAATTGACGGAAATCGCTCTACCTCTTAGGCATATCACACCTAGTTTACTTGACCAAGTTTTACGGTTCTATCTACTAAGTTCGAGAAATATATATTATTCCTTATAGACAGAATACTACTTGGCCTTGTTAGTAAGGTATTTAAAGACAATTTCAGATTTCCCTGATCACTTGAGGATTTTCTACTACCACTCTTACTTATTTTGTACATTATTAAATTGATAGCATTGTTACAGCTTATAGAATAAATATACTTCTGATATTCACCCCCAATAGCATAGTTATAATTCTCACCATTGGTTTTCGTGCGACTCTTGACGGTATCCAAACACCCTACATTACGGGCATCATTCATCGCCTGGACAGTGACTCTGTAGACCGTACACGGCATGAGACCTTCGATAGTATATATCGTACTGTTTACAACGTCGACAATGTCTGTCCCATTGTTGTCCACCTGAGTCCAGGTGATGGTGTAGAAGCTGGCGTCCGGCACCTCATTCCAATGGGCTGTGATGCTTTCCGTTCCCGCGGACAAACTCAAGTCCAGCAACTCTAAAACATTATTTAGAAAAGGATTTAGTTCTAATAGGAATGTTACAGATAAAGATAATATGTAATTGGGTATTTATTTTAGTTCGGACTTGTTGCAGGTTATGCCTGATATCGTTGACATGTACACCCCAAGTAGGGCAAATGAGGCCAATGACCGTGCGTTTTGCTTTAATCACTGCACGGGTATTGGCCGGCAATTTTTGTTTCGAGGTCACAGTGACTGGCTTTTGTCAACAAAGTTTCTGAGGTCCCTTGGCTTTTTTTGACTGCACTCATCTGTCTACAGATATATTTCAGTGTCTAATCAAAGATTGCTTAATGGTACCAAATATTGTTACTGCTCCACATACTGGCCCCCAAACATTTTTTCGTCTTGCTATTAGCAATTAGACATTAATATAACCCATTATATAATACCATTACTATTTAACCCTATAATTAACACGAATATTCCATATGTGTTCAAGCCAGTCATCTCACCTTTAAGAATTAAAGAACATGTTCTTAGCAGCACCCAAACTTATTCATATAAAATATCTCCATCCTATGCTTAAATCAGGTAATCCTTTCATTATATCAGGTAATCTGTTCCACAAATCACAACCCCGTTTCTGAACTAGTATTTGAACATATCCATTTCACATCATTATTTTTGCTTTAATATACTTTATACATTATCAATATTTCCCTTTTCATATCCATTTATTGCTACATCTTGTGTTATCTAGAATCTGGTTATAGAGGAGCATATCCACCCCCACACATCTACAATTATTTTAGATCTGTAATTGCAGTGTTCAGTCAGATCACTATTTGTGTTGTTACCAAGGCACATGGTAACCATTTTAACCGAGCATAGATATCTTAGCTTACTATTTGTTTCTCATCAAGCCAATACATGCCATATAGATTACATACAGACCGATCAGCCCATTATTCATGTGACATTGAAATCTTCACTTATATAATATGATAACAATAATTAGAATCAAGTATAATTATATAATCTAATATTAACAATGTATTATATACGATCACACTTCCAAATTCACTTATTTTTTTCTATTCAGGGAAATTGCAGAACTTTTTATAATATGCTGCTACAGAGTTGAGCCAAAATAGTTCCCCAAATGACGTACCCATAACTTCACAGGTAGGGATCATATGTCCTCCAACCTTACAGGCTAATTGACTTACCTGGTAAACTGTTCCACAGCAACCCTGGTACCAAACTCAATCATATATGAACACACAATAATTAACTACAGAAGACCTATTGGCCCATGATGCAAGGCAGTTCCGATTTATATCCACCTAAACTCATTCATATATGTCAAAATACATTTGAAATAATTACTTAGGAAATGTATATGTTTATCTCTCAGAATGTTTAGTAATATGTTTATTGTTTGTGATGTGTTTATATGTATGTATTAACACGATATATAACATTAGGGACAATACAGAGTACCGCTGTCTAGAGCGTGTGTCAAAGAATACCCAACGCATAGGTTAGAATCCTCATATAGCTCCAGTTTTTTTTTTTCATTATCAACAATGGTGATTCAAGTTGGGTTGAGTGAAGCAAGATGGATGACTTTTTGTTGTTGTTGTTGTTTTAGATACAGTTAATGGGAACGAAAGTTACAAGTAACAGGGGCTATGGCGAGCCCGAAGTGGACTTGTGATGGATGGGAAAGAAGGATGGATGGGGGGGGGGGGACGCAGGATAGTCGAGATCAATTCGGTAAATCACAGAAAAAATTAATTATATATAATAGATCGTATGATTCACTGTTACTCTCGCTTTCTTCAGTTTTATTATGTATTGATTATAAAAATCTGACCTATAAGTTAAATGAAAATGTTACCTCAAGGATTGCTACCATTAAATCTATCTGTATATCAACGTAAATTGTTAAATTCAGCGATTGATTTATCTAAAACAATTTATCCTGATAAAGATATTTTTAATTTTCTCTTATAGATTTTTATATAAAGATGAGAAGGAAGTGTTATCTTTGAGGTCTTGATATCTGTTTGCCTCTTACTTCGGTAAACTATAATAATCATGTTAAGACCCACACTACTTAGCTGAGTAACAAGGCCCAAAGAAGACCTTGCATCTCCAACACTTGTGGAATATATTCTTCCATGACTCTTACTGATTATATTATTTAATTTACAACATTGTGTTAGAGCTTGCAGAATAAACATAATACTGACATTCATTAATAGCATAGTTATGAGAGCTATGCCAGATAATTCTTACCTTTGATATTCGTGATTCTTGTGTCGGTCTCTGAACACCCAACATTGCCAGTTTCTTTCATAGCCTGGACAGTGACGGAGTAGTTAGTACACGGCTTGAGGCCTTTGATACTGTATTGAGAGTTGCTACTGCCGTTGACAGTGGCCGTCCCACCGTTGTCCTCCGGAGTCCAGGTGATGCTGTAGCTGCTGGCCTCCGGCACCTCGTTCCAACGGGCTGAGATATCCTCCGTCCCCGCCGATAAACTCAACTGCAACAAATCTGAAACGTTGTTTTAGAAAAGGTCTTAGAGCTCTATTACGCATGTTGAGAGGAAAATATTATGGATAATTAAACAATCGTTTGAGTTCTGGATTTTTTAAAGGTTACGAACGAGTACTAACACATCTGTAACTTGAAATAATGTCTCGCCGCTCAGCCAGATTACGTATATCCTTAAATTTCGCTCATGTATTACTTGTTTATGCTATAATGATGGAAATATTACATTGTATACTATAATATATTGTTTTACCGTGGAGTAGTGCATTAATTTGTTATACTGCTGGATACAGATGTATGTAAATTGTGGCCACTTGTGTATATCTTAAATTATCATATTTAAATATTGCATTTTTTTCAGTTTATTTGCATATTATCATTGCATGTTGTGTATTATTTGTCATATTAGGAAATTGTTTTACTGAGTATATTGTGTTGGAAAGGCGGATATATCTATACGTGTGAGTCGGGGTGACACATTCGGTCCGTGTCCACATGAACATTGTGATCTTCAGGTCACTAAAATTGGTTAGTAATAAATGAATGAATAATTAACTGCATTAGGGTGTTCAGCACCAGTGATAAGGTGTAGTAAGATTAATATTGGCCCGTCGTGAAGAGTCTGGAGTGTGTGTGTGTATGGGGTCAGGATAGATGTGGAAGTATTGTGGTGTGGAGGTGCCAGATGGTGTGGAGAGAGTGCAGGGAGAGAAAGTGAGGCACTCGGAGAGGTTGTGTTGATTGATTGGTTAATGAAGATTAAGCCATCCATGAGGTGGCACGGGCATGAATAGCCCGTAATAGCGGAGGTTGTGTTGCTCTGAATGCTACTTTATAATTGATCAGTTTCAGTTATAAGTTGTACATTTCTTTGTTGGGGGCGTTAAGATATCCGGCAGTCATTGGTTCCTATAGTATAATTGTGTAATATTGTGGAGTAATGATACTCTCAGTGAAATAAGTCTGGAGAGTGAAATTCTTTATATAATATTCCTTTGTCAATGGGTTACTGAAGTAATTCATATAGTGTTTATGGCGCGATCTTCCCCATTAACCAGGACCCATTCATTCCACTATTATTCTGATAGCATGTGAAGCTGTATCAGTTCGGTTACAGCCACGACTATCTTGGTTATGTCTTAGATCATCCGTTGCAGTTATTCCTTGTTTAATCTATTTAGTAGTTAGATTATTAGGGTCTGGTCCTGCCAAATGGGTGGTTTATCGAGAGACACCTGGCAGTAACAAGCAATAATCTGGAGCAGATTTCAAAGACTGACGTTCGCACGAGGGTTATCAACACTACCGCAATATTTTTCTGTCAAGGAAAAATGTCTACTTTAGTCTTGAACATTGACTGAAACAAAAGTACACAGCGTGTACATACAGGGAAGAGAGTGCATCTCATTGCGTATATATTCTGTGAGTCATTCGGAAAGAGTACGTAAATGAAATTTTAATTGGTGCTGTTCATGTAACACTTGGATCATATACACAAATAACTATTATTTGTGTGATAAAATTGGCAAAACATAATTGCGAAAATCAGAATATCATATAAATATACATATTTCAAGATGAACAGGAGGACGATTGACGTGACAAAACATCTTATTTAATTAAAATCTTCTTTACTTTTAATTAAAATCCATGTCGTTTCGAATACTTCTCGAATTCACCATAACCAAGATATAGAAATGTCAAATGAGAAGCTAACCAGCCAGAGAAGATATCTATGTATTTAAGAACCCTATTTTTCCAAAGTGATCTGAAAAGGGCAAAGCTTCTTCAAAGCATATATATATATATATATTTTAGATATATATATATATATATATATATATATATATATATATATATATATATATATATATATATATATATATATATATATATATATATATATATAGGGCAAAGCTTCTTCAAAGCATATATATATATATATCTTATATATATATATATATATATATATATATATATATATATATATATGTATGTCAAGTGACATTCAGGTTCCCCTAATTTTAGGATAAATTTGAGTGGGGAAATACTAATGGGGAAGGGATATTTGGAAAACTTGGACTGGCCTCAGTCGGAGTCTCTAAACTTCCCGTGGATTTAGTGGTTCCCAGGTTTTGTAATATATTTCGTCGTGGTTAGGAACATTAATTCGTAAAAATAATTCCAGTCGAAATGAAAGAGATCACAAACACAACGTAAATGCTTTCTTAAGCAAATTAAAGCATGAATAAAACTTTTAAGTCAGGAAATTGCACTTGCTTAATACGTTATTCTTCTGGAGAATTATGAAGTGAACACCATGAACTTCTGAAAACAAACAAAAGATTACCTTCATCCGTCCTGATGCTATCACTGTTGGAACATAAGACATGGCTATCTTGATCCCACGCCTGGACAGTGACGGTGTACCAAGTGCACATCTCAAGGCTTGAAATGGTATAATTGGAGTCGACGTTGCCGGCACAGGCCGCCCCACCGTTGTCCTCAGGGCTCCAGGTGATGATATAGGAAGTGGCGTTCGGGAACGGACTCCAAGACACCCAGATCTCATCCAGGTCCGCTCTCAAACTCAAGTCCAGCGAGCCTGTAACAGCATTTAGTGAGGAATTGTCGAGTTTATACCGGTAAAGGAAAAAAAAAATCAAGTTACTAGATTATTGTTTTGACTTGTAGGAAACTGCAACAAAAACAGCCACAAATGTTTGAGTAGAAAATATTTATATGGAACACAGGGATATATTAAAAAATTTACCAAAGTATACTAGTGGTATTTTAATGTTTTGTGATGTATACATGTGACTGGAAGATGATTCTGGTCTGCCAGTTGTGTGGGAGAGATAGAGAGGATGTGATTGTGACAGGGTTGTGTGTGGGAGAACCCGGTCACAATCACGCTGATAACGAGTACAGAACGCTGTAATGATGGACAAAGTTGTGAGTGACAGACAGGAGGAGATGAGTGATGCGAGTATTTTGATGTTCATAAGATGAAGGATGAGCTGCTAAAGACATTTCAAGAACATCTTCGTTAAGTTAGCCTAGAGTCAGTGCTTATGTGAGTTCATGAACGTTTTGGGATGTACACATGAGTGATTGGATTTTCGTGTATTCTACAGGTGAACATGTGTTTGCGTGTGTGTGTGTGTGTGTGTGTGTGCGTGTGTGTGTGTGTGTGTGTGTACTCACCTAGTTGTGCTTGCGGGGGTTGAGCTCTGGTTCTTGGTCCCGCCTCTCAACCGTCAATCAACTGGTGTACAGATTCCTGAGCCTATTGGGCTCTATCATATCTACACTTGAAACTGTGTATGGAGTCAGCCTCCACCACATCACTTCCTAGTGCATTCCATTTATCAACCACTCTGACACTAAAAAAGTTCTTTCTAATATCTCTGTGGCTCATTTGGGCACTCAGTTTCCACCTGTGTCCCCTTGTGCGTGTGCCCCTTGTGTTAAATAGCCTGTCTTTATCTACCCTATCAATTCCCTTCAGAATCCTGAATGTGGTTATCATGTCCCCCCCTAACTCTTCTGTCTTCCAGCGAAGTGAGGTTTAATTCCCGTAGTATCTCCTCGTAGCTCATACCTCTCAGCTCGGGTACTAGTCTGGTGGCAAACCTTTGAACCTTTTCCAGTTTAGTCTTATCCTTGACTAGATATGGACTCCATGCTGGGGCTGCATACTCCAGGATTGGCCTGACATATGTGGTATACAAAGTTCTGAATGATTCTTTACACAAGTTTCTGAATGCCGTTCGTATGTTGGCTAGCCTGGCATATGCCGTTGATGTTATCCTCTTGATATGTGCTGCAGGAGACAAGTCTGGCGTGATATCAACTCCCAAGTCTTTTTCTTTCTCTGATTCCTGAAGAATTTCCTCTCCCAGATGATACCTTGTATCTGGCCTCCTGCTCCCTACACCTATGTTCATTACATTACATTTGGTTGGTTTAAACTCTAACAACCATTTGTTCGACCTTGTTCGACTTTAGCTTGTCTAGGTCTTCTTGAAGCCTCAAACAGTCCTCTTCTGTTTTAATCCTTGTGTGTGTGTGTGTGTGTGTGTTTGTGTACAAATTCTCAAAAAAATGCTCATATGCTTCCAATTTAATGTCATGACGTCACATCCATCAACACTGCACAATACTTACACATAGTAGCATTCTGGTACTGCCAAACAGCGTAGTTCTCAGACGTTCTGGTCGTCACCCCCACCACGTAGCGTGTGCACGGGGTCAAATCAACGATGGTGTAGTTACTTATCTCAGGCACTTCGTCAGTCTTCGCGTTGATACCGTCACTCCACGATATTTTGTAATACACATCACAGTTGCCGGGTTTCGAAGCCTGGGTCCAACTTGCCAGGAGCACTGTCATGTTATTTACATCATTGACCACTGTCAAGTTCTTGACCGCTAGGGAATCTGGCGGGATATATAACATTAGGGACAATATACAATTACGTTGTTAAGAGCGTGTCAAGGAATACACAAGCGCATAGGTTCGAATCCTCATCACGGCTTCTGTGGATTTTTCTCATTATAGACAATGGTTAATCAAGTTGGGTTGATAGAAGCAAGATGGATGTTTTCTTGTTGTTAAATACCCCTGACTTGCACAGACAAAACAATCTCTCTCAGCTGCTCCAGGAAAAAACATTGCAAGCTGCCACGTTTCTGCTTCCCAGCTGTTTTGTGCCCAGATTGTGGTTATCTTGAGGTTATCTTGAGGTTATCTTGAGATGATTTCGGGGCTTTTTAGTGTCCCCGCGGCCTGGTCCTCGACCAGGCCTCCACCCCCAGGAAGCAGCCCGTGACAGCTGACTAACACCCAGGTACCTATTTTACTGCTAGGTAACAGGGGCATAGGGTGAAAGAAACTCTGCCCATTGTTTCTCGCCGGCGCCTGGGACCGAACCCAGCACCACAGGATCACAAGTCCAGCGTGCTGTCCGCTCGGCCGACCGGCTCCCTCGGTGGTGTTGCAAGTGTACATATGTCGCCAGCCCCAATCTGTTCTCATGGTGTAAACTGATTAACGTAACTTTTATGTGTCTATTTGGCTATTGTGTAACAGCCAAGCCTCGTGTGTCTATTTGGCTATTGTGTAACAGCCAAGCCTCGTGTGTCTATTTGGCTATTGTGTAACAGCCAAGCCTCGTGTGTCTATTTGGCTATTGTGTAACAGCCAAGCCTCGTGTGTCTATTTGGCTATTGTGTAACAGCCAAGCCTCGTGTGTCTATTTGACTATTGTGTAACAGCCAAGCCTCGTGTGTCTATTTGGCTATTGTGTAACAGCCAAGCCTCGTGTGTCTATTTGGCTATTGTGTAACAGCCAAGCCTCGTGTGTCTATTTGGCTATTGTGTAACAGCCAAGCCTCGTGTGTCTATTTGGCTATTGTGTAACAGCCAAGCCTCGTGTGTCTATTTGGCTATTGTGTAACAGCCAAGCCTCGTGTGTCTATTTGGCTATTGTGTAACAGCCAAGCCTCGTGTGTCTATTTGGCTATTGTGTAACAGAAAAGCCTCGTCAGTCAAGTGTTGTTTTATTTCATTCTTTTTATTTTGAAGTAAATTTGTGATATTTATTACGTGGGTTTTACATTAACACTTGAGCACTTCTCACACTACAAAGGTCAAGGCGGCTTTCATTTGATATTTTTAATCTGATATCAAGCTTGAATCTTTTATTAACGAAAGTCCATATGCATTAATTTCTGTTTTTCCGTATAATTAATTATTTAAATATGTGCATTGTCTAGTTTTATGTCTATCAAAGACACGTTTATAAAACTGAATTGTTGACACTAATCTTTCTTTCTCCAGTCGTGAGTAATATATTAAATTCTCTGGAATATAATTCTGTCCCCTGATAATACAGTGTATATATATGTCGATGCTTTCTTAAAAAGGCGATAAACATTGGAATTTGTTCATGTTCTAAACATAAATAATCTAACTCTCTCAAGCGAACACTGGCAATTATTCAAAATCATTTTAATATATCAAAAATGATATCATCATATACCTTGCAACTTTCAACGTAATATATCCTCCAAAAATTATTTAAAAAACTTGACAAATTGCACCAAATTATTTCTGCATTTTGGAAAAAATAAGGAAAAAATGCAATAAATCTACCTTTTGCTTTCGTGGTTGCATTTGCATTTTCAGAATCACCGGCGTCGGTCTCATTAATGGCCTGGACAGTGACGGTGTAGTCAGTACACGCCTTGAGGCCTTTGATACTGTATTGAGTGTTGCTACTGCCGTTGACAGTGGCCGTCCCACCGTTGTCCTCCGGAGTCCAGGTGATGCTGTAGCTGCTGGCCTCCGGCACCTCGTTCCAACGGGCTGAGATGTCCTCCGTCCCCGCCGACAAACTCAAGTTCAGAGAAACTAGAACAATATTAAAAGCTTTAAATCTAACTGGAATGTTGAAGAAATTAGAAAAGAGAGAGAACTAGATTTGTTAATTTTTTTAAACTAGGAAGATTTTCATGTATAAATATTTAAAATGCAATTATCTTGTAGGGACTATCTATTTTTATAAAATAAATCGTCTGTCTGTCCTCTTGTCTACCCAAGGTTGTAGGTCAAATGTTTGGGGCTTGGTTCACCCCATTTTATCCAGTAATGACTGTTAGGTACGAGCCCAACATGACCGGGTAGGGTTTAATGTAAAAGGAAAACAGTGCCAAGTTACAGTGTGCCAAAGTCACGTTCACGAGCATTCAGCATTACTATATAACGTGACTGAATCACTATTTTTAAATTATATCCTGGATTATTCCTAATATCTCTAACTCTCTATCATCAGCTCTCCATATCGTACCTGTTTCTTCGCTACCAATATAAGGCAACTTATAACACTTTACCAGTTGATATCTCCAGTTACCCTTATATTCGTCATCCTGGAAAGCAAGAATTAAGTGTTATAGTGAAAATTAGTTATATTGCCTCAAAATGTGTAATTTTTTAACTAATTAATATTATTTAAAAAAATTCGTATTGCAAATATCTACGACATTATAGTAATAACACATTATGTGTTGTATTTGTTTATGGCCGAGGGGCCTGGTTATGGGTAGGAATGGGGGGAGGAGGAGGAGGGAGAAAGGGGGTATAAATAGAGGAAGTAGGGAAATGGAAAATGAATATCATGTGGGAGACGGGGAAGCCAAGAGGATGAGAACTGCCGTTGTTAGTTTGTGTATGTTAGTAATACAGAAGTATGGGGGCTTGTGCAGGTAGGTTAGTACAAGAGAGGAGGTTATTTACATATATGTTCAACAGTACTCGGGTGTGGTAGGAGCCCTGTGGTACGTATAGGGTAAAAATGATAGATAATTTTTTTGGACAAAATTATTGTAAAGTATTATTATAGAAAAAATAAATTATTATTTGTAAAGAAAAATTATTTCAATTCGTCGTCTGCTGGGCACTGGTCAGTTTTATGCTGGGATATTGTTAACGTATGGCCATCGGCCATCGTGCATGAGACTAGTGAAGTCTATGTGTACATTCCCTGATGACTACACGAGCAATTTGGTTGTGTGGGATATTGTAGTAGAGGCGATATGACATTTTCTCTCAGACTATTAGCTTGTCTTTTTCCAAACCAAGACCGGAACTGAAATTCCAGATTAGTTCCTGTATTTCTTGGGTTTCGACAAAGAAAAATCCACAGGGCTTAGAGAAAGAGGCCAAAAGGTAGAGTGAGGCTGAGACGCAGAGAGGGACCAGAAACATCAGAATGTCAAGAAGCAGATAGGGTCTACAAATCAAAGGGGTCGAGGGTCAGACAATAGTTTGAGAGGCAGTGATTTGATGAGAGGTTGATATGTGGCTCCAGCTAAAGACTGAGGATGGAAACTGGAACTACAGACTGGAAGGAAGAAAATTTAAAGAAGAGAGGAAAGGTAATTTGCAACAGTGCAAAGGAATAGAGGTAAGGCTGAAGGAGTTGTGGAGGATAGGAATCGAGAGAGGTGGAAGTATAGAAGAGATTTTGGGATCGAGAGAGAACAGGAAAAGATGAATGGGGAAATAGAAGATGGTGGAAGACTTAGATGAGGGGGTAGAGGTAGTGAAAGTCAAAGATATTGGGACGGGAAAACAGGAAGAAGTATGAAGTTGTAGGGAGGGGTAATGAGATGAGAGAAAAGAGGTAAAGAAGAGAGAGAGAGAGAGAGAGAGAGAGAGAGAGAGAGAGAGAGAGAGAGAGAGAGAGAGAGAGAGAGAGAGAGAGAGAGAGAGAGAGAGAGAGAGAGGTGAATAAGGTTAAAGGGAGAAAAAGTATTGGAGAGGTGGAGAAAGATTGTGAGGTAGTAAGATGAGAAGGATCGTAATCAGTGTTCAGTTTTCCTTATCTACGCGCTAATCTCCTCCTCCTCCTTCAAACATCTTTCTCAGTTCTGCTGTTCAAGGGATCGTAAGAGCACTTTGTATTAGTCACAGCTATATTTTAACTTTCACTAATTCTGAACATACACACTGATGCATTTACAATGAAAAATAGAACAAATATTCGTGTTCACTGTTATTTTAGTTATATATTATAACCTGTTCGTTCTTGTTATATCGATAGTTCAGCATCCAAAATGTTCTATATTCATCTTATTTCTAAACTCTCCAATTGTAATTAATCCTACTGTTATAGATTATAATTCTCTTAAACCACGAGTTATCATCGTCTGCTTCCTCTATAATTCCTTGTTAGAATGGTTCACAAAACTCAGTGAGTTAAATAGCTACATTATCAGTCCAGTACCTGAGGCTGTAGTTGAGCTGTAGTTAACGTCAACGGCCCCACAACCAGCAGCATCACTGACAACCACTTTCTTGCACTCATCTTGGCCGGATGATGATTGTCTGTTGGCAGCCACTCGCACTCAGCTAGGTGGCTGACGGCAAATGTGTCTCCTGGTGGGCAATACACTAAGCTAGGTGGCTGACGGCAAATGTGTCTCCTGGTGGGCAATACACTAAGCTTGGTGGCTGACATCAAGCGTTTCGCCAGATAGCAAATCACACTATCAGGAAATCTACTCTGCGTGCCTTTGGCCCAACTTGTCTTGGCTACTTCATTACCGATATCGCCGCTGCAGTTATCTGATAAAACATTGCATTATTGTGCCATCATAACTAAATCATTTATTCGCCATGAATGTTATAAATTTTATTGTACCCAGATTACCCCACGGGGCTCCCCTCACCAAACGAGGGGGAGTATGATGATTATACCCCAGCATCATACCCTCAGGAGCATAGCACGGGCACAGAACACATTAACTGCAGGTGGTTAGTGGGGACACTACCTTATCAGGATGCAGATGATAAGTCACAATAACGTGGCTGAAGATTGTTGACCAAACCACACACTAGAAATTGAAGAGTCGACGACGTTTCGGTCCGTCCTGGACCATTATCAAGTCGATAGCTAGAAAATACCTTACCTGGCCAAGCCGTGAGTCAAGTCCTCAATTCATTCCACGAAACATTGCTTACTGTCGTCTTGAGAATAATACAAATGCTCTCAACATAAAAAGTGATTGCTTTATGCTAAAAAAATTGATTAACGATACAAAATTAATAATTTTACAGATGTGTGAGAGAGAGAGAGAGAGAGAGAGAGAGAGAGAGAGAGAGAGAGAGAGAGAGAGAGAGAGAGAGAGAGAGAGAGAGAGAGAGAGAGAGAGAATTTTAACGAACGAGTGGCTGATGTCTGGAAACTCAGGTCGTTGTCTGAAACGTTCCACAACAGCCTCGACTTCTCGCTATTTTTACATTCTCTTTCTGAGACGTGTCCTAATTACAACCCATTTCTGGCCCCTTACGAAGAGTTACAGCCTGACTTTCACCATTAATTTTTACACCGAGAACTCTTTATACACTTTAAACACTACACGAATTATTGGACTATTTTATTATCACTTCATTATTCACTCGATATTATTTGACTCCTTGTCTAGTTTTATTCCGTTTTACAAGATATTTTGCTCTAGTCAAAGTATGATGGAAATATAATGAAAGTACATTCATTTAATAAAGATTGAATGTGATTGATCGTTCTATAGAGTTGATTGGCAAGTGCCAGTCAACATAATAACCCATTAATATTTTCAGGGTAGGTTAGATTGCGAAGCCCAAATTGAAGGTGACTCAGGTGGGTGCTCTCAAGAATATGACTGAAGTTCATGCCCTAAAGAATATGACTGAAGTTCATGCCCTCAAGAATATGACCTATGTTCGTGTCATCAAGAATGTGTAAAGAACGTTAATCCCATAAACAACGGTAAAACATTTGGTGAAACATGGAAGGAACAATGTTTGCTGACTGATGACTATTCTTTAAAAAAAAAAGTGACTTCAGAGCAACATTCTTAGTATGATAATACACGTATGTCAAAAAAATACACAAAACAGCTACACAAGTATTTATAAAAACTTATTATTTCCCAATTACATCCCTATTAAACGACTATGTATGAAGTATAAGTTAAAAGAACATGTAAACTATCGAATTAGCTACGTTTAAAGTGCCTAAAGAGAAGTGAAGAAACTAAACATGTCAGGGGTAAAACTTACAATGATTTCATTTTTGAACGAAAAGGTATATGTGACCTCGGAGTGACTCGAACACCCAGCCTTCTGATCTGGAGTCAGACGCGCTACCATTGCGCCACGAGGCCGCACATGATAGTGAAGATTCACTATCACTTTGCATACGATCAAAGTTCTGTTTCATTTTGGAGATTAAGTAGTAGTCTATCGCTCAATTTTGTTTACAAAAAACAAAATAGTAGCACAGTTTTAACGCCTTTATATCACGAACTGTAACCAATGTTATCCTGGGCCGCCTGATATGTTATCAAGATGTTAATATCACTTATAGTGAAGGTTGAAGAATGTTGTACACGACTGTTGATTCGTAACTGTAATAAAAGTGAACCTTCACCATCACGGTCTCACGATACACTCTGGGACTGTGTAACTATAGTGAACCTTCACCATGACGGCTTCGTGACACACTCAGGGACTGTGTAACTATAGTGAACCTTCACCATCACGGCTTCGTGACACACTCAGGGACTGTGTAACTATAGTGAACCTTCACCATCACGGCTTCGTGACACACTCAGGGACTGTGTAACTATAGTGAACCTTCACCATCACGGCTTCGTGACACACTCAGGGACTGTGTAACTATAGTGAACCTTCACCATCACGGCTTCGTGACACACTCAGGGACTGTGTAACTATAGTGAACCTTCACCATCACGGCTTCGTGACACACTCAGGGACTGTGTAACTATAGTGAACCTTCACTATCACGGCCTCGTGGCGCAATGGTAGCGCGTCTGACTCCAGATCAGAAGGCTGGGTGTTCGAGTCACTCCGAGGTCATGAATGTTTTCACTAGATTTGAACATTTCTTTGATGTTTATCACTTTAAACACTCGCTTGTTTTGGAGAGTAGATTGACGTAGAAGCCGTTTTGGTATATTATTTATGTGTATTACAATTTCATGATTCAATTGGTTAAAAATAGAAACTAAATAATACGGTTTTTCAATTACTTTTTTTTCGGAAATTTGATGCGATATACATCTATATGTATTAAATTTAATGTGTTTGCCGGTTACCTTGAGGTTGGATGCCTGATGCTTGGGGCTAGTCCCACACATGAAGCATCTGGGTATATGGGAGTGTCTCAGGACACTCGGGGTAGAGCTCCAGTTCCCCACTTGTAGAAACACCAGCATCTAATTTCTCCTTCAACGTCCTCCCATGCTATATTACCATGGTCAAGTCTGAAAAATAGGTTGTGATTTCCGTAGACTAATTTGGCTTTAGTAGCCAATTTTTTTTAGCCATTGCGCCACGAGGCCGTGATGGTGAGGGTTCACTATAGTTACACAGTGCCTGAGTGTGTCACGAAGCCATGATGGTGAAGGTTCACTATACTTACACAGTGCCTGAGTGTGTCACGAAGCCATGATGGTGAAGGTTCACTATAGTTACACAGTCCCTGAGTGTGTCACGAAGCCATGATGGTGAGGGTTCACTATAGTTACACAGTGCCTGAGTGTGTCACGAAGCCATGATGGTGAAGGTTCAATATAGTTACACAGTGCCTGAGTGTGTCACGAAGCCATGATGGTGAAGGTTCACATTTATTACAGTTACGAATCAACAGTCGTGTACAACATTCTTCAACCTTCACTATAAGTGATATTAACATCTTGATAACATATTAGGCGGCCCAGAGTAACATTGGTTACTGTTCGGGATATCCAGGCGTTATAATTGTACTATTATATTGGTTTTTGTAAACAAAATTGAGTGATAAACTACTACTTGATCCCCCAAAGTGAAACAGAACTTTGCTCGTATGCAAAGTGATAGTGAACCTTCACTATCACGTGCGGCCTCGTGGCGCAATGGTAGCGCGTCTGACTCCAGATCAGAAGGCTGGGTGTTCGAGTCACTCCGAGGTCACGTGTATCTTTTCGTAAAAAAATAAAAACATTGTAAAACCCCTGACATGTTTAGAGTGTTTTAGCAATTTCTTCAGTTATATTTAGGCACTTTAAACGAAGCTAATTCGATAGTTTACATGTTCTTTTAACTTATACTTCATACATAGTCGTTTAATGGGGATGTAATTGGTAAATAATAAGTTTTTACAAATATTTGTGTAGCTGTTTTGTGTATTTTTGTTTTTGACATACGTGTAATATCATACTAAGAACGCTGCTCTGAAGTCACTCTTTTTTTAAAGAATAGTCATCAGTCAGCAAACATTGTTCCTTCCATGTTTCACCAAATGTTTTACCGTTGTTTATGGGATTAACGTTCTTTACACATTCTTGATGACACGAACTTCAGTCATATTCTTGATGAACCTCAGTCATATTCTTGATGAACCTCAGTCATATTCTTGATGAACCTCAGTCATATTCTTGATGAACCTCAGTCATATTCTTGAGAGCACCCACCTGAGTCACCTTCAATTTGGGCTTCGCAATCTAACATACTCTTAAAATATTAATGAGTTATTATGTTGATTGTCACCTGACAATCAACTCTAGGCTCAGCAACCTGTACATTAGTTGATTGATCATTGAGAAGCGGGACCAAAGAGCCAGAACTCAACCCCCGCAAGCACAACTAGGTAAGTAAAAAGTACAACTATAGAACGATCAATCAACATTCAATCTTTATTAAATGAATGTACTTTCATTATATTTCCATCTTACTTTGACTAAAGCAAAATATAATGTAAAACGGGAACACTACAACACAACGAGTCAAATAATATTGAGTGAATAATGAAGTGATAATAAAAAAGTCCAATAATTCGTGTGAAGTTTAAAGTGCATAAAGAGTTCTCAGTGTTAAAAATTGATGGTGAAAGCCAGGAGGTGACTCTTCGTAAGGGTCTTTCTTTCACCCTATGCCCCTGTTACCTAGCAGTAAAATAGGTACCTGGGTGTTAGTCAGCTGTCACGGGCTGCTTCCTGGGGGTGGAGGCCTGGTCGAGGACCGGACCGCGGGGACACTAGAGCCCCGAAATCATCTCAAGATAACCTCAAGATAAGGGGCCTGAAAAGGGTTGTAATTAGGACACGTCTCAGAAAGAGAATATAAAAATAGCGAGAAGTCGAGACTGTTGTGGAACGTTTCAGACAAATACCTGAGTTTCTAGACATGAGCCACTCGTTCGTTAAAACTCTCTCTCTCTCTCTCTCTCTCTCTCTCTCTCTCTCTCTCTCTCTCTCTCTCTCTCTCTCTCTCTCTCTCTCTCTCTCTCTCTCTCTCTCTCTCTCACACACACACATCTATTATAGCCAAATAGTTTTTGTGTGAGACTACATTTCAAATTGTCCCTAACATATATGGCTACTGCCCCTCCTCGTCTAATATATCTGTGTTAAATAGTTTAAATCCATTTATTTGATCTTACTCTCATCTGCAAAATTACTAATTTTGTACAGTTTATCTTAACGTTTTGAGCATAAAGCATTCATTTTTTTTATGTTGAAAGGATTTACAGAATCATCTTGACGACAGTAAGCAATGTTTCGTGGAATTAAGGACATGACTCTCGTCGCAGCCAGATAAGGTAGTTGCCCTACTAACCACCTGCAGTTAATGTGTTCTGAACCCGTACTGCGCTGTTGAGGGTATGATGCTGGGTATAATAGTGCCCCTCTCGTATGGTCAGGGGAGCCCCTGAGGTAGTCTGGATACAATAAAATGCATAACATTCATGGCAAATAAATGATTTAGCTGTGAGGGCGCCAGTAAGGCAATGTTTTATCAGATAACTGCAGCGGCGATATCGGTAATCAGGTCGTCAATAAATGTCGGGCCAAGGCACGCAGCTTCGGTTTCCTGTTAGAGTGATTGGCTATCTGGCGACACACTTGCAGTCAGGCGCCCAGCTTAGTGTATTGCCAACCAGGAGACACATTTGCCGTCAGCCACCTAGCTTAGTGCGAGTGGCTGCCAGTAGACAATCATCATCCGGCCAAGATGAGTGCAAGAAAGTGGTTGTCAGTGATGCTGCTGGTTGTGGGGCCGTTGACGTTAACTACAGCTCAACTACAGCCTCAGGTACTGGACTGATAATGTAGCTATTTAACTCACTGAGTTTTGTGATCCATTCTAACAAGGAATTATAGAGGAAGCAGATGTTAATAACTCGTGGTTTAAGAGAAATATAATCTATAGCAATCGAATTTATTACAATTGGAGAGTTTAGAAATAAGATGAATAATGAACATTTTGGATGCTGAACTATCGATATAACAAGAACGAACAGGGTAATAACATATAACTAAAAATAACAGTGACACAAATATTTGTTCAATTCTTCATTGTAAATGCATCAGTGTGTATGTACAGCATTAGTGAAAGTTATAATAAAGCTGTGACTTGTACAAAATGCTCTTGTGAACCCTTGAACAGCAGATCTGGGAGAGACGTCACTGAGACGTCACAGACGTTTGAAGGAGGAGGAGGAGGTGCAAGATAAGCAAAAACTGAACACTGATTACGACCTTTCTCCTCTAACTGCCTCACAATTTTTCTCCACCTCTCCAATTCTTTTTCTCCCTTTACCATATCCATTCACATCTCTCTCTCTCTCTCTCTCTCTCTCTCTCTCTCTCTCTCTCTCTCTCTCTCTCTCTCTCCCTTCTCTACCTCCTTTTCTCTCATCTCATTACCCCCTCCCTACAACTTCATACCCTCCTACCCCTTCCCCCGTCTCAACATCTTAGACCTTCCCTACCTCTACATCCTCATCTAGGTCTTCTACCATCTTTTATTTCCCAACTCTTCTTATAATGTTCTCTCTCTCTCGATCCCAAAATCTCCTCTATAGTTCTACTTTTCTTGATTCCTATCCTACACAATCCCTCCAACCTTACCTCTCTACTCCATTGCACTATTACAAACTACCTTTCCTCTCCCCTTCAAATTTTTCTCCTTCCTCTACCTCAGTCCGCCCTGTGGATTTTTCTTTGTCGAAACCCAAGAAATACAGGAACTAATCTGGAATCTCAGTTCCAGTGTTAGGGAAAAAGACAAGCAAATAGTCTGATAGAAAATATCATATCGCCTCTACTACAATATCCCACACAACCAAATTGCTCGTGTAGTCATCAGGGAATGTACACATAGACCTCACTAGTATCATGCACGATGGCCTAATCCATAAGTTAACAATATTTAAGGATAAAACTGGCTGCTGCCAAGCTGCCGAGGAACTAACTGAAATTCAGGTCATCAAAATAATTTTGTCCAAAGTATTATCTATCATTTTTACCCTATAAGTAAAGTAGGAGCCACAGGGCTCCTACCACACCCGAGTACTGTTGAACATATATGTAAATAACCTCCTCTCTTGTACTAACCTACCTGCACAAGCCCCCATACTTCAGTATTACTAACATACACAAACTAACAACGGCAGTTCTCATCCTCTTGTCTTCCCCGCCTCCCACATGATATTTATTTTCCATTTCCCAAATTCCACTATTTCTAACCCCCCCCCCCTTTCCACGTCCTCCCCCCATCCCTACACACACCCCCCCCCTTTCCACCTCCTCCCCCCATCCCTACACACACCCCTCGGTCATAAACAAATACCAACAAATAATGTGTTATTACTGTAATGTCGTAGGTATTTGCAATACAATTTTTTCGAAATAATATTAATTAAACAAAATTGCACATTTTAAGGCACTCTAATTTTCACTTTAACACTTAATTTTTGTTTTCCAGGATGACGAATATGAAGGTAACTGGAGATATCAACTGGTAAAGTGTTATAAGTTGCCTTATATTCGTAGTGAAGAAACAGGAACGATATGGAGAGCTGATGATAGAGAGATAGAGATATTAGGAATAATGTAGGATATAATTAGAAAATAGTGATTCAATCACGTTATATAGTAATGCTGAATGCTCGTGAACGTGACTTTGGCACACTGTAACTTGGCACTATTTTCCTCTGACAATAATCTCTACCCGTCCATGTTGGGCTCGTACCTAAGAGTCATTACTGGATAAAATACAGTGAAGTAAGCCCCAAGCCTTTGACCTATAACCTAGGGTAGACAGAAGGACAGACAGACGATTCCCTTTCATAAAAATAGATGGTCCCTACAAGACAATTGTATAATAAATATTGATACATGAAAATCCTCCTAAAAAACTTAACAAATCTAGTTTTCCCTTTCCAAATTTTCTTCAACATACCAGTTAGATTTAAAACTTTTAATATTGTTCTAGTTTCTCTGGACTTGAGTTTGTCGGCGGGGACGGAGGACATCTCAGCCCGTTGGAACGAGGTGCCGGAGGCCAGCAGCTACAGCATCACCTGGACTCCGGAGGACAACGGTGGGACGGCCACTGTCAACGGAAGTAGCAACACTCAATACAGTATCAAAGGCCTCAAGGCGTGTACTGACTACACCGTCACTGTCCAGGCCATTAATGAGACCGACGCCGGTGATTCTGAAAATGCAAATGCAACCACGAAAGCAAAAGGTAGATTTATTGCATTTTTTCCTTTTTTTCCAAAATGCAGAAATAATTTCATGCAATTTATCAAGTTTTTGTAATAAATGTCGGAGGATATGTTACGTTGAAAGTTGCAAGGTATATGATGATATCATTTTCGATATATTAAAATGATTTTGTATAATTGTCAGTGTTCGCTTGAGAGTTAGATTATTTATATTAAGAACATGAACAAATTCTAATGTTTATCATCATATGAGGAAATATCGACATATTTATACACTGTGTTATCAGGGCAGAGAATTATATTCAATAGTAAATTCCAGAGAATTTAGTATATTACTCTTGACAGGAGAACGAAAGATTAGTGTCAACAATTCAGTTTTATAAACGTGCCTTCGATAGACATAAAAATAGACAAAGCACATATTTAAATAATTAATCATATGGAACCCCCCAAAATTAATAAATAGAGTCTTTCGTTAATAAGAAAATCAAACTTGGTTTTCACAAAGTTCTTGTTACCCAGACTTTCAACCAAATCTACTTTATTGTTATAAATGATATAGATATTTATCCTACAACCAAGTTTTGCATTTATTCTATAGCCGTTTCGAGAGTTTACGTCTAAATCATATTTATAACTGCTATTTAGACACCTTCTGATTGACATATATTTTCCCTCTTTACGGCTAAATAATGTTATAATTCCTGAAAGTTCAATTGTGTTTAGAGAGTTTATTGTGTGTTGTGTTATTATGTTCCTCAGCATCATAATATTTTGTGGAGAAGCTGTATGATGACGAACCTTGTAGTACTTAGATGTTGAGACGTGATACGTCACTCAGTAATATACTGGGCACAAATGGTCATACCGGGACGATGTTATACCTCACGCTCATGAAAAATATTAAAAAAGCCTTGGTCTTTGAAGTGTGAGAAGTGCTCAAATATAAAGTTAAACCCAGTTAAAATATAGTAAATTTACTTCAAAATAAAAAGAAAGAAATAAAACAACACTTGACTGACGAGGCTTGGCTGTTACACAATAGCCAAATAGACACATAAAAGTTAGGTTAATCAGTTTACACCATGAGAACAGCTTGGGGCTGGCGACATATGTACACTTGCAACACCACCGAGGGAGCCGGTCGGCCGAGCGGACAGCACGCTGGACTTGTGATCCTGTGGTCCTGGGTTCGATCCCAGGCGCCGGCGAGAAACAATGGGCAGTTTCTTTCACCCTATGCCCCTGTTACCTAGCAGTAAAATAGGTACCTGGGTGTTAGTCAGCTGTCACGGGCTGCTTCCTGGGGGTGGAGGCCTGGTCGAGGACCGGGCCGCGGGGACACTAAAAAGCCCCGAAATCATCTCAAGATAACCTCAAGATAACCTCAAGATAACCACAATCTGGGCACAAAAGACTGGGAAGCAGAAACGTGGCAGCTTGCAATGTTTTTTCCTGGAGCAGCTGAGAGAGCTTGTTTTGTCTGTGCAAGTCAGGGGTATTTAACAACAAGAAAACATCCATCTTGCTTCTATCAACCCAACTTGATTAACCATTGTCTATAATGAGAATAATCCACAGGAGCCGTGATAAGAATTCGAACCTATGCGCTTGTGTATTCCGTGACACGCTCTAAACAACGTAATTGTATATTGTCCCTAATGTTATATATCCCGCCAGATTCCTTAGCGGTCAAGAACTTGACAGTGGTCAATGACAAAAATGACATGACAGTGCTCCTGGCAAGTTGGACCCAGCCTTCGAAACCCGGCAACTGTGATGTGTATTACAAAATATCGTGGAATGACAGTATCAACGCCATGACTGACGAAGTGCCTGAGATAAGTAACTACACCATCGTTGGTTTGACCCCGTGCACACGCTACGTGGTGGGGGTGACGACCAGAACGTCTGAGAACTACGCTGTTTGGCAGTACCAGAATGCTACTACAGGTAAGTACTGTGCAGTGTTGATACATGTGACGTCATGACATTAAAATGAAAGCATATGTTCCAGTGTTCTTTGAGAATTTGTTCACACACACACACACACAGTTAGTGTGTGTGTGTGTGTGTGTGTGTGTGTGTGTGTGTGTGTGTGTGTGTGTGTGTGTGTGTGTGTGTGTGTGTGTGTGTGTGTGTGTGTGTGTAGAAAAAAAATCAGTTAATAGTTAGTAACAGTTGATTGACAGTTGAGAGTTTGTCCGAAAGAGCAGAGCTAAACCCCCCGCAAGCAAACGCAGGTTAATACACACACACACACACATCCAATTACACATGTGTACACTCCTAAACGTACATGAATTCACATAAACACAGACACTCGCCTGACTTAATTAAACGAACTTGCTCTTCAAATGTCTTTGGCAGATCACCCCTCATCTCATGAACATCTCAATATTCGCGTCACCCTCTTCCAACTGTCTGTCACTCACCTCTTTGCCTACTCATCATCACACCGTCTCTACCTCTCCCACACAACTTTCAGACCAGAAGCATCTTCCTGTCGCATATATACACCACAAAATATTAAAATACCACTAGCACACTATGGTAATTATTTTATAACCCTGAGTTTCATATAAATATATTTTTTATACAAATACTTTCTACTCAAACATCTGTGGTTGTTTTTGTTCCAGCTTCTTACAGGCCAAAACAATAATCTAGTAACTTGATTTTTTTCCTTTACCGGTATAAACTCGACGATTCCTCACTAAATGCTGTTACAGGCTCGCTGGACTTGGGTTTGAGAGCGGACATGGACGAGATCTCGGTGTCTTGGAGTGCGTTGTCGGACGCCACTACCTACAACATCAACTGGAGCCCTGAGGACAACGGTGGGGCGGGCTCTGCCGGCAGCGACGAAACCAATTATAACATTTCAAGCCTTGAGAAGTGTACTTGGTACACCGTCACTGTCCAGGCGATGGATGAAAATAACCAGGTCTTATGTTCCAACAATGACAGCATCAGGACGGATAAAGGTAATTTTTTGTTTGTTTACAGAAGTTCATGGTGTTCGCTTCATAATTCTCCAGAAGAATAACGAATTAAACAAGTGCAATAACCTGAAGTGAAAGTTTTATTAACGCTTTAATTTGCTTAAGAAAGCATTTACGTTGTGTATGTGATCTCATTCATTTTGGCAGGAATTTGTTATAAATAAATGTTCCTTTCCACGATATTACAAAACCTGGGAAACCACTAAATCCACGGGAAGTCTAGAAGCTCCGATTGAGGCCAGTCCAAATTTTCCTTATAAGTCCTTCCCATGTACTGGCGGGTATTATTTCCCCACTCAAATTTCTCCTAAAATTAAGGGAACTTGAATGTCACATGATACATATAAATATACTCTTATAAGGAATTTCTAAAACAAGAAGGTTTGACCTTTTCAGATTACTTCGGGAAAAAGGGTTCTTAAATACATAGCTTCCTTATCTGGCTGGTTAGCTTCTCATTCGACATTTCTATATTTTTTTTTGGTGAATTCGACATGTATTTGTAACGACATGGATTTTATTTAAAAGTAAAAAAGATTTTAATTAAAGATGTTTTGACATGTCAATCGTCCTCCTCTCTATCTTGAAATATGTGTATGTATATATATATATATATATATATATATATATATATATATATATGAGTTTTCATTCGCATATAGTCCTGGGGACCATTCAGGCTTGTTCGCATATATATATATATATATATATATATATATATATATATATATATATATATATATATATATATATATATATATATATATATAATATATATATATGATATTCTGATTTTCAAAATTATGTTTTGCCAATTTTATCATGCAAATAATAGTTATTTGTGTATATGATCCAAGTGTTACATGTTACAATTAAAGCACCAATTAAAAGTGTTACTTTTACAAGCACCAATGCACTAATTAGTGTTAAAAGCACCAATTAAAATTTCATATATGTACTCTTTCCGAATGACTCAAAGAATATATACGCAATGAGATGCACTCTCTTCCCTGTATGTACACGCTGTGTACTTTTGTTCCAATCAATGTTTAAGACTAAAGTAGACTTTTTTGGTTGAAAGTGAAATATTGCGGTGGCGTTGATAACTTTCATGTGAACAACAGTCCTCGAGATCTGTTCCAGATTATTGCTTGTTAGTGCCAGGTGTGTCTCGATAAACCACACATTTGGCAGGACCAGACCCTAATAATCTAACTACTAAATAGATTAAATGGGGGAATAACTGCAACGTATGAACTAAGACATAACCAAAATAGTCGTGGTTGTAACCGAACTGATACAGTTTAACAATCAGAACAATAGTGAAATGAATGGGCCCAGGTTAATGGGAAGATTGCGCCGTAAACACCAAATGAATTACTTCAGTAACCCATTGACAAAGGAATATTATCTAAAGAATTTCACTCTCCAGACTTGTTTCACTGAGAGTATCATTACTCCACAATATTACACAATTACACTATAGGAACCAATGACTGCCGGATATCTTAACGCCCCCAACAAAGAAATGTACAACTTATAACTGAAACTGATCAATTATAAAGCAGCATTCAGAGCAACACAACCTCCACTATTACGGGCTATTCATGCCCGTGCCACCTCTTGGATGGCTTAATCTTCATTAACCAATCAATCAACACAACCTCTCCGAGTGCCTTACTTTCTCTCCCTGCACTCTCTCCACACCATCTGGCGCCTCCACACCACAATACTTCCACATCTATCCTGACCCCATACACACACACACTCCAGACTCTTCACGACGGGCCAATATTAATCTTACTACACCTTATCACTGATGCTGAACACCCTAATACAGTTAATTATTCATTCATTTATTACTAATCAATTTTAGTGAACTGAAGATCACAATGTTCAGGTGAACACGGACCGAATGTGTCACCCCGACTCACACGTATAGATATATCCGCCTTTCCAACACAATATACTCAGTAAAACAATTTCCTAATATGACAAATAATACACAACGTGCAATGATAATATGCAAATAAACTGAAAAAATGCAATATTTAAATATGATAATTTAAGATATACACACAATTTACATACATCTGTATCCAGCAGTATAACAAATGAATGCACTACTCCACGGTAAAACAATATATTATAGTGTACAATGTAATATTTCCATCATTATAGCATAAACAAGTAATACATGAGCGAAATTTAAGGATATACGTAATCTGGCTGAGCAGCGAGACATTATTTCAAGTTACAGATGTGTTAGTACTCGTTCGTAACCTTTAAAAAATCCAGAACTCAAACGATTGTTTAATTATCCATAATATTTTCCTCTCAACATGCGTAATAGAGCTCTAAGACCTTTTCTAAACAACGTTTCAGATTTGTTGCAGTTGAGTTTGTCGGCGGGGACGGAGGATATCTCAGCCCGTTGGAACGAGGTGCCGGAGGCCAGCAGCTACAGCATCACCTGGACTCCGGAGGACAACGGTGGGACGGCCACTGTCGACGGAAGTAGCAACTCTCAATACAGTATCAAAGGCCTCAAGGCGTGTACTGACTACTCCGTCACTGTCCAGGCCATTAATGAGACCGGTAATGTTGGGTGTTCGGAGACCAGCTCAAGAATCACGAAAGCCAAAGGTATGATTGCATTAGTTATATATAATCATTCGCTTTATTTTCTAATCATATCGCATAATTATGCTATTAATGAATGTCGGTTGTATATGTATGTTGCAAGCTGTAACACAATGTTATCAATTAAATAAAAAAATTAACAAGTATGAGTGATAAAAAAATATATTCAACAAGTGTTGGAGGTGAATCCAACACTTGTTGAATAAAGTGTTGGTGAATCCATGGTGAATCCATGAATCCTTTACATGGTGAATCCATGCAAAGATCTTTTTTGAGTGGCTTATTGCCCGGTTAGTTTGGGTCTGGACCTGATTATCATAGATTTCCTTAGTAAGAGGCAAACAGAAATCAAGTCCCGAAATATTTGGGACTTGATTTCCAAGATAAACTCTCATCTTTAGATAAAAATTCTACCAGAAAAAAATTCAAATAACTTTATCAGGATAAATTGTTTTAGATAAATCATTGCCTAAATTTAACAATTTACGTTGATAAACAAAGATTTAATGGTAGCAATCCTTTGTGTTAATATTTTCACTTAACTTAACGGCCAGAAATTTATAATTAATGCCTGATAAAACAGAAGAAAACGATAGCAACAGTGAATCATACGACTTATTATATATCATTAACTTTTTCTGTGATTTACCATATTGGTCTCGACTATAACCCTTCCATCCTGCTTCCTCCATCCATCACAAATCCACTTCGGGCTCACCATAGCCCGTGCTACTTGGAACTTTTGTTCCAAGTAGCTGAATCTAAAAACAACAACAACAAAAAGCCATCCATCGTGTTTCCATCACCCAAACATGATTTACCATTGGCTATAATGAGAAAAATCAACAGGAGCTGCAATCAGGATTCGAACCTATGCGTTGGGTATTCCTTGACACTCTCTCTAGGCAACGTTAATATGTATTGTCCCTAATGTTATACCTCCCGCCAGATTCCCTAGCGGTCAAGAACTTGACAGTGGTCAATGACGAAAGTAACATGACAGTGCTCCTGGCAAGTTGGATCCAGCCTGCGAAACCCGGCAACTGTGATGTGTATTACAAAATATCGTGGAGTGACGGTGACAACACGAAGGAAGCCGAATTGACTGACATAAGTAACTACACCATCGTTGGTTTGACCCCGTGCACACGCTACGTGGTGGGGGTGACGACCAGAACGTCTGAGAACTACGCTGTTTGGCAGTACCAGAATGCGAGTACAGGAGAAACTGGTAGGTATACTTAAGGGGTGTTTCTGACACTAAGGATTTGTGTCAGATCCGTGTGTATAGTTTCTTTTTTTTTTTTTTAACTTTTGGTGTGGGTAAATTCACTGGCATAGTAGACACAACTTGTTTACATGTGCACCCTAAATGTTTGACATGTGAACCCTATATAGTCTACATTTAAATAGTGTAAATGTGGTCAATATGTGTGTATTTTGGGATTTTCGGTGTATAAGTATTGTCCCACCATTTTTTTCGAAGTCCCTTGGCTTTTTTTCGACTACACGCTTCTATCTACAAATATCTGTCAGTTTCTAACCAAAGATTGCTTAATGGAACCAAATGCAATTTCCTTAATTGTTTATGTTCTCATATTTTCTTTACATTCTCTAGAAAGGCGAACAGTTAGGGTTGACTAGATTTAAAATTTACAAGTGGATGAATGGGCGTAACAAAATGGCTATTAAAAAGGTATTAAATATATCGACACAAAACAGAACGCGAAACAATGGATATAAATTTGGATAAGTTTAGATTTATGAAAGAACTACGCATATACTGGTCTGGAAACAGGCTTGTGTTACGGTAATCTCCTGCTTAGGCGGAAGATCCTGCCTGTTCCCTTTACAGCCTATTCACAAACGTATCTGCATGCTCCAACATAAGGAATCATCAGTGACAATAATAATACGTGCACAGTGTCTGGACAGACACTACCCTCCCTCCACCCTCTAGTACCCAAGACACCTAGGCACCTGCTGTCTGGGCAGAGACCCAGCGCCACTCACTAAGTACTTGGTTAATTGCCGGCCGATGGTCACCCACAATATCAGCGCCGTCTATGCTGGCCTGACTCCCATATATAAGGAGCTCACCGACGCCCAGTCCTTCAAGTTACAGCCCCACTTCTGTGCCAGGTAATTCCACAACGGGCTCACTATAGCCCGTGCTACCTGGAACTTTTTGTTCCAAGAAGCGAATCTTAAACAACAACAAGTCCAGTCCTCAGAATACTCTTCGTGTTCCAAGCTGCAACATTTACACTCGCTCCCCCAGGGTGTCGGTAGGCTTAAGCAGCTCTTGTATAAAGTATTAATTTGCACCTCTCTTTTGCTTAACGTAACAACTCACCTGTGTTTATATTTCTTTTATATTTTATATTGTGTGTTTGCTAAGTGGATAAGGGGCTTTGTTTAGTTTGTTATTAAAGTCACTTTTGTTTTATTAAATGTTTAAGTGTTTATTTGTTTTTCGCGCAGCTCTCACACAGTAGAGGTCACCAGCAGCCTTATTTACTTTATTTTGCTGTTTTTATTTATTGTGATTGGCACAACACCAGCCAGAATAGCCACTGCTCTATTTTCAGATTAACGTCACACTTGATTTATAGATTTGAACAGGCTTGATTTTATTATTATAAATAATAACATAACCGGGCAACATTACAGACATTGGATTAAGTGATTATTTCACTCATATTTTGAAATGTATGAATGAGTGTGGGTTTATATAAATAGGAGCTGCCTTGCATCATGGGGCCAATAAGTCTTCTGTAGTTAATTAATTATTATGTCTTAATGTATGAGTGAATTTGGTACCAGGGTTGCTGTGGAAGAATTTACCAGGTAAGTCAATTAGCCTGTAAGGTTGGAGGACATATGATCCCTACCTGTGAAATTATGGGTACGTCATTTAGAGAACTATTTTAGCTCATCTCTGTAGCAGCATATTATAAAATGTTCTGCAATTTTCTTGTATAGAAAAAATAAGCAATTTTTGGGATTGTGATCGTATATAATACATTGTTAATATTAGATTATATAATTATACTTGATTCGAATTATTGTTTCATATAATATAAATGAAGATTTCAATGTCACATGAATAATGGGCTGATCGGTCTCTCTGTAATCTATATGGCATGTATTGGCTTGATGAGAAACAAATAGTAAGCTAAGATGTCTATGCTCGGTTAAAATGGTTACCATGTGCCTTGGTAACAACACAAGTAGTGATCTGACTGAACACTGCAATTACAGATCTAAAATAATTGTAGATGTGTGGGGGTGGATATGCTCCTCTATAACAAAATTCTAGATAACACAAGATGTAGCAATAAATGGATATGAAAAGGGAAATATTGATAATGTATAAAGTGTATTAAAGCAAAAATAATGATGTGAAATGGATATGTTCAAATACTAGTTCAGAAACGGGGTTGTGATTTGTGGAACAGATTACCTGATATAATGAAAGGATTACCTGATTTAAGTATAGGATGGAGATATTTTATATGAATAAGTTTGGGTGCTGCTAAGAACAGGTTCTTTAATTCTTAAAGATGAGATGACTGGCTTGAACACATATGGAATATTCGTGTTAATTATAGGGTTAAATAATAATGGAATTATAGAAATGGGTTAAATTAATGTTTAGTTGCTAACAGCAAGACGAAAAAATGTTTGGTGCCATTATGTGGAGCAATAAAAATATTTGGTACCATTAAGAAATCTTTGATTAAACAATGAAAGATATCTGTGGACAGATGCATGCAGTCAAAAAAAAAGCCAAGGGACCCCGAAAACTTTATTGACAAAAGCCAGCCACTGTGACCTCGAAAGTAAAATTGCAGGCCAATATCCGTGCAGTGATTAAAGCAAAACGCACGGTCATTGGCCTCATTTGCCCTACTTGGGGTGTACATGTCAACAATATAGGGCATAACCTGCAACAAGTCCGAACTAAAATGATTACCCAATTACATATTATCTTTTTCTGTATCATTCCTAGTAGAACTAAATCCTTTTCTGAATAATGTTTTAGAGTTGCTGGACTTGAGTTTGTCTGCGGAAACGGAAAACATCACAGCCCACTGGAATGAGATGCCGGATGCCAGCAGCTACACCATCACCTGGACTCAGGTGGACAACAATGAGACAACCACTGTCGACGTTGTGAACAGTACTATATATACTATCGAAGGTCTCATGCCGTGTACCGAGTACAGAGTCACTGTCCAGGCGATGAATGATACCGGTAATGACGGGTGTTGGGATACCGTCAAGAAACACACAAAAACCAATGGTGAGAATTATAACTATGCTATTTGGGATGAATATCAGAAGTATATTTATTCTATATGCTGTAACAATGTTATAAATTAAATAGTGTACAAAATAAGTAAGTGGGGTAGTTGAAAATCTTCAAATGATCAGTGAGACTTTTTAAAAAAGTCTTCTTTAAAAGCCTTGCTCACAAGGCTAAGTAGTATTCTGGCTATTAGGAATAATATACATATTTTGCGTACTTAGGAGCCAGAACCGTACAACTTGATCTAGTAAAACAGGTATGATATGCCTAAGAGAACGACCCGACAACACTTGGTGGTACGCTTGGGCATAGCTATTTCATCGAATCACCTCACGAATCACCAAGTGCTGTCGGGTCGTTGGGGATATAGCCTCGGCTCCCAATGACTTTTGTACAGTCATGGTTGGTCGAGTGGTTAAGCTACCGGTTACGCCATGGTGCATAGTGCTCCTGGCTGTCTGGGTTCGAAGCCTTCTGGGGTGTGGAGTTTTCAGTTGCATATTGGCTTGGGGACCATTCAAGCTTATTTGCATTTGTGTTGCTCACGTAGCCCCACAAAGTGAGGTGATTCGATGAAATAACTACGCCCAAGCTCACCACCAAGTGCTGTCGGGTCGTTGGGGATATAGCCTCGGCTACCAATGACTTTTGTAAAGTCACAGCTGGTCGAATGGTTGAGGTACCGGGTATGCCATGGTGCATAGTGCTCCTGGGTGTCTGGGTTAGAAACCTTCTGGGGTGTGCAGTTTTCAGTTATGTATATATAATGATGACAAATATTCTCTAACACCTGAACTAATACTCCATTCTGACACCTGAACTGGATTTTACAGCGACGCTCTCCGTTTCTTGCTGGTCGGCGTTAGATTCCTACTGGTCCAAGTGTTTGGGCACCATTTCTTCACTCTGTCCTCATAGCCTAACAATTATCCAGTCCTTGCATCTCTCCCATGGGCTGTACAGGCTTATTTCATCCCCATAATACTTCCCTTTGTAAATACTAATCACATGTTTCCCATCACAGCTCCAGAATCTTTTAGAGCTGAAAGTATTAAAACGAAGAAGGTTACCTTGTCTTGGAGTGACGCCAACACGGAGTGCCAGGCACTGGGGTACCAGCTCTCGTACGGCACTACAGTGGTCAATGTGTCCGCCAACACTCACCAGTATACTGTGACGGGCCTCAAAGCTAAGAAGTCATACTGCTTTTCTCTGAAGGTATGTACTGTATAGCTGAGGGCGTGTACAGTATAGCTGAAAGTGTGTACTCTAAAGTTGAAGGCGTGTGCTGCAGAGCTGGAGGCAATTTTTTGCTGTTAAAAATTATTTGTGCAAAATTTCTATTACGAAAATTATTTTTCGTTGTTCAGATGCCGCATAAAATGTGGATAATGCTTGTTTGCTTAATGCATCACGTTTGTTGAAGTGTATCAGGTATGTTTAGGGATCTCTGCTATCAAACTGGCATGTATTTTTACTTAGTATTTTATTCTTCATGAACTTCATTGCTCTGTGACGGCTAAACATTCAACCGTGATGTACCGTTGATGTGTCAGAGAGAGAGAGAGAGAGAGAGAGAGAGAGAGAGAGAGAGAGAGAGAGAGAGAGAGAGAGAGAGAGAGAGAGAGGTGGAAGAGGAGAGTCAAGCAATAAACTTTTAATTTAAGCTTTACAAGGTGTAGGACGTGACCTAACCCCACCACCCTCACCAGACTGTCACCAACTCTGGGGAGAGTGAGAACGTCTCCCTGACAATAAGTACCAAGGTGGACGGCGTAGCTATCGGCGTCGGGGTCTCGGTCGGGGTCCTGGTGGTGGTGGTGGCTGCTGTACTTGGATACATCTACAGAGATAAGCTGAGGTGCTCTCGAGAGGTAAGTAGGAAGGGCCAATACCTGGTAACACTGCAACAATTTTATTAATCTTGTGGTTTGCATTTTTGTAATTTCATAGGCCTCTAGAGCAGTAGTTTCCAAATTTTTTTTTTACTCTGCTCTTTTTTCTAATACTTAAAAACCTTACGACTCCCTGCTACACTGTTGTAATTAAAAAAATGGCCTAATCAGGATTCTCATCACTTGATAAATCTCGATGATTCCGATAAAATATTTAAAATGAACATCATACTCCTCAAACCAAGTTTTGACCGTTGACTTGGCCGGCTTGGGGGATGTCTTTAAGGTACCTGAAAGCTGTCAGGTCGTTATCTAGAGATGTGGCTATATGTCACGGCTCTAGATAAGGAGGAGGAGGAGGTGGTTTCATTATAGATTATGATCATAAACTTTTCACAACGTTTTGATAATTGTCAAAGGCTTGCAAGTTTTAGACTTAGAATGAATAATCGCAGATGATTGAAGCACCCGCAGTAACAAATCAGTTCTTCCAAACTTGAGAAACTTAAACCAAGTAACTAGAAAAACTAACTTTAAAATGTAAACTAACTCCTATGATGTTTGGTCAGAGTTATACTTGATAGATAGATTTAGATAGATTCAGATAGAAATTCTACAGCTATCAATGTGTGTAACTTACCACTAAGTAACTTATCAATAGGTAACTTATCACCGGGTGTTATATTCACAGAGTGTAGGTAGCCAATCACAAGGTGCTGGTAACCAATCACGATTTGCTAACACGATGAATTAATAAGCTATTTTGGTGACCAAATATTCGTACCAGTTACATGACGTCATGTGTTAAGACTGATTGTGATGATTTCGGTGAGTGTGAAGATCTAAGTGATTGTAATAACTCCAGTAATTATGAAGACTTGAATGAATGTGATGCCCAATGATTTTGAAGTCCTCTGTGATTGTGGTAACAACAGGGATTGTTAGGAGCTCTGTGACTACATCAGTGACTGATGACTTCAGTGATTGTTTACCCACTGATTGTAAAACTTCACAGATTGTGATAACTTCAGTAGTTATCACAATCAGTAGCTTTGCTCTCGGCTATTACATTTACCATCGTGATTGTATTGACTCCAGTGATTTTTTTAACTGGAGTCAACACAATTATTATCTTTAACCGCTTCTGTTCCTCACGTCTTTAACCATTGATATATTTAGATTAGAATTTCCAAACGACCACTTTTAATCATTTATATTTTTTTCAGACAAAAAAAGACGTGATAATGTGAACATAACATCACCAGGAGAAAGTCTTCAAGTTCTAGGAAAGTTCTTCAAGTTCTTCAAGTTCTTCTATTTCCTGCCCGAAACGCTTTGCGTAATAGTGGCTTTAGGCATTGTATGTACTAGCTCTTATCTATAAAGCCAACAAACTTTGTAAAATCTCTTTATGTATGTACCTTTGCCCAAATAAAAATTATTATTATTATATTCTACGTGGCTTAACAGCATAAAATATCATTATCATTATATCATTATCAGCCTATCATTATGATGAATAATTTAAAATAAACAGGGAAAACTATTTAAAATATATTTATAACATTATCAAATTTATAATATGTTAGAAATTCCTTCCATTTGGAAGAATTGTTAGACTGAAAACGCGTGATTTAATCCTGTTTTACTTATATTTATTTCTTGAAGTCTGAGGCTATGTTCTGAATGATATTGTATACAAACATTTTGGTTATACATTAACATGTTGTCGACAAACGTTTCGATCAGCTGACAACTGTAAACTCATTGGTTCTTCTGATTATATATTCACCCTTATCTATGTTCACTATAACATTATCTCTCGCTTCCCAAGCACAGATACTCGCTCTAACTTGAAAATAATAGTGATTATGGTAATTGTTAATTTTTCTTCAAATTAACTACACCAGTTTATATTACTTCTTGAATGTTTACTGTAAATATATGTTAATACTCTTTACTTAACTGGCCAGTATTATATCATATATAATTCTTTACTTTCCTCATTACTTGTCAGTTATTAACATTAATAAGTTTGTTATTTTCTGTAGCTTAATAGCTACTGAGTGTTAAATATGACCCATTTTAGCACGTAACTGGTTTTAATGTTAATACAGTTAAACAATGTTCATTTTGGGATTGCAATAGAATTTCTTACGATGTTTTGTGGAAGATGTTTGTGTTGGAGGCTGTGTTGGGATCACGAGACAAGATACTGCTGTTGAAAGCACAAAATGAAGTGATAACTGAATCATATATAGGGGGAATAAATGCCCTGGACAGCAAAATAATTTAATAAATTCATGATTAACATATCAGCTTTTAGTTAATCTTTCTCTGGATTCCACACATTGTACAAATAAATGTAAAAATGCTAATTATGTGTTATGAATCCCTACTTGGTACCTTTTGATAATTACGTGTATTAACAATAAACATACTGTAAATAATACTGCATGACAGACACCGTTTATATAACATTGTTGCATCACAATATGTTATTTACGTGTTAAATAACGACTTACAACAACATTGTGTTTGGGAGACAAGCACCTGAGGTTCTGATGACTCCAGTGGCTGGGCATTTTGAACAACTCGCCTGGCGTTCCGCGAGCGCTATGTCATGGGTTCGTATCCTGGCCGGGGAGGATTTACTGGGCGCAATTCCTTAACTGTAGCCTCTGTTTAACGCAACAGTAAAATGTGTACTTGGATGAAAAAACGATTCTTCGCGGCAGGGGATCGTATTCCAGGGACCATAGGATTAAGGACTTGCCCGAAACGCTACGCGTACTAGTGGCTGTACAAGAATGTAACAACTCTTGTATATATCTCAAAAAAAAAAAAAAAGTTATCATGTCTGGAGTTATCGTGCGGAAAAATATATTACTGTGTTTACCATGTGACATCATATACCTGGATTTATAAACAAACATAAATAAAGCTTGATTTTAAAAAGCTGGATTTTTTCAATGCAAGGACGATCTTGCACTGGAAAGAACGTCATTGGCAGTCGGGGATAATTCTATAGAGATGTCGTCATCTGGTGACGATTTTTTCAACGGGCTCACCATAGCCCGTGCTACTGGAACTTCTTGTTCTGGGTAGCTGAATCTAAAACAACAACAACGGTGACGATTGGCGAGTTCTAGATCAGAGAGTCGGATCCAAACATCACCAGATAACGACGAAATTTCTTCAGAGTTCTCCCAGCCCATCGAAAGTACGAGAGTTCTAAGCATTGTCTTAATATTTGATTGACTCTATTCCCTTATTCTTACCTTATTCCCCTATTCCTTACCCTATGTTTGACTGCTCATATATTACTTCGAACCTTCACCTCACTCCACTCAACATCACACCTTTCACGTGTGTATTTAACAAAAAAATTGCACCTTGTGTATGCATTCTTTACCTGAAGATGTTCCATACAGGAACGAAACGTCCTTGAAAATAAATCTCTCAATAATTACTAGTTTCCTGACCGTCAATTATGGTAACCTGATCGTTGCTCTTAACACTGACCCAAAGAAAACAGAAGTATAGAAAGCTTGTATTATATGATCAACACCGCCAGCAATACGGTGATATATAATTATATATGCTTAATGAAACGTCTGTTGCCCAAATATACAAATATATATATTATATAGGGGTACCACCTCTGGTGCAATTGTAGGGACCCATAGCCTCGGAGAAGCAAACAAAGAGTACTCAGAGAAAACCTTGTGGATCCTCACTGAACACTTTCATATTTTCCTCTCCTACCACCCCTATTATTTTTGTATATATTTGTTTCTGACCATTCTTGCCAAATATGGACGAGTATTCTTGAGGACTCAGCTAAACAGGAAATAAAATACCAATTTCTCTGCAAGATATTTTCAGTAATACATTATTAAAAAATACGAGCAGATTTTCAGCCTCACGTCAGCGAGCAGCGACGTTAAACTTACTCCCAAGAGCCAAGCCAAGAGCAAAACACAGTTAGAAAAATTTATTAGTGGTAATACTGTTCCAAAGGAGTCGATCAAGGTCACCCTTTGGTGCAGCAGGCGCACCCAGTCTGGCCTGAACAAGTGACGTTGGACAGAACAGCACCTGTGCACAGCGGTCCGTACACGCACTCTCCTGAGCACCGTGAGCCACCTGAGCACTTGGGCACGTCAGGGATGCAACACTTGCAGCCGTTGCCTGAGCACCCATCACGCAGCTCCTTCTCCCCGCATGAGCACTCGGCCCTGCACACGCCATTAGCGTCCTTGCACTCCGAGCTGGACTTGCAGTCTGTTTGGTATAGGTTAAATAAACACACGTGTATATATCACATTTATATATATAACTGCATTTAAAATAATTAGAACAAACTTAAAAAGACTGACCTAGGCAGCAGGAGCAGGTGGAGCCCAGACAGCTGGCAGTGGAGAGGACGCCGGGACAGGAGGCCATGCACCGCCCTGGGCACTCCGAGGAGCTGGGGCACCCCACGATCTTGGACACGCAGCAGTGGCACGCGGCGCCCTGACACCCGTCCGGGATGAGTACGTCGGTGGCCGAACACAGCGCCTTACAGGAGCCCTTCAGGGCCTCACACGAGGACTTCAGCTGGCATTTTCCTGTGTGAATTCACCTAGTTATATTCACCTAGTTATATTCACCTAGTTATATTCACCTAGTTATATTCACCTAGTTATATTCACCTAGTTGTGCTTGCGGGGCTTGAACTCTACTCAATCGGCCCGCCTTACAACTGTCAATCAATCAACTGTTACTAACTAATAACTATTTTTTTAACGCATACATACCACCCCAGGAAGCAGCCCGTAGCAGCTGTCTAACTCCCAGGTACCTATTTGATGCTAGGTAACAAGTGCATCAGGGTGAAGGAAACTCTGCCTCATTTGTTTTTCCGCCGGCTGCCGGGATCGAACGCTGGTCCCTAGGTCCACTAGTCTAGAGCGCTGTCCACTCAGCCAGCCAACCCCCCCCCCCAAAAAAAAATGTGTGTGTGTGGCGGGGGGGGGGGGGAGTTAATAGGTCAAGATGTTACTATGGCAACCCATCCTACGGAAAAGTACATAAAGCTACTGTGGCTGGAATGTATGATATATGAGTTTTTTTATATATAATCTACTCTAAAGGAGTATTTAAACATTGAAAAATCCTAACTATAAACTTATCCTAGGCCCAAATATTCAATCATACGCCTAATATATACACACTTTAAGGCTTAATATATATATATATATATATATATATATATATATATATATATATATATATATATATATATATATATATATATATATATATATATATATATATATATATATATATATATATATATATATATATATATATATATATATATATATATATAAATACTAGTCTATTCCAGTCCATCCTCCTATTTAAAATAGTACTTACAGTAACGCTGTGCACAATCCAACATATATTACCGCAATGGACAATTAGAAAGTAGGATTTGATACTATTGAATTTAGATCAACTAGAAGATGTTTTCTATTTGTTGGAAATAAAACCTAACCTAACCTAACCCTCTTAGGAATAAAATAGTACAAATATATGCTATACAAGGCCTAGGAATATTTAAGTTTGGTTTTTTGCATTATTTTTTTCAGGCTCTATATTGTGAATAGTACCAAATTCTACTATCAAATATGCACTATTTACTAACTACATATACGTGATGAATAGGTCCCTCAGTTCATCTCGTGTATGTATGTACGATGGTCCATATATTTACAAAATAGTACTACTATTGCCTACTACTACTTCTTCCTAAACAGGCAGATGGGTTGGCCTATTGATATGCTTCGAGCATATCAGTTCCTGTTCCTGGAAACTCCCTCAATGTAACGACTCCAGTCACTTCTGTCAGTCACAACCTCCCTCCCAGTTACGGGGAGGATGGTTAGGGCGTTCAGCTTGAACCAATCACCTCTGTTCATCCAGGAGTAATAGGGTACCTGGATGTCAATCACTCGGTGGGTTGTGTTCCAGGAAGAAGGAGTGGGGGATAAGGTTTACCATAAGCTATGGGAAAGAGAAGGCTCTCAACCTGCTAACAGAAGTCAGACGTCGTCTGTTCCTGTACCCACCTATGGAAACAAATACACAAAACAAAACAGCAAGAGTGTGTCAGTGACAACCTCATCCCGGCTACATCCCTCAATCAATGTTGCCAGTCATAACCTCTTGGCAACAAGCAACAACACTGCTACACAGCTGGTACAACACTGCTACACAGCTGGTACAACACTGCTACACCGGCACCACCACGCGACCACACACACTATCAGAGTGTAACAAAATTCCTAAGTTTACCTTGGGTTTTTTACCCCTAATCATTCCCCCTTTTATTATTTTATCTCAGTCCTTTTTCCCGTCGTCCTATAACCCCTCCCTCATCATTTTCCCCCTCATTACATCCCCCTCATACTCTGTCCCTCGTCCCTATCCTCTCTATCCTCCTACGCGAGCCTTCAGAACCAGCATCCTCCCTATGCAGACGAGAGGTGACACAATAACGTGGCTGATAAAATGTTGACCAAACCACACACTAGAAAGTGAAGAAATGACGACGTTCCGGTCCGTCCTGGGGACCATTCTCAAGTCGATTGTGATGCTCACCTCCGCCACTGCCGGCTACGCAGCACCTGCAGTTCCGGCCCTTGCAGCCCTTGCCGGCATCCGTCTCCCCGCTGGAACAAGACGTCTTGCACGCGCCCCCAAGCTTCTTGCACGTCTTCTTCACTTTGCAACCTCCTGGCAGGGGAAACAAAGCCGAGGTTACCCCTTGTGTAGTACTAAGAGTGTATGTGTACACACCTAGTTATGTTTGCGGGTGGGGAGGGGGGTTGGTTGAGTTTCGGCTCTTTGGTCCCGCCTCTGAACCGTCAGTCTACTGGTGTTCAGATTCACGAGCTTCTCGAGCTCTATCATATCTGTATTTGTCAAATTCAAAGCAATACAGACAAAAATGCCTTGAATAATATTATTCAATTTAATGATGAAAATTATTATAGTTACCCTTATAATCAGAAGAAAGAGCATTGGGAAAATGTAACTACACAGAAAATGGAATACTTTGTTAAACTAAACTCAAGTATTTCGTACTTCGGTGTACGTGACCAAGAGAAACAATATTTTTTTTTTTTTTTTTTTTAGATATATACAAGTTGTTACATTCTTGTACAGCCACTAGTACGTGTAGCGTTTCGGGCAAGTCCTTAATCCTATGGTCCCTGGAATACGATCCCCTGCCGCGAAGAATCGTTTTTTCATCCAAGTACACATTTTACTGTTGCGTTAAACAGAGGCTACAGTTAAGGAATTGCGCCCAGTAAATCCTCCCCGGCCAGGATACGAACCCATGACATAGCGCTCGCGGAACGCCAGGCGAGTGTCTTACCACTACACCACGGAGACTGTATTTCAAACAATAAGAGAGGGGTCCTACGGAAAGCAAAATGGTTATGGTAAATTTGAATGCCTACCACAATAGCCCGTTAGTACACAACATATAAATTACATAGGCCTATTGCATTGGCCACTGAGAAGCCCATAATAGCGGGCAAGGGAATAAATCTACAACAATTTACATATTCTTGCAATTTTGGAAACCAACAGAGGGTCCAGTCTGAGCAAACCTCGACTAATAATATTAAGGGTATTACGACGGTTACTAATTACAGGAGACTCAAGCAGATTCCTTTCAACAAACTCATGATTGGCAAAGTTAATGTGTAGAAATATTCCAGTAGATTGCTGTGTTTATCAAGTTTGTTCGAGTCTGAATAATAAATACACCTTTACCTTGCGTTGATTCCGGGGAACAACATCACAGTTCTTACATGGAACAATACACAAAGCCTGTTAAGGTAGCGGGGGAGTTTACTAATAAAAAGTATTATTATTTGTGATAACTAAATTAAATATAAATATAAATAAATAAATAATTTTTATTTAGGCAAAGGTACATACGTAAAGAGATTTTACAAAGTTTGTTGGCTTTATAGATAAGAGCTAGTACATACAATGCCTAAAGCCACTATTACGCAAAGCGTTTCGGGCAGAGGATTAACATTAACAGTCTTGCAAATGCAGGAAACTTTAGCTAATCTTTCAGAGTAGAACAAGTGAATTATTTTTTTTACAGGACTCCTAGGTGTGTGATTATAGAGTCCAATATGCATGTTGCAAATTGAATCAAGAATTAATTTTGGATATTCCAACTTCGTTCCAATCTTATAGATTTTGGTAATTTTTTTGTTAAAAAAATCCGGACTTGAAGTTATCATAGCCTTTTACTGCTCTTCGCACGTCCCCTTGGTTATCATCTGGATGGATATCACAAGATTTAATAAATGGACAGAAAGTGAATCCTAGGCATGTGAGCCAGTGGGTGGGGGGGGGAGGGGGTGAATAAGTAACGGATTAATGATTATGATGAAGTCGATGAATACTGCCTCACCCACGAATCTTCATTGCTCAATAAAAATCTTCCCCATAGGGAAACTGGCAATGTAAAAAGCTTAGTTTTAGGAACACTAAGATAATCAAATGTTAATCAGTAACTCACCTGAGGAGGAGGCAGAAGAGGAGGAGGAGCAACAGCGACATCCTCCTTTGCATCCTTTGGGGATTTCATTCTCATTCTTCGAACACGACTTCTTGCAAGTCCCGCCTTTTTTCAAACACTTGGATCCTTGTCGACAAGCTGTTAACATGTAACCGTGTTAGTATTGCATACAGTATCCACGTTAATTTGTCATGTTTACCCTCGCTTCTCTCAGCTGCGCTACGGATCCGCTGTCGCATTAACACCTCTCTTAGGAGTTATTTTCACGCCTTATAAACATGTCGTTTTAAACATGGCGTCGGGAAATATCGTTGCCTCAGGCCAAGATTTTTGCCCTCATCGAGGCAAGCCAAGCTCTGGAGCCCTGGATGTTTATTGGGTGCCTACATCGAAGACATGATATAAGTTGACCTGCTGCCCTCTGTTGTCGCCACACACGACTTGCCACCTGCTATCGCTTCACGATAACTTGCCTCATAGCCTCTCATCAGATTTGTTAACCCGGCATTCATAATCATTTTCATACATTCTTAAAAATAATACAAGCATATGAACAGTTACCTCAAAATCCCGGATTTATTTTCCCCCAAAACAGGGCACCAATTAGGCTCTAGTGCTAAGGAATCTCTTAAAGTCTAAATTGGGCAGAAAAAAATCATAACAGAGAAGCTTTTGCCTCAAGAATGTCTGTGGCTTTTCAGCTCGTTCTGAACACGTGTGATTGAAGGCAATTGTTCAGATAAACACAAACTCGAGGCATTTCCTGAAAAAAATAAATTGTTAAGTAAGGCTTTCTGAAATCGTCATCTGAATACAGAGGCATCATTCCATGTCTTTTAATTACCTTTGTTGTTGCTTTGTTTCTTTTTAAGAGTGTGTTTGTGAACAGGTTTGACACGTTGTCTGTCTTGATGCTTCTTGGTCTTTGTAGGAAGTTGAACATCGTCGTCATTAAAATCAATTCTCACACGATGTTTTTTCTCTTGCATCTTCCTATATTTCTTCGTCTTGTTCTTCTTGACTGTCTTGAGTTCCCGTCGCTGCTCACCAGGTCCTTCTTGCCTTTGGGTGTATGTCTTGCCACTTCTTTTAACCTGTTTTCCATCACGATGTCCGGAGCGTTTGTCTCCACTTTTACGTCTCAGACGTTTCTCATCGACTTTTTTCTTGGGACGTTTCTCATTTTTCCGCCCGCGTTCATTTGGGCGTCTTAAGCTCCTCGAGTTTCCTCCATTGTGTTGTCTTCTTTTGTCATTCCTGTTTTTCCTCGTCCGTGGTGTCTCGTCCTCTATCTTGCCTCTGATACCTCTGTTCTCTACTGTTCTCGGCGACAGCTGCAGAACTTTCCTTCCGAGGGAAGCCTCTTGGGTCTTGTTCATCTCCCCGGACGAAGCCTCTGAAGGGACAACAAAGCGATAGTTAAAGTAATCAAAATAATGTTTTGTAACATCGTAACATCTTCAGTAAATCAACAAGGAGTAGCTAACACACACACACACACACACACACACACACACACACACACACACACACACACACACACATTATAAATATTTATGTGTGTGTGTCTCTGTGTATGTGTGTGTGTGTGTGTGTGTGTGTAGTGAGGACGTGGCACTGGGACTCACCTAGACAGCAGGAAGTGCCGACAGGACAATCGTTGTACAACAGGTGGGCGCTGCACCACGCCCACTGGCCTACCAGGCACCTCCCACCTGCTCTCTCGCACCTGTTCCCCTGTGTGTTCAAACCACCCACCTGCGCCTCCTCCTGTATGGCAGACAACGAGCAAGATTAGAGTACATTATCTCTCTCTCTCTCTCTCTCTCTCTCTCTCTCTCTCTCTCTCTCTCTCTCTCTCTCTCTCTCTCTCTCTCTCTCTCTCTCTCTCTCTCTCTCTCTCTCTCTCTCTCTCTCTCTCTCTCTCTCTCTCTCTCTCTCTCTCTCTGTCTCTCTCTCTCTCTCTCTGTCTCTCTCTCTCTGTCTCTCTCTCTGTCTCTCTCTCTCTCTCTCTGTCTCTCTCTCTCTCTGCTCTCTCTCTCTCTCTCTCTCTCTCTCTCTCTCTCTCTCTCTCTGTCTCTCTCTCTCTCAATCATCATAATCCTCTGTAACATCTGCATAAAGTCATCATTGCCCTTATCATCTACATTCAGCACCGTTACTACAATATTAACATTATGTTACACGAACATACAGTAAATGGTTTTTTTTTATTTGGCGCAGCGCGGATATATATGTAAATTTAATATATTTCTACAATCACTTGTTCCTTGTGACTCTCATTTACTCCTGTTAATCTTCAGATACAACAGCTTATGTTATTCTCTTACTACAATCGTGTTCTTCTCCAATCAAAACTACTGATATACTCCTCGAACTGTATCAATTTCTGTTCTTCCTCAGCCATAATCACTCTTGTTCTCCTTTAACCAAAACTAATATTCTTCATCCACTACATTCACTTGTGTTCTTCACCCACTACAGTCTGCTCGTTCACTCGATGCTGGAAACTTTCCATTGAGCGCAGCTTGAATGTTGTGATTTGGTTATTGCTCACAGGAATTTAAGTCGAATTCAGTAAAAACAATTTTAGTACAAAAAAAAAATTACGTAGCAAAATTCAAAACATGAATTTTCCAGTGTGAATCGTGAATAATTATTCAGCCTGATCAGAGTATTCGCCACGACCTTTCACTCGTGATCTGGTAAGTGGGGACTTAATGTTTGAGTGAATTAATTAGCACAAGTAATTGGGAACTCAACACTAGATACTGGCTAGTCTTTACAACTGGGAATGTGAGTATCTTAACTACTGGTTCGTCTTTCAAAATTGAGAAGGCGATCATCTTAACTGCTAACTGGTCTTTACAATTGGGGATTTGTATCAGATACTAATATGTCTTTAATTATTTGAACCAGTGGCTGCTCTGAGCAAATGAAAGAAATATTTCATATATAATTGTAAAACCACTTCATTATTCCCCGGGGTGATCTTTGCTATTGTTGTCAATTTAAGGTTAGATATAGGCTAGGTATAGGCTAGGTATAGGATAGGTATAGGCTAGGTATAGGATAGGTATAGGCTAGGTATAGGATAGGTATAGGCTAGGTATAGGATAGGTATAGGCTAGGTATAGGCTAGGTATAGGCTAAGTATAGGATAGGTATAGGCTAGGTATAGGATAGGTATAGGCTAGGTATAGGCTAGGTATAGGCTAAGTATAGGATAGGTATAGGCTAGGTATAGGCTAGGTATAGGCTAAGTATAGGATAGGTATAGGCTAGGTATAGGATAGGTATAGGCTAGGTATAGGATAGGTATAGGCTAGGTATAGGCTAAGTATAGGCTAGGTATAGGCTAGGTATAGGCTAGGTATAGGCTAAGTATAGGATAGGTATAGGCTAGGTATAGGATAGGTATAGGCTAGGTATAGGATAGGTATAGGATAGTTGTAGGATGGGGTATCAGGAGGACTCCTGACCATTCACAGAATCACCTTTTAAGCTGGTTTCTGAGACAAATCTAAATGGTACATTTTTATCCTTCTGATTAAAATATAATTCCCCAAGCACCACCCAAACTCTTCCTACCACCATTAATGTAGCCACCACCACAATTACCACTTGTCAACACTTCACCACCACCACTACTTCTTTCACCACATACGCGTCTTTCTATTATCAAAGATTCCTCCCAGATGGCCGCTACCACCATCGCCAGCACACCCGAGACTGACCACCAGTTTCTAAGCACCACAACTACCCCCGAGATTACCACCATAATTAGCCACACTCATCCTCAACCACCACCTCAATTAGCAACCAGCCATCTCTTTAACTACAGCCCAAACCCCTCTTTTCCCCTAACAACCTTCTCTATAATTACAGTGCTATCAGCGACGGTCACTTCAAAATCCTAACAACAATTCAACCACTATCATCACAAACCGCTACTACCGTTACAACGTCAGTAATTACCCCCCACACCTCCACAAATCCCTCAGACAACCACCACCTGAATACCACCACACAACCACGACTACTACAACCCCCGATCGCAACCATCCATCCCCGACTACTACCCCCCCTCCCTCCTCCACTACCACAACCACTCATCCACCACTACCACTACTCCCTCAGTCACAACCACCACCAAGTATCATTCTAATATCTTACTGCACGAGTTTATGATCATTAAACTATATTTCATATGAGAATTAGTAACTAGTCTGCTTATGCACACTTACAACACGTCAGGGAGCCGGTCGGCCGAGCGGACAGCACGCTGGACTTGTGATCCTGTGGTCCTGGGTTCGATCCCAGGCGCCGGCGAGAAACAATGGGCAGAGTTTCTTTCACCCCTATGCCCCTGTTACCTAGCAGTAAAATAGGTACCTGGGTGTTAGTCAGCTGTCACGGGCTGCTTCCTGGGGGTGGAGGCCTGGTCGAGGACCGGGCCGCGGGGACACTAAAGCCCCGAAATCATCTGAAGATAACCTCAAGATAACGAGGTAGTAGGAGAATACATATATAACACATATAACACAGCACATATAACCAATCCTGGAGGCGGTGCGGTTGGTACTCTTGAGTGAGTGAAGCCATTACTCTACCACCTGTGAACTGCCATTCATTCATTTCCCCTCCCTCCCTACCCCCCCCCCTTTCCCATCCCATCCCCCGTTCCCGAATTATTTTCTCCATCCCTCCACAACCCTCTATCTATCCTTCACCATACCCTCCCTACCCTTCCACGTTCCGTGTATATAGTCATATATATACCACATTATCATTGCCATATTCCCACCTTCATACTGTGAGAGAAAAAGCAATCTCTTCACTATACACGGCCAGGTGTACAATGCTCCACGTGTATACATTTGTCATGTATAACTGAATGAACTCTCCCGTACTCTACTACCTTACCAGAGCCCCGTATGTAAGCCTCACTCACCCGGCCGTCTTTCTCTCTACGTAGTCATATAATCTTAGAACATTTTTGTTCTAAGATTATATGACTCGCCTTGCCCAGCCTCTCTGACTCGCCATGTCCACCCGCCTGCATTCTTCATTAAATAGTTCGTTGAGGATGCAAAACCCTTTTGGAGCAGTTTGGAAACGGGGGGGGGGACCTTTGACATGCCGCCGGCTTCCTGTCCTCGTCGAGGCCACTAGGGTTAGTGACCCCTGAAGCATATCAGGTAAAATGAGCCTTGATACTGCGACACACTCCCAAGAAAACTTGACTGAGCCAGAGATTGACTTGGCCAGAACTTGACTTGGCTAGAGATGGGCTGTAAGTGGCTACCTGGACTTTTATCTGGGGTAAGGATAAAGGATAATCCTTATCCTTACCCCAGATAAAGCCAAAGGTTACGAGGGAAAGTCCCGCTGAGCTCTACCTAATGAGGTGCAGAGAGATTCCTATATCACTAGTGACGAAGTACCTTTGAGAAAATATTATCCAAAATCCTCATGCCAAAGGCACACATTAGCAGAATAACGAATGTAATATATGCAAATCTGGCCAAAAAGCCCCGCGTTGACTTCATAAATTTGAACAAAGGCTCATTCCTAGTAATATAGACAACCTATGTCAGACATAATCTAGAATATGCAGCCCCAACACGAAATCCTGATATGAAAGAGAATTCCCCTCAACCAGGTCACCCCTAGTACCTCTCCCCTCCCCCCCCTTCCCACCCTTCCTGCACACCCTTCAACCTAACAGATGATTATGGAAGAATCCCAACCATTACCATCACAAAAGGGCCGCCTTGTGAATTCTTATTTTTGTTTCATATTTGTAATAACGTGAAAATTTCATCTCTCAGAACTCGGACGTCGCACGTTCCCAGGTTAAAAAAATCAACAACAATAATTAGTTGATTCTATATGACTTTCAACACGTTTTTAAAATGTATGAATTTTTGTTTACGATTTGTACTTGACTGGGAGCAAGTGTTGGAGGTAATCTTCACGGGGAACATATATATATATATATATATATATATATATATATATATATATATATATATATATATATATATATATATATATATATATATATATATATATATATATCACCTGTGTGGATGTGATATATGTGACTCGGTAAATTACACATTGGGGGATGGATTTTGGTGCCATTGTCAGGAGAAGATTATCTCTATGTGGAACTCTTGGGGGGAAGGGGGAGAGGTCTCTGTCTCTGTCTCTGTCTCGGTCTCTTTCTCTCTCTCCCTCTCTCTGACACTTTAACTGGTACTCTCACTGTGGTACTGTGGGAGGTACGCTCTTTGCGGCTCTTTGGGTGTCATTCTAAGTGTGTGGGGCACTTTGTGACACTGTAAATCATAGTCTGTATGATTCACTGTGAGTTGAACTCTGTCCGGCACTCTCTTGTATCATGCTTGGCGCAGCGAGTGACACTCTGTATGATGATAGTGAAGACGGAACCATTTGATGACAATCGTAAGAGAGGAACATGTCGTGTCTGAAGCCTGTGCTGCAGTAAAGGACCCATATAAACACTGCAAAGCAGAAGTGCCACATAAACTACCGCAAAGGAGTGCCACATAGCAAGGGCCACCTTCCCTACCTTTCACCATCTTCCCTTAGCCTTCACCACGTCGCTTACCTTTAAGCCCCACCCCCACCTTCCATTCCCTTTCCCACATGCCCTACCCCTTCTCGTAAATAATGCGGCATATGCTAACCTAACTCTGTGTGTGTGCTATTTAGTTCAGTACCACCTACGTTATTCAACAACATTTTCTCTTTGTGCTTCTCATTTACCATCTTCCGATCACCCAGATTTACACACTAACTTTGCCTTTATCATCAACTGATTCGTATTTCATCAGATAGGACGAGAAGGGGAAAAGGATCATTCAGTGTAAAGCGCCAAGTCATTACGACTATATAGCACTTGGAAGGGATCAGGATAAGGCAGTTACAGCCCCGCTCCTGTGCCAGGTAAGTCCACTACGGACTCACCATAGCCCGTGCTACTTGCAACTTTTTGTTCCGAGTTGCTGAATCTAAAACAACATCAGGATAAGGATTTGGGATAAGACGGGGGGAAGGGAATGGTGCGCAACCACTTGGACGATCGGGGATTGAACGTCGACCTGCACGAAGCCAGATCGAGGGTTGTATATCAGCAGCTAGGACTAGAGTGGCCTGACGTGAGAGCACTGACCTGTGAACCAGCTGTACAGATCCGGGGGACCTGTACACCACAAACGAAGACGAGTAGAAATGTAGTGAGCTTCATGTCTCTGTCCGGAAGGTATTTCCTGGAACTCCCGTCTCACGAACCGTCCTGGAAGTGGAGCTCTTCTAGTCTCACGAACCGTCCTGGAAGTGGAGCTCTTCCTGTCTCACGAACCGTCCTGGAAGTGGAGCTCTTCCTGTCTCACGAACCGTCCTGGAAGTGGAGCTCTTCCTGTCTCACGAACCGTCCTGGAAGTGGAGCTCTTCCTGTCTCACGAACCGTCCTGGAAGTGGAGCTCTTCCTGTCTCACGAACCGTCCTGGAAGTGGAGCTCTTCCTGTCTCACGAACCGTCCTGGAAGTGGAGCTCTTCCTGTCTCACGAACCGTCCTGGAAGTGGAGCTCTTCCTGTCTCACGAACCGTCCTGGGAAAGAGAAGAGGGTGATTTGTGAGGCATCGTTAAAAAAAATTAATATTGTTCACTGTGAGCAGTGAGCTCCAAACTAGCTGGACCCGAATTCGATTCCCGAGCCAGAATAAGTCATTTGGGACAAGTTTCCTTACGACCAGTTGCCAGGAATCACCTAGTAGTAAATAGCTAACCGGGAATTATTCAAAGATTGTGATCTGCATTCAAGCATAAGAGGCTCTCGGTCTCTAACAACAGGAAATCATACAGGGAAAATGAAGGTCCATTTTGATAACTAATGATCCTGTGAAATACACCAGAATACAGCACTCGTCCGTTGTATTTCGCTCCAATCTCGTCTACGCAGACGATGAGTTACAACGTAGCTGAGGATATGATCACCAAACCAAACATCAGAAGGTGAAGGGACGACAACGTTTCGGTCCGTCTTGGACCAGTATCAAGTCGTCCACCTCACACACGACTTGATAATGGTCCACGACGGACCGAAATGTCGTCGTTTCTTGAGACTCAATCGTTTGACTTGTGACATGGTCGTTTCTTGACACAATCGACTTGAGAATGGTCCAGCACGGACCGAAACGTCGTCGTCCCTTCACCTTCTAGTGTGTGGTCTGGTCAACGTCGTTCCTGCATCTTCTGATGTTTGGTTTGGTCATTGTGTACGCAGATTAGTGTCTGTATTAACCTCTCTAAGTGCTATTATTAACAAAAAACACTCCAGAATCATATCCTAGAGGTGCCATGGGTAGACTAAGAGACAATTATCTCAACGTCAAGAGCCCCAGACAGTTGAACACTCTTCTTCTAAACATAAGAGGTATAATTGGCCGACCTCTCACGGTGTTCTAAAGAGAACTTGAAAAAATTCCACCAAAGGATACCTAATAAACCGAGCTGTGATTCGTACGTCAAGCTGCGAGCAGCCGCGCCTAACAGCCTGGTTGACCAGATCGCCAACTAGGAGGCCCTGGTCAATAACCGGGCCCCGGGGACATTGATTCCCATTGATTTAAGGATCTAAATCCTTACATCAATAACCCCAGTGAGGACGCGGAAACACACGTCTAGAGTATAGAAAATGAAAAGTAAAAACTTTGACAGCCCACACTTTGTGTATTTCACAAATACACAAGTGTGAGGAGGGAACCCACACTCCCAATTGTGTGCTGGGCACAAAAATCATCTCCTAAAAACAGGGGAGAGTGACAACCATTACCTGTCACTTGTAACTTCCTGGCAAGTAGTCCACTTGAACAATTATATAATGTCCACTAACATCCCTCCACTAGCACGCTCCAGCGTTAACATCACCTAGCACTCAACCAGCATCCTCCAGTGTCAACATCATCTAGTGCTCTATCAGCACACTGACAGGACATTCCTAGCATCAGGCCAGGGTTCTTAACAGGACGTCTCACGGTCCTCAGACCCAATGCTTGAGCACCTCCTGCTGCCGTTCACCTATTCCTCACGTCAACTTTCGAATGATCAAATGAATGATCAGACTAGAATGATCAAAATATTCCCCATATGAAGGTACACCTTAATCACAGTGGTACACAAAAGCACTAGGTGAGTATACTGGGTGAGTACAAACCCCAGAGGGCGCGAAACTTAAAATTATCATAGTTAGGCATAAAATTATGCTGGTACTTTGATATTACACCAAAGAAAACGAATTTTGTGCACGGTAACTACACAAGTTGCGTCCTCTGGAGGCATGAACGAAGCATCCCTCCTGATGTACGTTGAGAATGCGTTTGCTTTTCATTCTTAATTGACACATTGCATAGACAACATTATTTAAAGCTCCTAAATATCCTGTTCATGCTCTAGTAAGCGTCATGGCTGTTGGTGTTGTAGCGAGTATATTATGTAAACAATATACTCGCTCCAAACTCATTAGCTTAATAAATTTAGCAAAACTGCTGCCACGGTGGAATCGCTTTCTTGATCAACTGATCCATCTATGAAGATATGAGTCGTTGTCGGTCTTGAGATGCTTTCCATTTGTTGCTCTATGATATCTTTGAGCCTCTGCGAGCCACAAGCTGATTTTGTAACCGGTAATCCGTCAATAAATATCTTTAAACTTCGATTCTTCGATAAATTCGATTCTTCTAAACTCGAACCTGCCGAGAGTGTTGATGTGGGCTATCTTCTCTTTGGTTCATAATGGTCAAAATCATTATTTTGACTATAATGAAAAGTTATAGTGAAAAGTTATAATGTACAAAGTTCATACTTGGGTAGTACTGGTGAAGTTGGGGATGTGGAGGCAGCCGTCAGACCGAGTACAGTGTTCACACCACGACAGCACACACACAACTGAAGCCCTTCTGGCGGTGTTAAGCTGTGTGTGTACACTCTTAGTTGTGTGTGTGTGTGTGTGTGTGTGTGTATTTACTATTTGGTGTGTGTATGTGTGTGTTCATCTAGTTGGATTCACCTAGTTGTCCTTGCGGGGGTTGAGCTCTGCTCTTTCGGCCCGCCTCTCAACTGCCAATCAACAGTTACTAACTGCTAACTAATTTATTTATTTATTTTTTCACACACACACACACACACACACACACACACACACACACACACACACACACACACACACACACACACACACACACACACACACACACACACACACACAGAGGCGAAGGGAGCAGAAGGCTGAACACAAGGTACCATCTGGGAAGTGAAATCCTGCAAGAGTCAAATAGAGAGAAAGATCTGGGGGTCGATATCACACCGAACCTGTCCCCAGAGGGCCCACATCAAAAGGATATCATCAGCGCATATGCTAGACTGACCAATATAAGAACTGCCTTTAGAAACTTGTGTAAGGAAGCGTTCAGGACCCTGTATACCACTTATGTCAGACCAATCCTGGAGTATGCAGCTCCAGCCTGGAGTCCATACCTAGTTAAACACAAGACGAATTTAGAGAAGATTCAGCGGTACGCCACCAGACTGGTCCCGGAACTGAGAGGAATGAGCTACGAGGAAAGGCTAAGGGAGCTAAACCTCACAACCCTGGAAGACAGAAGAGTAAGGGGAGACATGATAACCACCTACAAAATTCTCAGGGGAATTGACAGGGTGGACAAAGACAAACTCTTTAGCACGGGTGGAACACGAACAAGGGGACACAGGTGGAAACTTAGTTCCCAGATGAGCCACAGAGACGTTAGAAAGAATTTTTTCAGTGTCAGAGTAGTTAACAAATGAAATGCATTAAGTAGTGTTGTGGTGGTGGCTGACTCCATACACAGTTTCAAGTGTAGATATGATAGAGCCCAATAGGCTCAGGAATCTGTACACCAGTTGATTGACAATTGAGAGGCGGGACCAAAGACCCAGAGCTCAACCCCTGCAAACACAACTAGGTGAGTACGCACACACACACCCAGGAAGCAGCTACGTAACAGCTGTCTAACTCCAAAGTACTTATTTACTACTAGGTAACAGGCGCATCAGGATAAAAGAAACTCTGCCGATTTTGCTTCTGCCATCACCGATGATCGAACCCGGACCCTAGGCTTACGAGCCCAGAGCGCTGTCCACTCAGCTATTAGGCCAGTGTGTGTGTATGTGTGTGTGTGTGCTCACCTATTTGTGCTTGCAGGGGTTGAGCTTTGGCTCTTTGGTCCCGAGTGTGTGTGTGTGTGTGTGTGTGTGTGTGTGTGTGTGTGTGTGTGTGTGTGTGTGTGTGTGTGTGTGTGTGTGTGTGTGTGTGTGTGTGTGTGTGTGTGTGTGTGTGTGTGTGTGTGTGTGTATGTGTGTACTCACCTATTTGTGCTTGCAGGATCGAGCATTGACTCTTGGATCCCGCCTATGGATCCTGCCTGTGTGTGTGTGGGTGTGTGCGTGCACGGCGTGCGTGTTGCAAAAGGTGCGGACCAGCGCAGATGTCACTAGCAACACCAACAATATAGGAAGAGGGGAAAGGGGGGGCTCAGCTCCCCATGCACAGGCTTTTGTCTCTCACCGAAACAATAGCATCAACATAACGCCGCGAAGCAAGCGCCAGTCAGCTCATAAAATATATAAACACACACGAAACAAATTCAGAAAATTATTGTGAAAAATACTGGTTTTGAAAACAATATATTTTTTAGTCCAAATTAATTATATAACCAACAACAACAGTAAAATATAATAAATCTCTAAAATAATAATAATAATAATAATAATAATAATAATAATAATAATAATAATAATAGGACGAGGAAGATGATCTAAAATAGTAAAAATAGTAATAAAATCCTCAACAAAGTGATATCCTTCAGTATGATAGGAAGTATCAGTATCCTTCAGGGAGCCGGTCGGCCGAGCGGACAGCACGCTGGACTTGTGATCCTGTTGTCCTGGGTTTCGATCCCAGGCGCCGGCGAGAAACAATGGGCAGAGTTTCTTTCACCCTATGCCCCTGTTACCTAGCAGTAAAATAGGTACCTGGGTGTTAGTCAGCTGTCACGGGCTGCTTCCTGGGGGTGGAGGCCTGGTCGAGGACCGGGCCGCGGGGACACTAAAAGCCTCGAAATCATCTCAAGATAACCTCATGAAGGTGGAGGAAGATCCTCTCTCTCTCACCCAAGACTACCATTAATTATCGTTCATGTCTAACACATCGTGGTTGAGTCGGATGCAAAAACACACAAACGCTTGAAAAAAAAACAGAAAAAATATGATAACCAAAAACAAAAAATCGCTTTTATTTTCAACTGTTTGAGGCCAAGTGATAAGTTCACTCGGACAGGTGTTGAACAAACGCAGTTGAACATGTGTCCTACAGGGTGAACGGCCTCCAATTGTTGTTGTTTCAGATTTAGCTACTCAGAACGAAGTGTCCATGTAGCACGGGCTATGGCGAGCCCGTAACACAACGGCCTCCAATTTACTGAATTCAAAAGCTCACTAACATGCCAATCCAACCAACAAAGGTGCTTTAAGTACGGGGAATAGTCTCCGTGGCGCAGTGGTAAAGCACTCGCCTGGCGCTTCGCGAGCACTTTCGCCTGGGTTCGTATCCTGGCTGGGGAGGATTGACTGTTCGCCAAATCCTTAACTATATTCTCTCTTCAATCAGGGGTGAATGGGTACCTGGTTTTTAAACGATTTGGCGGGTCGTATTCCGGGAAAAATTAGGATCACAGACCTTCCCGAAACGCTATACGTGCTAGTGGTTGAACAAGAATGAAAGAACTCCTATTTATATATGTAAATAAATTAAAATAAATCACTTTTCGAATGGCATGACTTGAGTCGGATGTAAATTATTTTCATTCACAAATAGTTGGATTTGGCGGCTAGGCTTTATTATCGAGGACGGGCTGTTATGATAAGGTAGTTACAGTGAACAGGCTGTTACAATGATTCTGTGACTACATTACAAGACTGCCACGCTCACAACTTAGGTTCGAACCCTTGACGGAGGGTCATTGAGTGTACTATTGGATCCAGGGATCTTCCTCGTTCCCTTTCCTCTCTCTCTCTCTTCCCCCTTTTGTCCTCCCTTCCCATATCTCTCCCTCCTTTCTCTTCCTCTATTCTCTACACACCCTCTCCGTCTCCCATCACACACCTTCACTGTCTCCCTTCCCATCACTGTAATCACTTCTCCTACACATAATCTCCATCACTGTGACGAAAGATTAGACCCAAATTTCAAGTCTCTTATCTGAACATATGTTTTGAAAGGCAATATCTCAACCCGTCCTCCTTATACAGCGTCGCAATGTGTCGTATACTCTATTCCGGCTCGGGGAATTGACATACTGTCCCGTTTTCTGTTTTGGGTCCTCTGGCAGGTTAAGATAAGGGCACTTTAATACAACAGTTTCTTGAAGTTGGTAAATCTTAGGAGGACGGGTTGAATATCTAAATTTACAAATATTTAAGCTAATGGTGGTCTAGTTCATTCACCTGAGCTGTTGGAGTGTCGAACCGTGGACCCCATGCGTGTGAGGACGAGGCTCTATCGACGAAGCTAAAGTGTATGGACTCGTGGCACAAAATATCCCATTCACAGATTTCCTGAAAGAGCGGAATTGGGGATGATCCTCCCTTCAGTGGGAGCACAGGGCCGTCCCTGACATACCTATGGCACTCCCGATAAAGGCATTATACAACCTGTAAAGGTTAATGACGCTAGCCCTAAGCATCTGACTAGTCAGTGGTGGAACAAACTTATTTCAAGGACAATTTTTTTAATCTGGATCCAAAAGGAATTGAAATGCTGAAAATTGCTGCGTTGGGAGATTACATCAAATATAACAAATTGTGTATACAGCATTTGATATCTTTATGTAAATTCTGGAGTCTCAGGACTTCACATATATTCTCACAGCCCGATAAATGTCCGCACACAACCTTTAAAACGTTTCATTAATGGTTAGTGTCCAGCGGCCCGGTCCTCGACCAGGCCTCCACCCCCAGGAAGCAACAGCTGACTAACACCCAGGTACCTATTTTACTGCTAGGTAACAGGGGCATAGGGTGAAAGAAAACTCTCCATTGTTTCCGCCGGCGCCTGGGATCGAACTCAGGACACATGATCACAAGTCCAGCGCGCTGTCCGCTCGGCCCGACCGGACCGCTCTCCCTCCCTATCATAATGGTTGTTAGGTCTACAACATCACAACTATTGCTTGCGCTGGATCCATGATCTCGGTACTGCCGCTGCTAGACATCACATAACTTCCCCCCCGCCAGGTGGAACATGTGCACAGAGACACAGTTCTGCTGGGCGGAACATGTGATATCAGTAGAGACACCTGTGTCGAAACCTATCATTGTGTTTCTGGATTGGTATTGAAAATGATTCCACTGTCACGTTGGCAGCTTTAAAATTATCCCCCCCCCCCTCCCATATCCACCTCCCCCCCTTTCTCTCTCTGTCTCTGTCTCTGACTCTCTCTCTCTCTGTCTCTCTCTCTGACTCTCTCTGTCTCTCTCTATCTCTCTCTGTCTCTCTCTCTATCTCTCTCTGTCTGTCTGTCTGTCTCTCTCTCTCTCTCTCTCTCTCTCTCTCTCTCTCTCTCTCTCTCTCTCTCTCTCTCTCTCTCTCTCTGATCTCTCTGTCTCTGACTCTCTCTGTCTCTGACTCTCTGTCTCTCTCTCTATCTCTCTCTCTTCTCTCTCTCTCTCTCTCTCTCTCTCTCTCTCTCTCTCTCTCTCTCTCTGACTCTGTCTCTGATTCTCTCTGTCTCTCTATCTCTCTCTGTCTCTTTCTCTCTCTCTCTCTCTCTCTCTCTCTCTCTCTCTCTCTCTCTCTCTCTCTCTCTCTCTCTCTCTCCTCTCTCTCTCTCTCACGCTCTCTCTCTCTCTCTCTCTCACTCTCTCTCTCG